TTTATATAGCAGCCATCGAGGGACACGTCCCCGTGGACATTGTGCGCACTTTCCGTGCATTTCTTGAATTCTGTTACATGGTACGACGGAATACCATTACGGAGCGCACGCTAGAGCAAGTTCGAGACGCCGTTTCCAGCTTCCATAAGTATCGTGACATTTTTCGGACGAGCGGCACCATACCCACATTCTCGCTACCACGACACACGCTGTCGCTCATTACGTGGAACTCATCCAGCTCTTTGGCGCTCCAAATGGACTGTGCTCGTCTATTACAGAGAATAAGCATATCAAGGCTGTTAAAGGTCCATGGCGACGATCAAACAAATTCAACGCGCTCGGTCAAATGCTCGTCACCAATCAACGACTCGATAACTGGCTGCCGCACGAGTCGATTTTACCAGCCGTGGGATGTTGAATGGGACTTGCCTTTCAGCAGCCCTCGAAGCCCTTCAAGTTTGTAAGTTCAGAGCATATCTTCAGCTGCTTGAAAGCTAATGTTGAATCCCGCAAGTGCAACAAGATGAACCGAGGGACCCCGCACTTCCTGCCACCGAAGATGCAGTTGACGACTCTCACGACGGAAACCTCGGCGTGTCTGTTCCCGAAGATGGCATTGACGGAGTAGACCATGGCCCGACAATTCTGCAAGCACATACACGATTGGCGCAAACAATTCGCAAGTATATTTCGTTGTCTTTGAATCCAGACGTCTGATTTGATTTCGCACAGAGACAAAACGTGCACGTAATGTATTGGCTCTCGCTGAAGAGCTGAATATTCCCCGTCTGCCTGAGATGATCCGCCGCTTTCTCTTCCAGCAGACACGCCCGGATGACCCGCGAGATGCATCCGAAATTCCCGTCGCAGGATGCCCTCGATATGAGGGCAAAATATCAGTTTTCAACTCTGCATGCTCACGGTTCTATGCCCCGAGCGACTTAAGTGGGATCGGTGGCATGCGGATTGAGCATATTCGTGCTTGCCCCATGTGGCGGAACGAGGCCCCTCGTTATGACTGCGTTTTCGTTAACGTTGGGTCGGAAGATGTGGGCATTCGAGGACTTGAAGTTGCGAGGATTCGTGCCTTCTTCTCGTTCAATTACGGAGGAACGACATACCCGTGCGCCGTTTTGCGCTGGTTCGATATCATTGGAGACTCGCCCGACGAAGATACGGGCATGTGGATGGTGCGTCCAGCCTGCGGTGCTAACAATGCAGCTATCTACAATATCATACACGTGGATACAATCTACCGTGCAGCTCACCTTATTCCTGTCTACGGCAGACGTTTTCTTCGCCGCGATATTACCCTACACAATTCATACGACACATTTCGGACTTTCTACGTGAATAAATATGCTGATCATCACTCTTTTGAGCTCGCATCATAGTCATTTTCGTCGGTTTTACACATTGTATCTAATTAACTACGTTTTCAAGCCTTGATTGTTTTTTTCCTCTTGTGTGACTTGAACGGCTTGAACCAAGTAAGTCTTTGGTCGCCTTGTCACACCTTTGTGCACATTTGCAAAGTTGCGTGAAAACTCAAGCGCAAAAAAGCCGCTGAAAGTCAAAAAAGGGATCCTGGGTTTTGCTGATGATTCTCGTTCCTGTTCTTGTTGTTTTGTCCAGACATCATCATCATAGGCTATGTCTATGGACAATCATCTACATACACTCGCGTTGTAGTTGTGTAACAATCGTAGGTGACAACTAACAAGAGAACTTTCTATTCGAAAGGCTTTTCATCTGCAGATTGAAAAGTGCACAATAAGCCAGTGACTCGGATCACCAACTTCGAGGGGAGTGACAATCCTCTTTGATCTTATATTTTTCCACTCCACTCCAATATCCACATCATAAAAAATGTCGGCTCGTACAGCGGAAAAACGTGCAGTATGCAGAGAGTTGCGTCCCTTCCGCAAATACTGGGGCATCTGTGGAACAGCGACCAGGCGATAGCCAAAGACATGGGGGTAACGGAGTAGCACCAACGCTGCTTCTCGGCATAGTTTCGAGACCAATCCGAAGGTGATGAGATCAAAGCGGGGGAGATAACGGGCGATCTCTAGCCAAAGCTCAAGAGGAAGCGGTGTATAGATGATGTTGGGTTTTTTTTTTTTTTTTTTTTTTTTTTTTTTTTTTTTTTTTAAGTCCTTGTTTATTGTCCTTTGGGGCGAAGCCCTATGATGGACAGTACATACGTATATACGTCTGAGTTCGTAGGTTTTGACTTTAATATGACATATTTAGCTGAGAAGTGGTTCGGGCCGAGGCGAGAACGTTAAAGGCCATCTTAAGGCATTTGGTAGGGGGTGGAGTTTAAGCTCGTGGTACTCTGTTCTCTCTTCGATCTGCTGGTGGGGTAACGTCTCCGAATAGCGTTTGAAAGCGCTTGGTCTTGGCGATGTATGTGAGTAGCGGTTTTGTGGCTTTTCGGTCGTTGAGCAGAGTTTTGAGGTCGCATTTGCGTGTCTTTAGAGCTGTTCTCATGGCGTTGCGATGAAAGGTGTGTGTTGGGCATTCTAAGATGAAGTGAAAGACCGATTCTTCTTTCTGTCGACAGGATGAGCATGTGGGGGATGGAGCTTTCGCCGTGCGATGGAGGTGTTTGTTGAGTGGTACGTGGCCCGATCTGAGTTGAAATATGAGGGAACTTTGTCTGCGCGGGAGTCCATCTACCAATGAGGCGTAGTGCTTGGATGGGGCGGATGGGTCGATAGATGCGAGCTTTTGGAATCGTGGGGACTTGCGTAGGACGTCTTTCGCCTCGTTCTTGATCTGCTCTGCGAAGGTTTGCTTGACAGCGGATTTACTGATGGGGAGAGTTGTGGGGTTGCGACGCGTCGAGGTTAGTGATTTGGGGAGATGGTGGGTGTCGGACGTCTCTCCTCTCGCCGCTCGTTTGGCTTGCTCGTCAGCTGCCTCATTCCCCGGGATGCCGATGTGCCCCGCTGACCATCTGATGATTAGCCTTCTTCCATCCTCCTCCGGTAGGACTTCTCGTAGGTCGTCGTGGAAAGTGTCGACTAGGTGATGGCCGGGTTTCGATTGGAATGCGATGGTGGATCTGATGGCGGCTTGGTTGTCTACTCCTACGGACATCGTGAGTTGTTCTTCTTCTCTCGCTCCTAACTCCTCTTTTAACAACTGTACGGCCAGGATCAATCCCACTACCTCTCCCTCGTATACCGTGTGGTGTGCGTCACTCCCGAGATGAAAGAGCCTCTCCCTAACCATTCTGTCCCCCTCCATGAGTACTGCTGCCGCTCCGACCCCTCCGTCTATGGCCGATCCGTCGGAATATATCCTGATGTCTTCGTCCGCCGCTTCGTCTTCATAGTACGCGGCTTCCTTGCTATGCGCGATGCTTAACTTGACGTCAGGTGCCCATTTCGGGTAGTGTCGAACTGGTGCGATGGATTCGATGGTGGCGGGATTGAGGCGGAATTCGTTGGCGAGGTTGTGAAGCGGAGATGGGTGGCGTTTGCGCTTGCTGAAGTCTCTCGTTTCGCAGTAACGGTAAGCGGCGGCGACGCCTTTGTGCAGCGGGTGTGTTGGGACAAGGGTGGCCATTCTTAGGGCAGATCTGTGGCAGATCTTGCGAAGGTTCTGTTGGAAAGGAAGTAAGTTAGCGTGGGCATCTAGAATGTCGGAGGCGGTTGATCGCATCCCCCCCGTGATTAATAGAGACGCCATCCTTTGAACCCTCGTCATTTGAGACGCAAAACCGCGGGCGCCCCTTCCTCCAGATTTCTTGCCTTTGCCCTTTGCTAGGATGCCTGAGCACCATACATCAGCGGCATAGAGCATTTTTGGTAGGACTACACCTTCGAATAGCCTCCTTGACAGCTTTCCCTTTATCCCCTTAGTGGGCTTGATCATTCTGCCGCATGCCAGCGCGTACGCGGTACCCTTGGCTAAGGCATAAGCTGCGTGTTCCTTGAATCTGAGTTCTTGGTCTAGAATGATGCCGAGGAATTTGTGCGAGCTTGATGGATGGACTACGTGGTTTCGGATTGTGATTGACGGGCGTTTCACTGGGATGGTCTTGCCTGGGTCGTCTGGGTTGTGTACACGTTTGCGGGAGAGACAGATGAGGGCCGTTTTATCCAGTTCGAACTCGGCGTTATGGGTGCGGCTCCATTCTAGCATCCCGTCTGGCCTCTCCATGATATTGACTAGCTTTTCGTTAGCTTCTTCATACGTTTTACCTTTGGCGGCGATGGCGATATCGTCTATGAATCCGAGTCCTAGTTCTCCTTTGCGTGGGTTCTGGCTGGGGGTGCGGAGGAGGTCAGCATTGTAGAAAATGAAGGCTAAGGGAGATAGCGGGCATCCTTGGTCTATTCCATCGTGGACGTCGAAGGGTGGGGAGGTGAAGTCGTCGAATGATAAGGTGGTGGTTCGATTTGCGAGACGGGATCTGTACCAGTTAATATATTCGAGAGGGATGCCAGCGGTCTTCATGTTATGGAGTAGTCTATTCACTATAACACTTGGGAAAGCGGCTTTAACGTCGAGTAGAAGGAGGGATACGTAGCTTTCTTTTGATGCCCATGCATCCGTCACAAACTTCGTCAATAAGTGCAGAGAATCCGTGGTGGACCGTCCTGGTCGTCCGCCAAAGTGAGTTGCTGGTAGAAGGCCATGCTGTTCGGCGAGGTATGTGATGTCGTCCGCTACGCACGAGGATAGAATCTTCGCCATTGAGTCCAGGAGGGTAATCGGGCGGTATGCCTTTGGTAGGCTGTAGTCGGGCCTGCCTGGTTTGCGAAGGACGATGGTGGAGGATTGCCTCCACTGTTCTGGGTAGATATCTAATGAGAATGTTGCCCTGAAGATAGGGCCCATAAAGGGGACGAGGACGTTAGCGCACTTTCTGAATACAATATTACTTATACCGCTTGGGCCTGGGGCTTTGAAGGGGGAGAGACGCGTTATTGCTCGGTGTATTTGTTGGTCGGTGATGGGCGAAAACTCGCATACTGGCGGGCTGTAAACGAAGTCGGGGTCGACAAAGTCGTTCTCTGGGGGGGGTCTGAAGAAGGTGCCGTAGAGCAGCTCGCTCTTGCGGGTGTTGTCCTGCGTGTTCTTGGCGTTTGGCCCGTCGGTGGGATCTTTGAGTGTCTTTATCCTTGACTGGACTTGTTCCGATGGGTTGCTGGCAGCGTAGCGATGGAAATCCCAAACCCCGGATGGGGTTAGGTCCTCGAGCCAAGATGTCCAATGGTCTTGTTTGGCCTTCTTGATGCTGTCGGAGAACTTGTTGCGGGCCTCACGGTATTCCTCGTGTGCTGGGTGATTGCGCTGGGCCAACTTGTGTCTTGCGGAGTTTCCAAGTCTGTGGACCTTCTTGCGTTCGTCGTCCAGTTCTTTGGACCACCACCTCTTAGCGTAGGGAGAGGGTTTGCTGCGCGGGACATGTGCCTCTGTGGTGGTGGTTATGGCGTGAGTGAGGTTTTGGAAGGCGGCGTGAAACTGGTCTGGGGATGTCAGCTCCGAGGGTCGCGGAATGGTGTTCAGCTGGGTGGATAAGGCTTCGTTGAAGAGGTCCCAGTCGACCTCGCGGAAGTTGAGTCTTGGAGCCATGGAGATACGATTGGGGGTTAGATCCAGGATGCTAACGATAGGGTAATGGTCAGTGACGACAGGGCGGAGATGATACTTTACGTCGCATTGAGTGAAGCTGTGCTCGAGGGCGTGTGAACAGAAGACATTGTCTGGGCGGGTCAAGTTCTTCGTGTTGGATGCCTCGAGTGTGGCGAGGCCCGCTGGGAGGACTTGGACTAGGTTATACAGGGCTAGGATGTTGATTAGGGTGCCTGCGGCGTCTAGGTTTGCTGCTGTGAATAGATGGGTATTGTTAGTTAGCTCCCACATGGGATGGTGACGGTTAAAGTCTCCCATCCAGATGATGTTCTCAGGTTCCTCGCTGTGTACGCCTTGAGCGAGAGGAGGGTTGTTACGTCTTTCGTTGTCTTCTGAGCGCATATGCCTTTCCAGGAAGCGCAGAGTGCTATCGTTGTCGCATTGATTATAAATGTTGTAAATACGCACCTTGCCAAACGGTCCCAGGATCTCGATTGCCATCACATTGGGGGAATGGATGGGGACTATGTGCCAGTGGTTTTTTGAGAGGCGTTTGTTTACCAGTAGAAGGGTTTTCGATCGGTCGGGCTGTGAATGATGGTTAGTTGGGTATACTACGTCCCAGAAGCGGCCTAGGTTGGATGCGTTCGCCAGGTTGACGGGGTTGAAGTAGGGTTCTTGGATGCATGCTATGTCGAAAGATTCCGGGTCCAAATTCTTGAGCATGTGCTCCCATGCGTTGAGTGATTTCCGTAAGTTCTGTTGCCATATTCTAAGGTCGTTTCTGGCGGGAGGTTCGTTGTTGGTGTCGTCCATCATTCCCACCCTGACGCATTACCGGCGTATTCGGGGATGATTCGGGAGTTTGGTGAGGAGGTCCAGTCGGAGGGGGTGCTTTGGTTGTTGTTGATTACGAGGGGGGGTCTGCTTGGGGAGTAGGGCGTGCCAGCCGGCGGGGGCGGAGGTGGTTGTTGTTGCTGCTGAGTGGGCGGTCCAGCCTTTGCGATCCAGTTTTGCGTTAGTCTTGTTTGAGTTCCGAGTGGGATCCGGTTTGCGTTCTCTTTCGGGGGGGCGTGTTCTCTATTGGTTGGGTTTCGTTGGTGTTCCGTGTTCCATTCTTGAGGGTTGCGTTGTGGTGGGGGAAACCTTTCGGGCGTTTGGGTTGGGTGGTCTTGCGTGTCGTCTGTTGCGCCGTCTGCTGTTTCCCACGTCATGGGGTCATCTGTGGGGAAGAATCTGTATTTAGCGTCTCCGTTTTTAGCCTTGAAAGATTCCCATTTCTTGATGAAGAAAGGGCACTCCCTGCTCCATGTTGCGTGTCCGTCGGTGTCGCAGTTGACGCAATGGTAGAATTCTGGTTGGTCGACACCGCATGTTGCCGTTCGGTGTTGGGCACCACAGGTTCCACAGGTGTCGTGTTCTTGCTTGCATTCGCTAGCAATGTGGCCGCCGTCGAACGTGTGGCATTTCAAGCATCTCGTCGGTTCGGCTAGAAGTCTGCGGGCATAGACTTTTTTGCCTTCGATGGATAGGCCGAATCTTATGGCTTGGTTTGCGTCCGTTTTGCTGTTGAGGGATAGGGCGATGTGTGCTGTGCGTTGGTTGGGGTTTCGTCTTGCGGGTGGTTTGATGAAGCGGGCTTTCACGATGCTATTGTGCTTGAGTCCTCCTTTGTTCTCTGTGTCGGCGAGGGCTGTTGGTGAGAGGGGGTTAAAGGAGATTGGAACGTTCTCTACTATCAGATGGTAAGCGCGGTCCTTTACTATTACCTCTGGGCCGAAGTGTTCTAAGAAAGAGCTTCGGTTTGCTGGAGTGGTTAGCCATTCGGCTGCTGCTGGGGAGTTCAGTTCGTACAGAATGCCTCCGTGGGGGAGCTTTCTGGCCGAGAGTGCTGCCATTCCTTCGGGTAGAGAGGCGCCTGCTTTTTCCATGAGTTCTATGGACATGGTTGCTTTTGCTACCAGTTGTGCTTCCGATAGTTCTCTGAGGGAGTTACTGGCGAAGACGGAGCGTCTGTCTACGAGGATTTGGCGTGCTTGGGCTTCACTGCGGGCGAGAATTTTGGTTAGTGGTAAGGGGATTCCCCTCATTGCGACGTTGGCATAGGATCTGCGTCCTTCAGACTTCTCGTTGCTCTGCTCTACGGCGATTTGGGTGGGTGCTTTTCGTAAAGCGGATTCCACCATCTTCTCGATTCCTTCGGATGAGTTGTTTAACTGATTGCGTACCTTTTGGACCGCTTCCTCCATCGCTGTGGAGTGTCTCTCTGTTATCTGCTCAAGTGCCTCTACTTTTTCGTCTAGCGTTGCGATCGGGCCTCCCATCAATGCTCTGATTTTGTCGATTAGTCTGTCGGTGTCTAGGGTTTCGTCTATATCGTTGATGATGATTGCCATAGCTCTAAGTGATTCCGTGTGGGTGGCGCCTGTGTTGATCGATATGCTGAGTTCGAAAATTGCGGAGGCAATATGTTTTAGTGCGCTGCCGGCGGTTGGGAGTGGGAGTCCGTGCGTGGCTAAAATTTTTCTGGCTGAGGGGATGTTAGTTATGTCAGTGCGGATTCCTGCTCCTGATAAATGCTCTTCTAGGCTTTTGCTGGGCGTGAATAAAGGTTTGCTTGCTGTGGTTCTCCTGGTTCCTTTGTTGGTTGATATGAAAGTAGCCGGTGGAGGTGACGTGGCGTTGCTGCCGTTCGGAGGCATTGTGAGTCGGATTTCTGTTTTTGTATTTTTGATTTGTTTTTGAGTGCTTTTGCTGTTTTTCTTGGGCTTCGTAGACTGGTTCCGTTTGCACGGAGGGTCGCCGTTTGGCGACTTTGGCGCTGTTGAGCGCGTTTAGGCGGGGAGTTTTCGGGGTCCTTGCCTGGGTGCCACTTGGTACGGGTCCAAGAAGCGATATGATGTTGGGTGGCACATCATGGCTACCATCAGCTCCCTGAGCGGGCAATGTCTTTTCAATGCTCAAGCGCCACAAGTGCTTGCTAACTTCTAGGATACGCTTGAAGAGTGCGGGCTCAATGCGATGGCCAAGACGGGCGAGAGCAGTGATGCCCGGCGTAGAAGGCTTTTTTGCGTAGAATGATGGTAAAAATTGGAGGGCGTCCGTATGGCTGAATGTCATCGTGTGTGCGTCTTTGACGACTTTGACGACTACACAATGGAAGACGGAAAACGCGATTCCAAAGTAAGAACCAGGATTATCCTTCTGCTCCGAGATCGCGTTGATCAGGCGTGACACAGAGGCCTGTAGGCAACTCTCGTCGTTCAAATATGTTGCGATGAAAACAACAGTGTCTTCGCGAACCCAAGTGAACTCCTTTCTTTCCGGCTCGGGGTGGTAAACCTGCAGCATTTCATCAAACATCTGGGGAACAAACGTAATGCTGGCCATGAAGAATGCAATCGACCATTGATTGTCCGTGAGTTGCTTGTGGTCATTGACAAGCTCAATCTCGTATAGTTCTCTTCCAATGTCTGAGTTACGCATGCACTGCCCGACCATGACCTCTAACAATGAGACCCGAACATGCTCGTTTTGACATAGGATGTCACTGATGGCGAGCAGGTCGCTCAAAGCCACCTGAGACCCAGTGCACCTCAAAGACTGGTACGTCGCGAGCTCAGAATTGTCGACGGTCGGTGGTGCTGGCTTCTTGTACTTGTGCTCGGGGGGGCACTGTAATGCGCAAGCTGTTTGACCGTAATGATCTGCGGAAAGGGATTCGTCATAATTCTCGTCTGGATGGTGTCCGGTAACGGATTGGATAAAAACTTCATCGTCTGGAAGGCATTCCAAGGAGAAAAACGGATACCCGTCTATGTGGAAGATATTGCGATCAAGATCGATCTCGTAACCGTAGAGCCAACTGCTTGACGGCCGCTTCGGGGAGGGGGACTCGAATTCGTCGCCATTTTCTATCCATAATAGACAATCCGAAGGGCTCTTCAACCCATCCAGCATCTCTCCAAACTCCTGCTGATAGATCACAATGCCATTGGGCTGTCGTATTAACTGAAGGACCTGTAAGCCAAGGCATTCTGGTTGACCACCAGAACCGTGGTGCGATTGGAAATACATGTTCCGATAGCGGATCACGTAGAGCCCGTTAGTTCCCATGCCTGCAGGTACACCAAAGAGACCTGGACGATGCTCTGAGCCTCTGAAGCGTCAACTTAAGTTGGTAGTCGGGAATAAAATCTGAGCTTACCCATGAACAATTTTTTAAGTCGAGTTATAGGATTATGTAAGTCCGACACGCCGCTGATCGTGAAGATTATAGTATCGAGTCACAAAAACAACATAAACTTACAAATGCAGTGGTAGAGACGAATCTATCTTACAGATACAGCTCAAAGCAAATGACCAGAGGGGAATGCTGAACATCATGGAAAAGCGTGTAGCCCCAGGGAAGATTGTGAGGCGATCGACTTCTCATCCTTGAAGTCTTGCGCGTAAAGCGGAGTTGCGAAAGCTGTCGAGCTAAGTGCGAGTGCCAGCCCCATCGATGTACGAGTTGCGAGGACCTGTACACTTGGTGAGCAAACAGCAACAGTTCCTCTGACCTCCAGACACCCATAGAAGATGGCTGTGAGAACGTTCTTCGACAATCCCATTTTGTCACCAAGCTCGTTGTACCATATTGTCAACACTGCGAAACCGATGCTGGCCAACAGAGCCTGAGTGCCGTACCACAGCAATAGCAGCAAGCAGATTGTCTCATCACCCAGCGCATATCAGCTGCGCTGTCCATAGAAATTCGGCCAGTAGGATTCGGAAGAGAGGGCTTGCCCTCCGGATCCTGGATCTAGTTCGCAACGTGGAATAAGTGGAACCATATCCACAAAGCGGCATGACTAGCATGTGTGGGGTCATGCCTGGGAGTCGCATGCAACGCGAATATGGTCTGAAATGTGTAATTGAGGAAGGGTCAAGACGCGCAATGGTTATCACATACGATAGGCATCAGAGCGGTTCTGGTATCATTTTTTGTAAAGAGGAAGATCGTCTCGAGATAGCGAGCGATGCCATCAGCGCGAACTAGTAGAGCCTAAGAGCAAATAGTGAGTATATTTGAATGCCAAAGTTGAATGCTGTTTCGAGGCCTTTGTACTTTGGCTCGGAATCATGAATGTGCGCTTAGATAGCAAATGTCATACCGGGAGTACAAGGAACTCGAAGAGTGGTTCTAGAAGCCACGGAACAACGTGACACGAAAATAGAGTCAATGATCCCAGAACTCCTCCCATCCATGGCCATGGCTTCTGGTTGGGAAGATATGGCGATACATCCGAGTCATACCATCGTGACGAATTAGTTCTCTGATAAGGCTGTGGTTATGCATTCGTGAGAACAAGCTTCCGGAGTACCTCCGAAGCGTCATAGCGGGAGAGCAAAGTCGACAAGGATTCATAAACATTGAACTTATACGGGCACCTACCCTATATATTAGATAACCGAAAATTTAAAGCTCGCTCTGCGTAGTGTTTGATGCACTGAGCTCACTTTTCTATATAAATGGCTATAGTCAGTCAACGATTCCAGGTGACATCGTACACTCACTATACAGGGAAGCCACAATCACCTATATTTTGCAGAGCTTGAAGCACTTTCCAGACCACCACAGTGCAGCACATCGAGTATTGATGGAGTTGTACTGTGGAAGGTCATGGGTTGAGCAGACACTCGAGATTACACCCATAGCCTACATAAAATAATGTACAACGCGAAATAAAAAGGGTATAGGCTACTAATTCGATCCAGTGAGGCCCTTGTGTTCACTCGTAGCACGTGTCGCCCACACCGTCCAACACACGAACACGCATACCAGCCCGCCAGCGACGCTGAAAGCGCTTTGCGTAATCGGTTTCGCTGAGCCGAATACCATGCATGCAAAAGCAATAATAAAGAATACCATACTGGAAGTAATCAGTCAGTTTCACCCGGAGCCAAACATCGATTGTAGCTGACCTCCACATGAGCAGCGCATAGGGCAGGCTATAGATGATAGCTAGGACCTCTGTCCTAAACACTGGGTGTGACATTCTTGTCAAAAGTACGTTCTGAGAGATCATTGAGTCCGATGGCATGAAGAGGATAAGAGCTGAATCATCTTACCGCCTGCTCAGCAGAATTTTGGTCCTTCCTCTGATTCTGGCGGACCAGTATGAGTCCCAGGATCACCACCCCAACGCTAGTCATCGTCGAGATAAAACTGAATGTTCTTGCTAGTGTATCATCAACAACAAGCGTAAGAAATGCAACATTTGCGTTGAGCACCACAGTTGCCTGATCATATCTTAGACAATGGTACCGAAGATATATAAAAATGCACGCACAGTTAATGCCAGACTAGACCAATCATCATTCAACTTAGCTATGAACTGCCTCCAGAGGACGCGGTTGATTACTCTGTCCACCCAGATGCCCTCGAGCTCTTTCGCGTAGTCGCACGGTGCCCAGAAGAGACATATGGATATTATCTCAATGAACAGGGAATTCCGTGGCCTTTGCTTGCTAAAGATTGACTGGTCAGAGTTCAGACGTGCACCAGGCTGCCCGCAAAAATTGAAGAATTTGGCCAATGCTGCCAAGTTGGTCTGAGACAAAGCGAGGGCATTATAAAGCACATAGCGTACCGAAGTTCTCCATGAACCGGGCTGGAGTCTAATATGGGTGACCGTGGAGTGAAACAAGGTAAATTTTACTCACCTACGATGCACTTGGCATGCAGGAACGGCTCGTCCAATTCATCTGATTGTACCGTCAGGATCACCTGCAGACTATATAACATGGCGTGATGCGAATTGCAGACCTTTGAGGCGATCCGTGAGATCGAGCATTTTCGCAAGTTCTTCTTGATCGAACGGAATGACTGACGTGGTTGAAGTGATGCTGTCTGCACCAAATTTAACAGAGTTACTAACAGCAAGGCACATTCAGTGACTCGCAACCCACCAGCTATGGCGTGGAGAATGATTTTTTCGAGCTCTGCCAAGACAAGGGCGGTTAATGACCAATTGTTGGGGAAAAGCATGCAGTGCATCCTAAGTTAAATCAATAGCAACGAAAGATTGAAACTGCATAAAGTGTATCAGATAGTGCAGCAAAAAGTAGCAATGACGTACCTTCGTACATCAAGCTCAGCTCACCAGTATTCAGCCTCCATGGCATATTCTGTGAATTAATCAGAACGACCGCCGATGAATTGAAACTGCATCCTGACTGATTTGAGAATATGACTGCACTCTCTCAAGATTTCTTGTTACTAAACCACTCGGGACAGCTGTCAACCAAAGGATACAGCGTTTCCCCGGTTCCACAAAGTAGTACCCGCATTCCCATTTGCCCTTCCTCTCAAGCACAAGCTCACAAGTGTTACACGGAAATCCAGCCACCTCCCGCGCTTGTCGAAGTAGTCGTTCTGCGTAGTAATTTATGATTTCGAGTTCACCTTCCGCTGAAAGATCAGCATCTGTGTATATGCGCTATCATATCGCTCAGTGCCGTTTGCATTCCAACAAGAAGTGTGTCACCACGCACGCGTTTCGAGTCGAAGTAATATAGCGCGCCATCCGGATGAATCTGCGGCGCCCAATCTCCGTATCCCTGTGTACTGCAGAGAGGTTAGCAGTGAGCATTCGCAGTGGACATCTCACGCACTTGTCAAAATCAGTCTGCCCGGGCTCCACGTAGAATCCCATCTTGAATTCCGCCGTGAGTTTAGGTCTGCATGAACCCAAGTTCGCAAAGGGTCAACTCTAATTTGATCTAGTCAAAAACGTACATGATCCTGCCCCTGTCATTTCTCTTAACATCCGATGCTGTGATAGTGATTTCGGGAGGGGCATCTTTAAAGCTTGCGCCAGAGGGATTTGGACTCGAAGAAGAACTATATGGGCGACTCGCAAGTGTCGTCCCTTCCGACGAAGATGGTCGATGGGAAGCATTCAGGCTCGCGCAAGATTGACTTGAAGTCACTGATGGAGTTGGCATAGACCATACAAAAGAAGAGGCTTGATGCACGACGCTAGAGGTATTTGATTTCTCGTCGGGACCTTGTACAACGATGCGAATTTGTTGTTTTTCCCTGTACATAAAAGGCACCGGCGCTTAGCACATCGTCCCCAACTTAACACACGGGGACTCACACAGGCAGAGGCTCAGGCATTGGGGTGTCCATGAGGTATTAAGAAACTCATCAACGCGAGGAAGGAAGATGGAATCGTGCCGAGGCTGGGAGAGCGTTACGCATGTCAATGCTTCGAACGCCTGGTATGGGCGCAACTGGGCTGTGGGCTTTCATTATTAGTAAAAGACACACGATGAGGCGTGACTTACCAAATCATTTAGCGCCTTCTTGACGTTGGGTTGCCGCCGGTCACGTTATGCATTGGTGGTGCTGGGTGCTCTGCTCGCCTTGGTTCACCACATCGACGGCAAAAAAGAATCGATGTAAGCAGTGCTTGTTCCTTGAGTCCATCCATACTTATTTAGCGGGAAACACAAATCACACGGAGGATGAGTTAGGATATGATGTGGGGTTTGCCTCCGAGTCAGACATCGAACTGTGATATCGTCCGCTAACCATGAATTGTCAACAAGGGCCAAAGGCCGACTGAAAACTACGATATAGTTTGGGGAATCTATCATACTAGCCGTCTACTGTGACTGCATCTGATGTTGACCCTCTGGCATCGCATGAGGTGGCTTGCCCTGGGTGCAAACGAGGATCTCCATCGCATGCAACGAGGATCCCGCTTATGAGGTGTGACTCTGTATACACGAACCCACCTTCGACAAAGTGCCCGATTGCACTGCATTGAATAAATTTGTCTTGTGCTTGCGCGAGTCGAGTGCAAACCCTAGGTCATGACTCATGAAGGAAGCACACATCCCAATGATATGTCTGAGAGCGCTCGGACGGAGGGTCGAAGACCTGTCGCCCCAACGGACAATAAGCAAGAAGCCCCCCCCCAAAAAAAAAAAACAGAAAGAAAGAAAAGGGTTTGCCCTGCCTAGGGATGTGTGAACAAGCTAGGTAGAAGTGAGGCGAATAGGCAGGTTTAAGAACCTGCCGTGGTTTGTACAGCCCCCCACAAATAATTTGTCCGCTGAAAGCGTTCAATGCACAACAGCACAGCATCGAGAGCGCCCAAGCAGACCCGGTGAATTCGGGTTGAAAGGTACCCTGAACTGCCCGCACGGACTCGGACAATCGCGCCTGAGTAATCAACGAGAAACCCGCCAGACAAAAAGCGCTGATGAGCTGCGCAGCCTCCAGAACATTTGATTCGTCTTCAGGTTGTCTCTCGAACACACGGGTTCAGACCAGGATAGGAAGTTTCTTGCAGCCCCGACTGGAGTCGCCCTGCAACATGCAATACCTGCATAAAGTAGATATCACATACACACAACAAAACCTAGAGTAACCAACGTACGCATACATAAAATGGTAACGGAGTTCAACTAAACAAAACAGGTGCTAGCACCGTTGACGCATAGGGCTTCCATCCGACAAGAGTGTACGGCCATGGTCTAGAAGGTTGAAGATGGAAATCGTTGAAACAGGTTGAAAATAAGGGTGAAGGATAGCAACAACGAAATTACGGACAATACGGCGAGGGAACGCGATCTGTGTTCGAGAGGGCTGGGGAGAAGACAGGGATACAAATGGGTGATAGCAGATAATGATAGGAAGAAGATACATTTGTCTGCGGCGGATATAGCGGGAAACATCCATCACCGCGGATGGGTGATTACAGGATGGGGGGTAGTCAAACCTAAAAAATCATATTGTTGACATTCTAAACACTAACGAGAAGAAAAAAGAAAAGAAAAAAACTCACGGCTGTTTCGGTAGCTGGAGGTTCAGTAGCAGCTTCTTCTTCCTCTGGCACTTCAGCGATAGTCTCGGCAGCGGGGGCTGGGGCTTCGTTCTCATTTGTTGGGGCTTCAGCCTGATAATCAAGATAAGTCTGATTTTAAAATCAAACGAGGTTTGTCTTACCCTAGATACAGGCTTCTTGGAGCCCGCTCTTGAAGCAGGTTTCTTGGCAGTAGTTGAAAGTGGTTTGGCGGATGCTCGAGACACAGGTTTCGCAGCCTTGGAGGCTGGTTTTACGGGTGCTGCCTGGGAGGCTGGCTTCGAAGCGGCCTTGGATGCAGGCTTCGACGCAGCCTTAGATTCGGGTTTAGCCTGACGAACAGTTTAGTATACTGAGATGTGTAGTAAAAATACAGAGGCAAACGACCTTCTTGGCAGCGGGGGCCTCTTCTTCCTCTGGCTGAGCGCCCTCTTCTGCAGCTTTCTCAGCAGCAGTACGCTTCTTTCCCCTGGCAGACTTGGGTTTAACTTCAGCTTCACCATCCTGGTCGTCGGCGTCTGCAGTAGGTTTAGGTTTCCTCCCCCGCGGTTTCGCGGGAGCCTTCTTGGGCGCCGGGGGCTTGTCCCGACCAGCAAGGCGGGATGAACGACGTGCAGGATGAGCGTCACCATCAATGGCTGCTGCGGTGGTGCCAGTGGGCACGGAATCATCTGCAGGCGCGGCGGGCGCAGCGGCTTTACGGGGCATCGCGATGGATGGATTGTGGGTGAAGAAAAGTGAGGGTGGACGCGCTCGACACCCTATTACTTTTGAACTTTATCTGGACATCAACAAACAATACTCGATCACCTGACCAAAAGCGCGTATACAGCTACAAACAATCGCCTACCACTCTGCGCACGGTCCCGAGATAACTTTACGAACTCAGGCATCGGGTTCGAATAGTAATTGTCTTCCTCCAGAGTCTACGTTACTTGAGAATTATTGGGAAAACTTCTATTCGATTGATGAAATCCTTCTCGGCAGACAGGTAAATATATTCTTCTTCGCTCTACTGATTTATTTATTTCTACACAATGCCAGCAAGCACTTACTTAATAGGTGTTTGCTCATTCTAGTGAGACAGCCTCACAAATACACGTGTTTGAATACGCGGAGAAATCGACACTTTCAATCACAGCTTGGCCAACACGGCATCAGCACCAGAAACGGTGACTCCGGGGGCAGGCTCGACCTATGTAGACCCGTAATCAGGATCCCCGATTGTGTTCACAGAAAATACACGAACCTCGACGTATTTGACAACCAAGTCATCTATGATCATGGCGTATCTCGCAGTGCGGATACCCATTCCGCGCTCGGTGAGGTCAACACTTAATCCCAGGCTGCCTGACCACGCGGCACTGGAGTCTGAGAGAGTGATTATCTGCGCACACAAACTCCTTCGTTTGTTCCTGGAGTTACCTGACAGTATGGGTGTGATTTACCTTGTCTGTCAGTCCCTCAACACGTCCCCATCCGCTCATGACGAACGGGTCATTGGCAGCAATGACAGCGATGACATCGACACCTTTGTCCTTGAACTCCTTGTACTTGGCAAGGTAGGGTGGGAGGTGGTTGATGTGACAGGTTGGCTAACAGGATGGGGTAAGTTCAATGGTCTGAATGGGCTTGAGAATACATACCGTGAAAGCGCCAGGCACTGAGAAGAGAACAACCTTCTTGCCCTTCCAACTGTCAGTAGAGAGGATGGTGGCTTGTGATCATTCTGATAAGTCCTACCCTATGGGCACTGGCAGGAAACAGACGCACGAATACCACACGCCGACTGTGTGACCAGGCATATAGCAACAGTATTAGGATTTAGTGTGATATGACTTACATGATCAGCTAACTCTTCGGTGTAAGGGACGATACCGAAGTTGCCCTTGGGAATAGTGTCACCGACGGAGATCTTGAGGGATGTCATGAGCGAGCTGGCTTGGTGTAACGACGTGTGTGGGTTGACAGCAGATCGTAGAATCGCGATTGCTGAACACCTTATCAATAATGGCGTGCGATTTCGCGGAGTTCAAATCAGTGCCAGCAATATCGTGCATGCGTTTCAACATGATGCGGACGTCGACTGACAAGCGCTGCAGTTCACCAGTACTGCAGTCTGAGCGCAATGATGGATGGGCCAGGCACTTTTATCGTTATGATTAGGCTGTTAGACGCTGTTTGGTATTAATTCATCCGATTCCACGGTCAATCAGCCTATGCTAGTAGCTCATGTCATAAGTCATCTATGGCCAAATGACTTGCATATCCAACTTGTTGGACACAAGCAACCAGTATTCTCTGACATTACTAGGAGAAAGAACATACTAGCCATTTGGTGAAGCCATTCTATTATCAGAATTGCCACCTCTCACGCAGCTATATAGATCGAACTTCCATCGAAGGTAGAAAGGTAGGTAGGCCTTCATTGCACTTTTACTTAGTGCTGCAGTGTGATCCATTTTGGCACAGTCTACAAACCGGGTGCCGAATAACGCCTGTCCTCGGAACTTCTCGACCGACCACGATGTTTAGAAGCGCAACTGTGAAGATAGCCCATAGCTCGACAATCCCAGTTCCTGCGCTGATAGGAAATGAAGAGCTTAGGCCTCTACAAGATTTGATTGCAGCAGAGAAGATGGTGTTGTCTTCGTGAGTCCACCTCGCGTTTGTCCCAGAGCTATCAATGAGTCCTCGAGGCAGACTACAAAGGTTGAGCTCGGACTTTTCGAAAGCTGCTGATGCAATGAGGACATGGGCAATTTCTGAAGGAGATGAGCTTTCCGTAAGTCTTGACTTTATCTCGAGATCAACTCAACATCGAACGCGGGTCCAGGACATATTGAGTTCATCCAGAACACTCCTGGCGCACTTTTCAGGGGCGCTCAACCGCTACAGCTCTATTCAAAACGTTGTTCGAGACAATATGAAGGCCGTACGTACGCGTGAAGAATCCCTTGATGACCTTCAACGGCGGCGGCGGCGTATTGCGGCGTCCGTAGAGAGTATCAAGAAAAAGCTCACCCGGATGAACAGGGAGACTAAGGCGTTCAGTGTACAGATGGACGCACTGAGCATTTCATGCGAGGACATGCGAGATTTGGATGCAAAAATTGCGCAAGAACAGTCGACGATGGCGGCTTTCAAACGTAAATGCACAAGAAACTGGCTGACACTCAAGTTTGGAGGTCTTTCAGAGTGTTGTGAAAAGGGCATGGTATGTTCTGTACGCCACTCAGGTCACATCTTCCTCATATATCCGAATAGATTGTAGGGGAGATCGGGAAGCGAATGGTAGTCGTGGGTAATGCCCTGTTACTCACCAGTGCTCAATTCTCTAATCGGAGCCGTGACATCAGGAACTTTCGGAGTCACCCAAACAGCCGTATGTAGGGCACAAGCGAATGACCTCATTTCTGTCTGAAGCGCAACACCGCATCGTACAAGTTGTATTTTCTGGAACGCCATCCGGCTACGAGACACACGAAACTCCGCGCCCACCAATTTCCCAAAGTCGTCCTAATTGCTTCAAAGACCTTCCAGAGATTCGTGACGAGCCCTTTGCTGACGTGATATCCGTCGGATACATCCCTTCTAACACCAGCCAATGCTCGATTGATCTGATAGCTCCTGTGCACGGCGTATGTCTCATGATCAATCTCATCAGGAACTCATGGTAACTTCGAGAATAGCTTTCGGGAATCGGCCCGTCGACGACTTCCATACCAGACTACGGCTGTCAGGCAGAATTATCGATGTCATATGCTGAGCTATCTTCAGCTCCGCCTAGCCGCAGAAAGACGCCAGGGAGTTCCGGCAATCGAAGCTACTCTACCTTGGCGGGGAGTAGATCTACTCCTGGATCCAGACTTGATAGCATCCCGGAAGGGGACGAGCCTTTGCCTTCACCATCTATATCCAGTGACACCGGAGACGCGCGGTATTGCCTAGGCCTGATCGGCCCGCATACATCAAGTCTGGAAACCAATTCATCGTCGAGCAGTGCTAATTATGAAGAAATGCTACGTGGGCAGTACTCGCCCTGTCCAGGTCCATGGGTTTGAGGTACGTCGTGTGCGATCTTATTGTTCGGGTGGAACGTTGAATACTCGTGCCACTAGTCAAATGTTGTAATACATATCACGCTAGTATGCAATTTCATGGCATTGAGATGCAGGCGGGTCATCTATGTCAGCTGGATAGCCTCAAAGATCGAGCGCCGGTCGTCGAGTTTTCGACATCTCGAATCTTGCCACTTCTGTACATGACCGGGGACCGGGACACTATATGTTGCCGGTCGTGCAGATTCTGCTCCCCTATCATTTGAACTTCGAAGGTTGATGTGGTGCCTTGCTTTGTTGTTGATTGTCCGACGTCGACCCTCGATTAGTGGGTTGTATCGGACCTTCGGGAAACGGGTATATTTTTGAACCACAGAGAAATGTAAATGTCACCGACCACTGGCATAGTAATCCGAAAACTTCGCGTTGCCACAAGTCTCATGCTAATCAGAAGAGGCTAGCGCAGCCACGTTTAATGATCAGCATTTGACAACACCTGGCGGAAAGGATTTGTCTCCGACAGTCATGGGGTTCTCTGCTATCTCTCTGCCAGTGAGCCTTGCCGCTGCAGGCATCTAGAGACATCTAGGTACATTTATTGTTAAGTGTTCATGTTTTTTTATCCGCATGTAGTTTGAAGCTTACAGGATGTCTTCCAATTGCCTTTTTGTTCCGATCAGGTTGATGGCGTCAATTCTCCAAGTAAATAGAGGCATGAACGAATTTCAGCTGCCCTTTGGGTTCGGCGCTTCGTCGGACTCGTAAATCAGCATTCTCTGAATTATAGAACTCACGTTGATATCGTGGAAAACGTGGCTGTAATTAAGCCGCGATAAACACAGTGTGCCTAGAGGCAAATCAAGTCGAGCGTCATGTCGTAATATCATTGATTCATGGAATCGTCAACCGCGATGCTCGTGACTTCTCGAGCGCCTGCTCAACTGATGACCTCCCACAGTACAACATAATCAGTATTCGATATCTACAGTCTTCGAGTATGCTACACTGTGGTGGTCTTGGAAGTGCTTCAAGCTCTGCAGAGTATGGGTGATTGCGGCTTCCTTGGATAGTGAGTGCATTAATACTATGATGTGATTTCATCGTTAATTAACTGAGGCCACAGCAAAGCAATGCGCGCATACCGCGGGGTCTATATTTTCGATTATCTACCGGGTGGGACGCAGGTGCCCATATAGGTTCAATGTTACTGATTCTTTCGAATCCTTGTCTACTCCGTGCGCTCCGGCAATGACGGTTCAGGGTACTCCGAGAGGTTTTTCTCACGAATTTAAACTCATTGGCAGGTTCCATACAGAAAGGCAAACTCGATGCTGGTATGATGTATCGCCTCATCTTCCATACCGGACTCGGAAGACAACGACCTGGAATTTACGTTACTAAGCACATTGATCACTGCATCAGGGGCTCCGGGATCATTGATCCACGACCGGTTTATGTCACGTTGTTCCGTGAGTTCTGGTACCACTCTTCGAGCACCTCTGTACTCCCGGTATGACTTCTTTTGCCATCCCGGTGGGTGATTCACATTACTTGTAAGCGCGCATTCGAAGTATAAAAGCCTCGACCCAGCGTTCAAGTTAGGCATTCAGAAAATACTCGCCATGTTCTCTCAAGATCTACTAGTCCGCACTGATAGCATCGCTCGTCATCTCGAGACGGTCTTCCTCTTTACAAAAAATGATATCAGAACCACTCTGATACCTGTCGTATGTGATATCCATTGCGCGTCTCGTCCCCTGGCTCAATTACACATTTCAGACCATATTCGCGTTATCCGCGACTCCCAAGCATGACCCCACCCGCGTTTGGCATGCCGCTTTGTGGATATGGTTGCACTTATTGCAGTTCAACATTGCAAACCAGATCCAGGATCCGGAGGAGGACCGCAAGAACAAGCCCTCTCGTCCGATCCCTGCTGGTCGGATTTCTGTGGACAGCGCAGCTGATATGCGCTGGGTGATGGTCCCAGTCTGCTTGCTGCTATCACTCTTGTACGGCACTCAGGCACTGCTGGCTAGCACCGTTTTTGCAGCGTTGACAATCTGGTACAACGAACTTCACGGTGACAAAATGGGGTTGTCGAAGAACGCACTCACGGCCATCCTCTATGGGTGTCTGGAGGTCGGAGGAACTATTGCTGCTGGTAAATATATTCAGTTGCAGACAATCCATCATTTTGCTCACCAAGTGTACAGGTCCTCGCAACTCATACATCGATAAGGCTGGCGCTTTGGCAGTCGCACTTAGCTCGACAGCTTTTGCAACTACGCTTCACGCGCAAGACTTCAAGGATGAAGAGGGCGATCGCCTCACTGGCAGGCGCACGCTTCCCACTATGTTCCCTAAGGCCGCACGCTTTTCCATGATGCTCGTCATTCCCCTCTGGTCCTTTGGTTTGAGCCGTATCTGGAAGATAGATACGCTCTCTACCACCGCATTTGTATTATATGGCGCTTTTGTGGGGACCCGATTCGTGTTATACAACACGGTAGGCGCCGACAAGCAGTCCTGCAAATTTTATAGCGTGAGTCGAAATTTACTTGAGAGTACGCCGAGTTGAAGCTGACGATGGACTTATAGCTATGGTACTCGCTTGGTCATCTACTTCCAGGTTACTGGCGTTTCTTCTATGGTGCTTGAGTACAATATTCGGAACTGAAAGCACGTTGATGCTTCAATTTATCGTCATTGTCCCTCTATACATTACTTCATAGCTTTATCAATGTTCCGCCATACAAAACGTATTTAAAACTAGTCGATTCGGATTGACCTGTGTGCGCAATTACAGGGCTTTATAGCCTATGATTCATTAAATCCACACTGGCAGTAAGTTATAAGACTTGAGTAAATGTGAAATGTAAACGCATACGTGGTCCCCTACGCTCATCCAGCCCTAGACATCTCGATGGCTCAAGAGAAATGACACTAGTATGCAAAGCTGGAGTCAAAAGAAAACTACATGGTACTAATACACCAAGCCTCAAGGCCTCAAGGATTACTGCCTGAGAAAGGTGAATCACGTGACATTAGAGGTATTTGCATGAGTCAAACTTGAACGCAAGCTTGTTTGTACGGCGAGGATCGCATCACTGTCTTCTGCAACGTTACTCAAATGACACCAGCAGCATCTGTAAAGAGTCAAATTTAACTTAAACTGTCACCTGAAGTCCCATTTCGCTCCCTTGGAATGATGCGTGGGTAGGTGGCAATTTCATGATGACATGGAAATTCTGACCATACTATTTTTATTTGCTGCTCTATGCAACCTTACTCGGCTAGCTATTGGCGGCCGCCCTGATGTCATTTTTCTTGGACATTCTACCATAGGACAAACATCAAACACCTGCGGCGTCTGACCTGCACCTCATGGCGATGTTGACATTCGATTTACCCATTATAAGATAGCATTGCGGAAAATAGGGTATCAGTACTGAAGTAAGACGGTCTTCAAGCTGGTCACCCTGTTGGAAATCAATCCGTCAACAAAGTAGTATGGATATTTCTTTTGTTTTGAACTTACGCTCGCGCGCTACCTCCAGTGTACTTTCTATATACGGTAACTCCGCTCAAGGTCCGTCTGGTCTTCCTCCAGTCTGTTTATACTCGACTGGGGTGAGTCTCACTATATGATACTCAAATTCCTTACTGACGTAGTACAGGACTTACGAGTCCTCGTTTGTTTAGATGTGTGGCGTCTTTTACACCCTCCCCGGCGTTCCGCTCTATCACCGTCAAACTTTCACACCTGATTGCACCACAATGGCCCATATGGTTCTCGCCACGTCGCACACGCACTCGACTGTCTTCAGTATTAATAGCTTGAACTCATATGCATGTCAGTTCCTGTGGTAAGATAATGTGAAGGAGGGGCGGCTACGCTTTCTAATCCCTCGGAGGCTCCGTGAAAACGTTTCTCCCTTCTTTGGGTCACCCCTTTGTTTATGCTTTGAGTCCAGATGGTGCAGCTTAGCTAACCTCGTTTGGTAAAGGACACGTTTGCACTGGGATCAAATTAAGGTAAACCACATCGCAATATTTGACGTTCAGCGCAGAGGTACACAGTTGACACAAGTTTCAAATATAAAGTGACCGGATCCGATCAATCCCTGTCACCGCTCCACGGTGTAGCGAAAATGCGAATCGCATTGCTCGGTCAAAATCGACATGGTATTTCCTGCCCCCCTTTTGATCTGACCCTCAATGGACAGCCCTGAAATTCGGGTCGACAGGGCGCTTCATTTAGCTTCTGTCAGCTGGAGAACGGAGTAGGTATCTTGCGAGCTGTTCGCGTAGAGATTCTACTCATGATGACATCCACTAGTTATGGATACCATATACGCTACAATGATGCATGTTTGAACAGCCATTTGGAAATGGCAAGGTGGGTTTCGGGCTATTTAACTCGCTCAAAATAAGCAAACAATCAGATCATGTTGTCCCAAGCTTCAGATAGTGGTCGCCGTATCAGCGGGCATATCATGACACTGTTTTTGTTCACGAAGTCTGACGTCTTGACCACTTTGTTACCTGTTGTGAGTGTCCCCAAAGTTCGTCGTATATTCTTTGTTATGACCTTGTGCATTAGACTTTGTTTGCATTGGCAACTGCTCCCAATCCTCACGCAACCCGTATTCCAGAAACCATTATTTGGATATGGATGCACCTCCTGAAATTTGACATATCTAATCAGATTCAGGACCCAGAAGAGGACAAGAGGAACAAGCCTGATCGTCCTCTGCCTGCCGGTCGCATAACCGCCCAAAATGCGGCGGACGTGCGCTGGCTGTTAGTTCCCGTCTGTCTGATGTTTTCCGCGATGTATGGCAGACAGACTCTCGCCTCTAGTGCTTGTTTCGAAGCCCTCAGTATCTGGTATAACGAACTTGGAGGCCATAAAACTGGATTTTCAAAAAATCTGTTGACGGCCGTTGGATATACGTGCCTGGAAGCAGGTGCGACTATCGTTGCAGGTACGTGAGCTCTTCCACTTACAGCGAGCTTTGTCATCGAGTGAGACTCATATCTCGATAATCAGGGTCCAACCCGCGCATCGACAGTATCAGTGCGCGCGCAGTTATTTTTAGCTGTGCAGTGTTTGCAACGACGCTTCATGCACAAGATTTCAAAGACGAGGAGGGGGATCGCTTTACAGGAAGACGCACTCTCGTCACTCTGTTCCCCACCTTTGCACGCATGTCAATGATGATTGGCGTCCCCCTTTGGTCTTTCTGCCTCAGCCGACTCTGGAATGTGGACTTGGTCTGTTCTGTTGCTTTTATAGCGTACGGGACGGTTGTAGGGGGGAGATTCATGGTTTATAGGACTGCAAGCGCTGATAAAAATTCGTGCAAATTGTACAGTGTCAGTGATCTCCAAAATTTGAAAGTGTCTCCCTGCTAATTCATGATCTTAGCTCTGGTTTACGCTTGCACACTTACTCCCTGGCTATTGGCGATTTTTCTACAGCACTTGAAGCTTGAAGCTTGAAGCCTTGCCCACCAAGCACCTCATAAGCGCGGGTACAATAAGATTCATGACATTAATGAAATAACTTATGTAATATTTTGAAATTTGTGGTAATATTACGTAATGAAAATTGCACAGTCAACTCGTCCCGTCATTAAACGACGCTCGTTTGCTGCATGCTGCAGGTAATATGGGAATTCTCCCAGACTTGAGCTATCGGGGAGGCGCGGGCTCTGGCTTGCCAATTCCTGTTCTTCTCCTTGCCGGAGTATCGACCTTAGTAGCAGTGACTGTCAGTGGATTGTCGATATGGCTGCAGCTAAGAAACTATAGGAAGCCCCTCCTGCAAAGGTAATTCCACTTATATGAGAGCCAGATATGTGCTGAACCATGACGCCTGCAGGATGGTCATCCGAATCATGCTCATGGTCCCAATTTACGCCGTGTCATCCCTCATTTCTCTATTCTCGTTGGACGCAGCGTTCTTCATTGATGTGATACGAGATGTATACGAGGTATGTACTTTCCATGCACGAGTCTCTTTTCTGTGAACTTTAAGCACCGATTTAGGCTTTCGTCATTTATTGTTTCTTCGTTCTTCTGCTTGATTATCTGGGCGGCGAGCGCTCGCTTCTCATTCGACTACATGGACGACCACCTATCCCAGCTATATTTCCCGTCAGTCTTTGGCGACACGAGGTAGATGTCAGCGATCCATACACGTTTCTATTCATTAAACGAGGCATTCTGCGTCAGTATTCGCCGTCTTTATAACGGGCACACTGACAAGTTTCCATTGACAGAATATGTACAAGTTAAACCTGTGTTGGCAATTGCCAGCCTCATCATGAAAGCAACTGGAACATATCATGAGGGTGATTTCCGGGCACGGTCCGGGTATTTGTATGTTTCAATCGTGTACAACGTGTCCATTTGCCTTGCATTATATTGCCTCGCAGTCTTCTGGATGTGTGTAAGCGATGATTTAAAGCCATTTCGGTGAGTTAACAAATATTTTGTTAGCTATCTAAAATTCATTCTTCCTACTTTCCAGTCCAGTACCAAAATTCCTTTGTGTTAAAGGAATTCTCTTCTTTTCATTCTGGCAATCCATTGCTGTCTCAACTCTTGTTGCGACCGGCGTCATATCCAAACTTGGACCATACACAGACAGCGAACACATCTCCCTCGGCCTCACCGATACTTTAATTTGTGTCGAGATGCCATTCTTCGCTATCGCGCACATGTATGCATTTTCCTATAGAGACTTTGTCAAATCATCATCATCTGCCAAAGTCCACGTGGCACGGTTGCGCATGGGGTATGCCATTCGGGACGCATTTGGCCTGAAGGACCTTGCCGAAGACACCAAGGCAACTTTGCGCGGAGAAGGTATCAATTATCGTGCGTTCGAGCCAAGCGAGGGCGGAATGCACGTTGGAGCAGCGAGGGAGCGAAGGATACGAGCTGGCTTGCGTTATTCTGCGGGTGGAAAGCGGAAGTATTGGCTCCCGGAGGTGACGGGCCTAGGCGATGGAAATGCTGAAGGTGATCACACGGGCTGGTTTGGTCGAGTCACCAACAACGACGGAGATGTCTCCGCTCCACTTCTCGCGGAACACGCAGAGAACGTCGTTCACTCTGCACCTGACATGCAATATCGGGAACAACGACATACTGCACGAATGCCCGGCGATGACGTGGATGTGGAGGACGACGATGAATATGCACTGCACTTCAATGATGGCCTGGCCACCGCGGATGATTCACTATATGAGCATGCGAAGAATTACGTCTTCGGCGACTACGCGTACCCTGTTGTGGATGTCAGCTCTGAAGAAGCGCGTTATGCGATGTGGGCTGCGGAAGAGAGAATTGTTAGAGAAGGAGTGCATGTCAATGTCAACAGGAATTCCATTGGTGCAAGCGGTAGCAGAAGCTACGGTGCCACGGACACTCGGGCCGGTCAAATACGAAAGTACGAGGACGGCAAGGACGAAGTGTTTGCTTCGGAAGAACGTGTAGTTGCCTTTGAGGGAAGCGGCCGGAGGGCCGAAGTAAATGCATCGAGGAAGTTGAGGTGGCCGAACGTCAAAAGTAACGGAGCTCCGTCACCATCGATCGCTGGCTCGTCAAGTTCATCTGCGAGTGGATTGGGTTCAGGGAGCCATCTACGCTCCTCAGGGTCATCATCCCGACACGACTCACAGACATCTCATGCATCGCGCCCGAGACTGCTCTCTGGAAGCAATGTCAACGTCCGCGCATCGTCCCCATACCTTCATTCTTCACCCTCACACTCGCGATCGAACCTTGGCACTCCATCACCTCGCTTACTACCTTCTGGATTACATGCACACTCATCCCGATCTCCTCATCCTCCACTCGCAGAGCCAGACGCCGTTGATCTTATTGTGTCTACCGACACGCTCCCAGTGCCCTCGAGTTCGCATTCTGTTCATACTTCTCCACGTGTCACAGGCTTAAAACGTGTCTGGGATCAGGAAGAAAACATCCGTGTTGAATCCTCAGCGGGATTAGAAGAAAACGACAGGTGGTCCAATGATCGTCGCATGGTCCCTAGCGATCCTGAAGTTGACGAGGAACAGGATATACGGAACGAGGAGCCTAATGTTCCGGACGTACACGAGCCAGAGGAACTAGTTCGCGCTGAGACGCCTCCCCCATATGCCCGGGCTTGGACCTATGGAACCAAGAGTCCCGGAGAAGACGAACAGAATCCATGGATGTGATTATCATGATCAGTTGTATGTTCAATGCACCCGAATGCTCGACATGACCCGCCGAGATACCCCATCATAACTTATCCACGTTGTATAACATTCACGTAGCTGTTGATTATTAAAGGGTTTCCTCCATTGCCGATACTTCGTGAGATCGACCATACGTAGCGTCCTGTGAAGTTTTTGCTGCGATCGAGGCAAGGTTAAGCGCTTAAGCGCTAAGCTGCGGTTGTGTACGGCCTTGGACTTATAATAGACTGTGGCTATGCGAGTCGTGGCTGTCCCATGCACCACTTCACGCTCAATTGCTCCCCTCTCTTCTGCGAGGCTGCAAGGGTTTACTTACAACAACTACCTAACATTATTGCCGTGGCGAACCATGTTCAAGAAGGCTGCAGCAAAAATCGCCCATAATTCGACGATACCAGCGCTCGCGGGTAATAGCTATCTGAGGCAGTTCCAGGATCTCATCAACGCAGAAAAGGTTGTTCTGGTCTCGTGAGTGTGTTTTAGACAGCGTATATGCGTTGTTAATGTTCGTGTTGCTTTATTGCACAGAATCCAGAGACTGGGCGTTGACTTAACTGAGGCTGCGGAGTCGCTCAGGGCGTGGGGGGTTGGTGAAGGTGATGACCTCGTAGTGAGTGATGATTTTGTCTGGGTGTACGTGGTGCAATTGTGCTTCATTCAATAATGTTCACGCAAAGCTTCGTGGGATGCCTCACATGTTCTGTGACGCTTAGACGAGCTCATCATCTTGCCATGTCGAGCCGAATACAGTACATACTACGTCACTGGACGGAGCATTTCATCCAAAACCAGTGGCTCTATGTGCACCCGCCATGTATTATTATCCCTTTTCTGACCAAGAAACTATAGGACATACTCAGTGCATCCACGACCCTCCTTGTTAACTTTGCTGCGGCGCTGAGCGCGTACGCCAGTACACATCATGGCTTCCGAGATACCATGAAGTCTGTACGGACGCGCGAGGAGGCACTGGATGACCTACGGCGCCGACGACGGCGTGTTGGAACCTCTGCAGACGGTGCCGAGAAGAAGCTCGGCAAGATGAGCCCCGAGCACAAGGACCTCACAGCGCAGACTGACGCGCTTAATCGACTGCGTGAAGAGATGCGCGCAATGGACGGTGAAATTGTTCGCGAGGAAGCTGAGTTGGGCGATTTCAAGAGAAAATGTGCGAAGAGCTGGATGCAGGCCAAGTTCGGAGGTCTTGCAGAGTGTTGTGAGAAGGGTGTAGTAAGTTATTCTGTTCTTTCACTCACTCTCCACCTCATTTTTTACTCAGATTGTTGGGGACATAGGCAAAGCTATCATTGCAGTATGTTCTGGTGTACGCTCACAGGCCCTATTATGACCGTATTTTGTAGGAAATTCCCGAAGACGTGACACAACCAGGACTTCCTCGAACGTATTATAGCGCCCACCAACGTGTCGGCGCCCTTGTATCTGAGGCACAGCGTGGTATTGCGCAAGTGGCCTTTACGGCTATCCCATCTGGCCGCGTCAGCCAAGGAGAGTATCAACATACATCCTCAACCCAGGCCTCGCCACAGATGCAAGTACAACAGTCGTTGTTGGGAGGTTCTCCCTATTTACCTGCTCCGCGGGTAGGAAGCGGACTCCAGATGGGTGGCTTTGGGAGCGAGTCTTTGGTGGGGCTTAACGAGTTCGACCTGCAAGAAAAATATCTCATCATTTGACATTCACAGTCTCCTCCAAATCCAAACCAGCGCACAGCATCTGCGGACGAACTTGGCGTCTCCACACCGACCTCGACACATGCAAGTCATTTTGCCTCCTTTCCTGCAAGGGGCCCAAGCTTAGGCGTCCTATCACATGACGGACCGGCTCCATCAAGCCCTCCTATCTCCTACTCGCGGCAAGCAGATACTATGGCTTATAGTCCCTCAGCCCTTCCCGCGCACGATACCTCGAGCTCTTTGACCAGCTCTATCGCCGACGCCCTCGCTCGCAGCGATTCCAAATCATTCAGCCCGAATATGTCATCAGTTGATGATCCTGCGCCAAAGTACGAGCCGTTCGTGCCCGGGTCAGGTGCTCGATATACTGGTATTGGAGACACGCGCAGAAGCAAGAGTCCAAGTTTGCCGCCAGGAGCGGCTCCTGCTGCAATTCAAGCATGGGACGGCGGTATGGCCGCTGGAATAGAAGAACACCAGATTGTAAGCGAAAGCAACGACTACGCGATGAGTGTCATGAGTGCAAATGAACAGGCGATGAGCATCGCTGGGCTGAGCGATAGGCAGATGTCACAGGAATCGGTGGGTGGCATGCCGTATGATCGTGACGAGGAGCCCGAAGATTCCAAATCAAATGAAATAGTACTACAAAGGGCGGACAGAAGAATGACGTTTGGGACAGAGGAAGATGAAGCAGAGGCAGAAGGTAGCAGGCCTTTGCCCGAGAGGATGGAAAGCCAGAGACGTATCCCGCGTGTGGCTCCACCCGCTGTAGACACTGAGGTACCAACTCCGCCAGAGCGTACCGGGATCGTGTCTCCGCTCTTACAGCACCCTAGCTCACCTCTGCAGATACAAACGAAAGGGCATGCAGAAGATGGAGACGGAGACGACGAGCACGCACGTAATGCAGCCGCTGCACGCGAGGTCTCTCGTGAATTGGATGCGCTAGCGTTCAGCACACCTGCACCAGTGACCTACTCTACTCATCCGACTCAATCCCGAGCCCCACCACAAGGCTCTTACTTGTCAGGGCAGGGTTACCCACCTCAACTACACCAAGAGCTGCAAACCCATATCACTCAACAAGTGCCTTCTCAACCGCCCTCGCCTCTTGCACCACCTAATGCACCGTTCGCTCACCGTTCCGTTTCTCCTCACCCCCAGTTTAACGTAGACTCGGGCGAATCACGTCCTCTACCGAACATAGTTGCTTCGAGGAGTAGCTCGCCTCGTCCCACATCACCTAGACTCCCGCCATCTTCTCTGTCCTCTGTGCAATCATCTGCTTCCACCCCCTACAGGTCACAACCTGAATACCCACGCCCGCCTCCGCCGTTCTCGTCCCCCCTCATGGCGAAGTCTACGTCTTCACTAACCTCGGGTGTCCCCGGTGGTCCACCGCGAATGATCTCAGCTGCTGCGTTCCGCAGGCCCGGTCGAGCTGGCAGTGAGTCTGGATCGACGTTGACTTCGGCAGGATACACTGGGCCAGCAGACACCTCACCTCTATCCCTCCGTCGCCCACCTGCGTCGCCTGCATCTTCGATGTCACGGCAGTCGGGAGCAATGCGGAGGCTGTCTGTAGTCAACCCAGACCCAGTCCAACCCGATGAAGAAGAGTTCGATTACATATCAGCATACACGGGGGGAGACGAGTCAGGGGGTGCGCAGGCGCGGCACAGTGGGGGATATGGACAGGGGAGGTATGTTAGTGACCTTGAATCTCGATGATGACGAAGATATCTATGTTAAAACTTGGGACTGTATTGCTTTCTTTGCATGGAAGGGACTTATTGACACTGTTTAGTATGTATGTGCTTTTTCATTCGTATTTGTCTTACTGTCATATTAATTCTTCTGTAGTTTGATTTGCAATGAAATCTGTTGTGATGGGTGATCTAACCCTTTAGCTCAAGCGCTCAAGTTGGGACGTGATCAAGCGCGCTGATGCTGAGTAACTTGAAGTCAGGGCCGGTTTCCGGATGCTGTGGAAGGTAACATGCACTTGCGGGTTCATTAATGCATTCCTTATCTTAGCTTTTAGTACCACTGAGCGACAGCCCCCACACAAGAAGTAGCCAGTCCCCCACCCACCAGTGACGGACAGTTTGGTTGATGGTTCTTCAGAGTATGTTTTATTGTCGAGTTCACGCCTTCAAGTACATATTAATGCTGTGCTACAATGCAGGAAAACTCCGTCCCAATGAGCATGGGGGATACGTTGAACATTTCTTAAGAAAGCGCAATTCCTAGATTAACTGTGCTCGTGCTGTTTAGAGCGTCCAGGCGACTCTCGGGCTTCGGTTATTAACAATCCCATCAATGCGACAGAGCATTCCGAATCCAAAACCTCGGTAATTTGCAAATACATCATTTGAAAAATATGAAAACAAGGCTTGCATAAGAAAACACGAATTCGTATCTTTAAATCATATCACCGGTGCTTATCGTAACTCTTAAGTATATTTCGAATGATTCAGAGTGCATATATCTTTGGGAGCAGAGTTCAGAGTTGGACATCGCCAACCCACACTTCCCCACTGCGCTCGTTCGAGCTTAGGAGACCACCCGAGAGAACTACTCGGGTATTACCTCCAGGAGCGGTATAAGATGTTGAAGGGATCCAGCCACGGCTCTCTGGAGTTGAATCACCTGTGAAATGAGATCAGCCGACGGATGTTGACACACGCATGAAGTAGAGTCACGAAGTATGATTAACTCACCTTCCTGGATCAATTTCTTCCACCCTAGCGCGCCCTCGCGCCACACCAGCGCCCAAGCATCATCCCAGAATTTCCCAGCACCAGCATGACCTAAGTCGGAGGCTTCATACTCGCCGTGGTATAGCAATGCGACTCCAGTTCCATCAGGTGTGGAAAGAGGAACAAAACCATGGACGGAGCGTGCGCCAGGATATCCCTGTTGCGGGTCGCCCGATGGTACGACGGTTGTCCAGGAGTTGGTACTCGGTGTGTAAATATCCAAGGGTGGCGGTGTTGAGGTGGGGAGTTGGTGCCCAGCGAAACCTGAAAGAAGGGGGACATCAGATGATTTAGAGAAGGGGACGGCTAAAATGATGATGCCAAGCTGTGTACACATATAAAAAAAGAAACAGAGAATGAATAGAAGTCTGGCGCATATGAAGGGTAAAACACAACAAAAAAAGCGTGAAGCATCAGACTTCGTCTATTTGACATGTCACTATATTACGAAGCGGCGATCACGAATATCGTAGGTAGAGCGCACATCAGGCATAGAAGGTCAACGTACCGCCGAATCGAATGATCACTTCCTCATCGGAGGAAGATGTTGGGAGTTTTACAGAAGCGATAGCGGTTCCGCCACACGCAGGATCGGGAGCGTCTGCACAGAGAGACCACTGAGAGGATTTGAAATCGTAAGAATGAAGAGTAGAGAGGCGACCAGAGGCAGGACAACCCGCATGGATGTACAACTTTCCCTACATACAAATACCGATCAGCATGAGAACGACTATCAAGAAGAGAATGGAATTGCAAATTGATAAAGCGCTCAGGATGTAAGGCCCATTCGCAAACACTTACATTAGCCATGACGGAAGCATGGAAGCTTCTCGCGACGGGCTCGTCGCCCTTGCCCTCCAGCTTCTCCCACACGACCTCATTTTGCGATATCTGCCCCTTCCATATACCTGATTGCTCGGGGTCTAGAGGTGCCATATCAATGCTGCCCCTCCCGCCCCACATATACAAATTTCCGCCATGGAAAACCGTTGTTGCGCCCACTCGGGGTTCTGGCTTCAACGACGCAGACAAAGTGCGCCACAAGCCAGCATTGTCCGCTACAGATTGCTGGACGGCGTTGTTCAGATCAAATACGTGGACGTCTCCATCCACGGGCTTGCGTGGCTGGAACTCGCCAGAATATAGCAGTAGTGTGCCTTTATTTGAGATAGAAGCACAGTGAGATGATCGTGCTTTAGTTGAGAGAGATGATAAACATGTCCACCGGATCGACATCACGTGAGGTCAGGGAGCGTGTTGTTGGGAGTTACGTCCTAGCTGCTACTATGGTACTAGACGATCAGCACAAGGACGAAGATGACAATCGTCGCGGTGAGGTTCTGACAATCGATAAGCGCCACACAAGATGGAGCAACTGACCTTTTCATCTTTTCTGGCCATAAATGGCTGACAAGTCACAATTAGCCTATTACACTCCCACAGGACAATTGAGGATCGATTGTCATGACAGAGCCTCTCCGTCACCTACTGTACTGTACTCGGCGTTGAAGTTACTTGATCATCCTGTGCTCCATAACGTCTGGTTTCAAGATGCGGCGATGAAACGAAGCCTTGAGTCCGTCCATGCACTTCGAACCCAGAGCCGAATGATCTGCGGGTTCCCAAGCTCGTGTTGTTCGACGTGGTTAAAACTTGCTTCCGAGTACCCAATATTATCATCACCGTAACCGTGAGCCGACGATTACAAGGAACATCTATGCATGCGGCACAAGTGAAGACCTCTATCGGGATAAGAAGGAGCAAGAAGCCAAGCAGAAGTGCTCTTTGACCACTGTGCCTTTAAAGCGCCCATGTCCCAAAATAGGTCTCCCTTTCATCCAATATTGGTCAAGTCTATTGTGTTACATTCCCGGGCTTGATCAGACGAGCTTCGGTGCTATACCAGAAATACAATAAACACACTCCCAAATTTGCCATGTCGTCCCCGGAAATGGGAGAGCATGTACGGCAAGCAAAGACGAGGTTCCCTCGTTCTCATCCAAACCCTTTTTGTTTAAGAGCCGTATGAATATGACACGGCTCTACAGCGACTCCTCCTCATCCACTGGGTCCTGGAGTCCCTTTGTCAGTCACTGGACTTACCTGCACTTGTACCTATCTTTCTGTAGCGTCTGGCACCTACAACCTCGCCCTACACCCGACTATCTGTAGCACATCACACTTTAATATCCAAACTATCATCAGTTAGCATCCGTTATGGCATATACATACCCTCCCCCTGAACCTCGCACCATCCCACCCCCGACAAACAACACCCTGTCGTCGAAGGAGCGCTCTGCACTAGTGCGCTCGACCAAGAAGATAGGGCGTATGCTCGGAGATATCCCACGGTTTGTCGATGATATTGAAGATCGTGCGTTTATTGTTCTTTCCACTCACAAACATAATGCTGATTTGAGGCACAGAGTTCGTCATGGTGACGCCTCCAAGACCACCCACCCCAGCTGGACCCTCTAAAGAAGACACATGGAGAAGTCGTAAACCGACTCACCTTCCCCCGCTTATGAAGCTTGCTGGTGGCATTGCGGTAGACTCCAATTCGCCGCCTATGCCCCTCCGTACTGCACCCGCACGGCGCGCCAGTACCGTATCAACTTCCTCTAACAAATCTTCTATTCAAGACCAGCCTCTCACTCCATCCAAGGAGGCTGCGCATCGGCGCAGCAAAATGGAACGGCTACGAAGGAGGCTGGGTGAAGAGGTTCCGATGGAAGCCGTTTTCCCCGCCACGCCTGGCCTGAGGACAGCTGTCCCACACACCGCGAAGCCTGAACGCTCGCGTAATCATAACCGCTCGCGGTCTGTGCACCCTTCACATGACGATACTGTCACATTCTCGATAGATCATCACACTGTTGTCCTGAAAACATCCACACGAGCTAATCACGCTCACTCACCTCACCCGGGCCGTTCCCACCATCCGCACAAATCCGCACACCGCCCGCCGCCATTGCCTATGACTGGGCTACCACCAATGCCCATACCCAAACATTCCCGCGTTTCGGATGAAGCGGGGCTATTGGGCGCGAGGGCAAAGACAGCGGCAGGCTCGAAAATGGGCGGTGCAGAATTCAAGGCCGCAAGACGTGCCAAACGGGAGGGCTTCGGTGAAGTAGAGATGGTTGGTTTCATGGGTGGCTTTTAGGCCTTACTCTATGCTCTTAGGGCCACCACCGTGTGGCCATGGTGGATATATGCGCATGATTTACTGCATACGCAGTGCCCTCGTGTGGAGGAATTCTATGCTTCGGGGATCTCGAGGTTTCGGTATGTTGATCTAATATGTGGGTCTTGGTATGACTTTATGCTGTCTGTGTATGCTGCAATCACTTTCTCCGTCATGACACTACGCACTACATACCACTGGGCTGGACCCTATACCGACCGACGACGTTGGCGTCAATGATGTTGTATCTGTTCTTTCTACATTATGTTAGTAGGCTTAATATTTGCACGTACTTTTTCCTCACCTTACGATTCGAATGTGCGTGCATATGTACGCTTGGATAAGTATTCGATCGGAGCAAAATATTGGTGTGAAGAGTGAGGAGCGGGAGCCTGGCACTAGCGCCGCCTAGTAGTAGCCATCTTCTGGAGTCCGGACGCCAGTTGAGTTGACGCGTATAACCCCACTGCACAGAAACTCCTCGTCATTGTAGGAGGAGGCTACGCCCGAGTCTCCCATCGCAACTGGTTCGAGTTTCTTCTCGAATGTGACGGCACCTGAAATCAGTGACTTCCAGCAACTGGTCGCGCAAGATGCATAATTCACATTAGAGAGAGGGGGAGATTGTTTGCGTAGCTTAGTCAGCAGCGGCTTCGTCGGGCGTTGCCGCACTCATGATCGATGGCGACAATTTCACCAGCAAAATCATTCAGCCCAAGCGTCATCATCGCGGGCCTCGTCAGAGGCATGCTTGTTCTTGGGTTGCACCGCTCCAATATCGTCCTGCACCACGGGTACCAGGCTAGTGGCCGGGCTCAAGTCAATTTCAATTAGGCCAGCACCGCAGATCATTCAAAAGTTTCCCAGAACGATGTGCTGGCACACCACCCACTCCCCCGAGTCCCCCCAAAGTACTTTACATTTACCCAGAAATCTCAAATTGCCGTCGACATCGTTATAGGCAATATGCAGCCTTAGAGGTCGCTAGGCCTCTCCCAGGGAACTCTGTTGGGGCGGGTAGCAGCCGGAATGAACTGTGTCAGCTTCAAGTTGTATAAATTTATATTGACAATGCATGCCGCTTGACTCGGGACCTCGAGGCTTACTAGCCATCTGCTCTCGTCTTAATATGGCTCGTTTGATTCCCGTTGAGTATGAGATAGAAGCCTTATAATAGGTGCGCAAGCGGCAAGAGCCGCGTTGCGCCAGGTTACGCCGAATTGCAACGTTCATGTCTATCTCAAAGGGTATTGCATTGATCACTGGGTCTGCTCAGGGAATAGGTCGCAGCATCGCTCTGCGGCTTGCACGGGATGGCTTCGACGTTGCTCTCAATGATTTACCCAACAAGGATGCCAAGCTGGACCTGGTAGCGACTGAAATTGAAAGTCTTGGGAGACAAGTCTGCGTCGTTCCCGCCGACGTTTCCGTCGACAAACAAGTCAAAGAGATGGTTGATCACGCTGTTTCAAAACTTGGTGGATTGGACGTCGTTAGTCGCTCTTCTTATCTTACCAGACGTGTTCTCTGAATGTTTTATGTGTACAGATGGTTGCTAATGCTGGAATAGTGCCAACGCTTGCCTCGCTTGTATCATGTACGATCTCAGCTTAGTCGACAATTGACGTTTTCTCATGTCTTCCACTAGCAACTGCAGAGTCATGGGACCATACGTTATCAGTAAACGCCCGTGGACCTTTCCTGTGTTACAAGTATGCTGCTATGCAAATGATTGAACAGGGGCGCGGTGGCCGAATCATTGGTGCGAGCTCACTCCAGGGTAAAATGGGTGCGTCATTCGGATATAAATTTGCGTGGGTTTTCTTATCCAGACGACCGGATAGCCTTGCCCTATCACTGCTCTTATGCGGCGAGCAAATTTGCAGTTCGAGGGTTAACTCAAGTTGCAGGTAATGATTGACATCCTCGCATGGGTTGCCTTTGATAACGACTGCTTGACAGCTCTTGAGCTTGGCCAATATGGCATTACCGTAAACGCATATGCTCCTGGCTCAATACAAACTCCTATGAGTAAGGTTGAACCAATTTTTGATTTCCAAGCTAACTCCTAGTTAGACAAAGACAAGATGGATGAGTCTGGGAATTCGGATGTTACAGGACTTGTCGATGATCCTTACTCGAGGAAGTGGATTATGTCGGTGAGTATAGCGCGGCAAACCCGATCCAGATAATGCTTATTTTCTTCACAAACCTCGATAAGTTACTTCATAATGCTCCTATCAAGCACATTGGACAGCCTGAAGACATAGCTAGCATTGTAAGCTATCTCGCATCGAAGGAAGTGCACTTCATTACCGGTAAATAGCTTCATGAATCATTGAACCCGTCTCTTACTCACGTGGCATGTGTTATCTCCAGGCCAATGTGTAGGTCAAGTTGGTTTGCTGCATACAGCTGATCTGAGTTTGTTCCCAGATTTCTGCCGATGGGGGAATCAGCATGAACTGAGAAGACGATGTAAATGATTATGTTCTTACTCCTCGCAGATGTTATGGTATGATTACAACAATAACTTGAGGATTTCCCTCCTGAACTGGAAAGTGGTGTCGACTAAGGCCTTAGCATTTCAAGTACTGGCAAGTGGTGTTGTTTGCCCATGTTCCCCATGGTGCTAGCCCAAGTCTAAGAAACTTCGAGTGGGAGTCTGAATGAACATAAATCTATTTAGATGAGCCTATGTAACATGGTGATTATGTGAGCTGTGAGCTGGCAGAATGTAGTGCTAGTGTTTGGTTGGCAAAAAAAAAAGTGAAGCCTGCAATGGACATCCACAATATCCGAGTCCACACCGACTCAGGTTCCATGCTCGAAGGCCCTGGTTGGCAGCATTGCAAGAAAAATGAGTATATTAGGATGCCAGCTTGCAAGCATGCTGAGTACCTGTTACGCTGAAGGTGTAGACTCAGGTAAGAACTCTGTACTAAGTCTCAGCAGAGACAAAGATGATGCAGAGGTTTGTTTGTTGTTATCGTTGGTGTCTAGACTTGGTGACAAGAGTCGTCAAGTAAGGACGAGGCTAATGGTATCGATTGAGTATAGACACTAAGACGAAGAGTCTTGAGTGAAATCGTATACAAGAGCGATCTTGCTCAAGGAAGGTCTATCAGAATACTGAGTAGATTCAAGTTAGAGAATACAAGACAGGCTGATCGACTACTTATAGGTAAAGACGACTTCAGGGCAAGACTACCAAGGTAACGGTAAGGGTACAGGGTACAAGATAAGAGATACGAGATAAGACAGTGATCAGAGATGCTATACAAGAAGGTGATGGGAACATCATAAGGCAGTACAGGATAAAGGAAAAGATAGGGGGGGGGGGTCCGGTCCGAAGTATGTTATCATAACAGTACTGAATATTGGGAGTAAGTGAGTGCTGCAAATGATTCTGTCGATATGGATGATGGACAAATCATGAGAGCAATCTTCATTGAAAGACAGTGCCACCATCGTGACCATCCACATTCCTGTGAGCTCGTCTCATTCCTTGGCAATGCGGTGGAACATCCACCTGGCCTTCCCAATAAGTAAGCCTTATTAAGCTTGGTGATTATGTGTGTCACCAAGTTTAATTAGGCTCAGTTACAGTAAACCTCCAACACCAGCGATAAATATTGCCCCAAATACCTTTTTACCTTGCAGCTCCTATTACCTACCCGCCTAAAAGGGTAAGTACTGTTCCCCGCCCTCCCCAAGTACAAGGCACTTCCCGTAGCCTCCCCGCCTTATCCAAATCTTGAACAACGGCGGCTTCCCACGCCCCTTCTGCTCTTACTCTACACCATCAACATCACTGGGCAGTATAGCCAACGATCACCGACAATCCAAGTTGCTGGCTGGTGTCCTAGGCACTCTGGCACCATCCTATTCCATCAAGCAAGGTGCTTGCGCTCCCACTATCCTCCTAGATCTCACCCGCCTGCCCAATTGCCATCCTCCTCATTTCTGCCACTCTCAGATCACCCTCAGATCACGCTATCCGACATGCCACGTGGGCATGGATCTTCCAGGCTGAAAGGCCTTTCCAAGTCTATCATTTCACATAGTTTTAGAAGGCGGCATCGTCAGTCACATGTGTTGACAGCTGGCAAGCAAACCCAGCGTGTCGAGGCAGCTGGAGCGAGTTGTTGGGCTCTAGTTCAAGGTATGTAGTATTTTCCTTGCTCTCTATCACCACCATACCATTGTTTTCCCATAGAGATGTCGTCTGAGGACCGCGAGATGGTTGAGAACATGATCATTGATTATGGTATGGACATTGAACTACAACCATACTCTGCCCCCCCAGGTGAAGAAGGTTTAGACATGAGCCATGCTGGAGGTGAATTTGAGGTGTTTGAGGGACTCACCCATGAAATTGCTGGGATCAATGGATAATAAGTGTTAGTTTTTTCACTACCTGCGCTATCTCAATCATATGTGGATTTGGAGCCACTATGTAGACCCACACACTCGCACTGATCACATCGAAAATGAAACGAACCACTGGAATATTCAAATGGACTGCCTGGTAGAGGCCTATTTAGACTACCGCCACTGTGGCTTGGAGGATGGCATGCCCAACTGCAATGAAATACCTGCACCTTCACCATCCGATGATACTCAATGTGTTTCACTAAGTGAAATTGAACTTATTGATATCTTTAGTATGTATTGACTGCCTTGTTGTTTGTCAGGATTGATTTGAACAGGTCGAAAGCGCTCTTCGCTTCAATTGCAACCCTTTCATTTATATCCCAATGAGGCTTTGGTCTATCACAGTTACATTGGATGTGCACCAGTGTATCCAACGGTTGCTATATCTCTCTGTACCCTTGCTGCATACCGCCAAATGCGCTGTGTGTGCCCTTTATTTGGGTTTCAAGCACAGTGTAGAGCTTTCTGTTTTCTTCATGATGTAAGCACTCTGTTCGTCCGTGCAGTTATGTAACTTATTATGACATTTGACTTGACAGATCCCTTATAGGCCTTACCTCATGACACAATTATCTTCTGCCTTCAATGTCTATTTGAAAATTCTCCAATGTGTTGACCAACACCTTTGCATAGCCCTGAAATGTGATACTCCGAACTGGCGCCTTCTAAACTCCCGCCCCACATGCTTTTACAAACTCGACGATGAGCCCAAACTTGAATTCAAGTGGCTTGTATCAGTCGATGGCAACAACAGCCTGAAGAGATGGGACAAATGCCCAACTCGATTCCCGAAAGGCTTGCTGTGACTTTTGGGTTGATCTGGAGTCTGTGGACAAATTCAGTGGCGAAGTCAGATCACAAGTGGTAAGTGTTGACTAATTCCATGATCATGTTCTCATCAGTCGTTTAGGCAGAAGAAGGCTATAACATTGAGGATACAGGAGTTGAAACCAACCCTGCCCCGTTCAGTTGTGCAGATCAGTGGAAGAACACTGGTCCAGAAACTCGGAAGAAGATGTTTTCTGTGTTCGATCAATCAAGAATCTTCATTGCGGCATGTCACCATCGGTTTGTGCTTCTTGCTTGTGATATGATCTGAAGTGGAGAATTGTGAATTCGTGTTTGCTAATCAATTAAGTTTCATTTATTTTACTGATATTAGGGCAAAATACCCACTTGCCATCATCGACAAACTGCTTACGGTCTATGGCAAGAATGGGGCATGAGCATATGGTATAGGCTGTGCCTTTATGAAGACACTAGGTAATAGTACTATAGGGCCATGAGCGCAAGACCTTGGATTCTGTCTCATGGTTGGGGCCTTTCATGGGCACACCCACAATCACATGTGTCAACTCGACTGGCATCCAATGTACATTACAGGAACTGGACACAGCGAAGGAGAGGGCTGCGAGCACGTATTTTCTGCATCTAATGCACTTGTGTGTGGTACCCGACATGTAAGCACGTTCCACCGGCATCAGACGATTGAACAACACTTTGCATTTTGGAATGATGACAAATATGCTAACCGCATACATGACACTAATGTGCCTTAGGCAATTTTCTGTGGAATCACTACCACGAAGCCCTCAAATCAATCGAGATCCTGTTATGATAACATACTTCGGACCGGACCCCCCCTATCTTTTCCCTTATCTTGTACTGCCTTATGACATTCTCATCATCTTCTTGTATAGCATCTTTGACCGCCATCTTATCTTGTATCTTTTATCTTGTACCCTGTACCCTTACCATTGCCCTGGTAGTCTTGCCCTGAAGTTGTCTTTACCTATAAGTAGTCGATCAGCCCATCCTGTATTCTCTAACTTGAATCTACTCAGTATTCTGATAGACCTTCCTTGAGCAAGATCACTCTCGTATATGATTTCACTTAAGACTCTTTGTCTTAGTGCCTATACTCGATTGATACCCTTAGCCTTGTCTTTACCTGACGACTCTTGTCACCAAGTCTAGACTCCAACAATAACGATAACGAACCTCTGCATTATCTTCGTCTTAGCTAAGACTTAGTACAGAGCTCTTACCTGAGTCTACGCTTTCAGCGTAACAAAAGATTCAAATTTCCCACCGGCTCCTCATATTTTGAGGGCCAATAGCCAAGACGTCTTCATTCCTAGGAGAAGAACCCGACGACGTTGTCCTCACCTCTGATAGCTCATCCGAAAGCTCCGACAATATCCCAGTAGAATCTACCCCAAGACAGTTCTTCCCTCCTCCACCAAGAGGGCTATTTGTTCCCCAAGAACACCTGTTGCCGGAGCCCCACCAGCTCTACCCAGATCATCTACTCCGATTCCACTGAAACCACCGGTACCTCCACCAGCAGGACCATTAACCATGTCAAAAGTCCCTGAGCTCAAGATTGGTTCTCCAAAAGACTTTAATGGCGACACATCCCAAGCAACCAGATGGTTGTTTAGCATTAAGGCTTATCATTACGCCAATGCCGATACCTACACCGATGACAAGAAGAAAATTATCACTGCACTCACATACATGACAGGAGGAACTGCTGCACTTTGGGCAGAAACATTCTACACTACTGCATTTAGCGGATCTACTCCCTCCTTCAGAACATGGGCTGACTTTGAGAAAAACTTCACAACCACATTCCAATCCATTGACGTTTGAACCAATACTTTAACCAAGCTAGAAAACCTCAGACAAACCGGAGAAATTGCCGAGTACATCACAGAGTTCAAACTCCTCTCTGCATTAGCCACAGTTAGAGAGGAAGTCGCACTCAAGTACTTCTTCAAAAGAGGATTAAAAGATGGATTGAGGAAAGCGGTTCATAGAACCTCCAAAATCCCAGACACCATAGAGAAATGGTACACCACAGTAACTCAGCAAAGCGCCAATTGGCAGATGGAACAAGCATTCAGAAACACGAACAGGAACACTGCCCAACCAAGAAGAGGATCTGGGAATCGTTCCAATCAAGGACGAAACCAACCCAGACCCACATTCCATCATCAACGTGATCCCAATGCAATGGATGTGGATAGAACCTTATCCCCCCAACAACACAATGACCATTTTAAGAAAGGTCTCTGCTTTAACTGCTCTCAGCAAGGACATCGCTCCAGGGATTGCCCTGAGAAGAAAACCAAGACTAGGGCCGCAGGAGTGCCAGAAGGAAAAGGGAAAGGAAAGGGAAGGGCTAAGAACCCTGATGATGAAACTGATGATGAAGATGAGATGGACACCAATCGAGCAGATTTTTAAACAGAGGACCTGTATCAACGTCAGACTCCTCCCTTTATGTGCTGTATACTAAAACTGTAGGACGAGGCAATGAATTTCGTGTTCCGGTGACACTCTTCTCTACAAAAAGCGCGAAAACCGTTGAAACCACCACCATTATTGATTCTGGAGCAGGAGGCTCTTTTATTGATAAAGACTTCATTAAGAAGCATAGAATTAACTCCCACGAACTTCGAAAACCTTTCCATATCACCACTGTGGATGGAAGTAATTCGAAAGCAGGAATGGTGTCCCACTATTGTGTCTTACCCATCAGACTTGACAAAAGATGCATGTGGGGAAAATTCAACATTACCCAACTCTCTGCTCGAGACAACATCCTCCTTGGAAAACCCTGGCTTTCCACCATGAACCCAGATATTGACTGGACCAAGAATATGATATCTCTTCCTCCTTCACCTTGATCCAAACTCGTTGAAACTGAAATCAATCTTGAAAGGAAGAAAAACCACGTATCCCCTTTCCTTTTCAAAGCAAAGAAAGCGACTATCAAAGAAGAAGAAACTAGGGTTTTTTCCCCTCTCAAAACACTCTCCAATGAGAAAGAACATTGTATCAAGGAAATCAAGAAAAGAAAGAAGAAGTCTAGGAAACCCATAGAAATCTCTCCTGAACTCCCCGATTTCAACGCTATGGAAGATGTATGGGTTGGAAACACCCAATTCCTTCCACACCCTGATAACATCGCAACCTATCCCCTGTTCGACGATGAAGTTTTAATTGAATACACTGCGGACGGAACCAATGTTCAACTCATCGAAAATGCCACCTTTGACTCTCCTCTAACTCGTGATGGGACCTCCAAAAGAGAAATCACAACTCAACAAACACCACTTAGAAATATTTGGATCCTTGCTGCATCGCAAGAATACACCAAAACAAGCAATAAAGCGCAAGAGTTCGCTATGGAGGATGCCCAGGCAAAGAAGAAGCAAACATTTGAAGAATTTGTCCCAGAATATCTTCATGATTTCGCCGACATCTTTGCCAAGGATGGCTTGAATAAACTCCCTCCCTCACGCCCTGGATTTGACCATAGAATCGATACCAAAGAAGGCTTTGTTCCAAAATCTTCTAGGGCTTATCCTTTATCCCCAAAAGAAACTGACACATTAAAAGCATTTTTGGATGAACATGTAGCAAAAGACTTTATCGCTCCATCAAAATCTCCACAAGCCTCTGGCTTCTTCTTCGTTGGAAAGAAGGATGGATCATTAAGGCCATGCCAAGATTACCGGTACATTAACGAATGGACCGTAAAGAATGCCTACAATCTCCCTTTGATCCCTCCCCTTATTGCAAAACTAAGCGACACCAAATACTTCACCAAGATAGATGTCCACTCTGGTTACAATAATATTCTCATCCATCCCGATGACAGATGGAAGGCCACATTCTCCACCTCCTTCGGTCTCTTTGAACCAAAAGTGATGTTCTTCGGTCTTTGCAATTCCCCAGCGACTTTCCAGGCATATATGAACCAAACCTTCGCAACTGAAATCAATGAAGGATGGCTCATTGTCTATATGGATGACATCCTCATCTTCTCTGACACCTTGGAGGAACAGAAGGAACGAACTCGACGAGTACTGAAGAAACTTAGGAAAGAATCACTGTTCCTTAAACCAGAGAAGTGTACTTTCGATGCACATGAAGTTGAATATCTCGGCATGATCATTCAACCTGGACGAGTTGCAATGGACCCAGCAAAACTGAAAGGGATCAGCGATTGGACTTCTCCCTCCTCTATTAAAGAAGTCCGATCATTCCTAGGATTTTGCAACTTCTACCGACACTTCATCTCCCATTACTCTGATATTGCTCGACCACTGATTGACCTCACGAAGAAAGATAATGTCTTCTCTTGGTCAACTCTTTGCAAAGATGCCTTCTGGAAGTTGAAACAGTGTTTCTTATCTGAACCTGTTCTCCGTAACCCGAATCCAACTCGACAATTCGCACTTGCAACAGATGCTTCATTGTTTGCCACTGGAGCAGTACTCCTTCAAACAGATGAGAATGGACCATTATTACAGTTATCAACATATGTACAACAAACACCCCGAACATGCTATCTACAGTACGTACTGTCTACTATAGGGCCTTGCCCCAACGGACAATAAACAAGAAAACAAAAAAAATATGAGAATGGAGTGTATCATCCTTGCGGATACCTCTCCCAATCCCTAAACCCAGCCGAATGAAACTATCAGATTTATGATCGAGAACTCCTTGCTGTCATCCGCGCCCTACAAGCCTGGAGACACTTCCTTGAAGGAAACCCTCATCCAGTCATCATCTTCACTGATCATAAAAACCTCCTGTATTTCAGATCTGCGCAGAAACTCACTCAGAGACAAGCTCATTGGCAATTAACATTGAGCAACTATGACCTTACCTTCCATCATGTTTCTGGGTCTAAACTCGCTGCTCCTGATGCCCTTTCTCGCTGATCTGATCATGCTTTCTCTGGATCCGATAACGAAGATCTTATCCTCCTCCCTGATTCACTATTCGTCAATCTCATTGATACTGAACTCGCAGAAGATTTCAAACTCCTTCATGATGCATCCAACAATGCTACCATCCGCACCGCATTAGACACTTTAAATGGCATATGTGCTCCCCCCATGAAATCAGCACTTTCTGACTAGAAGTTTGAGAATGATATCCTCTTCTACAAATGATGTGCTTATGTTCCTTCCGATCTTTGCCATTGTATCCTCACCCTTCATCATGATCATCCCACCACTGGTCATCCTGGATGCACTATCACTGAATGGAGTGTGAAGAAAGCCTACTGGTGGCCAGGAATGGGGACTTATATTCGAAAATACGTTGAAGGATGCGCAACATGCCAACAAATGAAACCGAACACGCATCCTACTACCCCTCCATTGATGCCGATTTCCTCCACTGCTTCCCGCCCCTTTTCGCAGGTCTCAGTTGATCTTATCACCGACCTCCCTCCATCCCTTGACTTTGATTCTATCATGGTCGTGGTAGACTATGGCCTTACGAAGGGGGTAATTCTCTGCCCTTGCAGAAAAACGATCACCGCAGAAGGAGTTGCACAACTCTTTTATTGAAAAGTATTCCGCAGATTCGGTCTCTATGACAAAATCATCTCAGATAGAGGACCACAGTTTGCCTCTAAACTTGCAAAAGAACTCAGAAGACTCCTTAGCTATCAGGTTGCCCTTTCAACCACTTATCACCCTCAGACTGATGCCCAAACCGAACGAATGAATCAAGAGCTTGAGACTTACCTCCGGATATATTGTTGAACAAACCCTAATGACTGGGCAAAACACCTTCCTATGGCAGAATTCGTTCATAACTCCAGGAAGGGCAGTGCCAGAAATGCATCTCCATTCTTCCTAATGATGGGATATTGTTAAGACCGTGTTCAACGGGTCGGACCGGAGGGGCTTAGCTTCAGCTCGTGCGCTGCGCTCTTTACCCGAGTACGTGCCCCTAATTTACAGGGGGTTGGATATCGTCGGCCGAAGGGTATAGACGGGCCGGACGAGAGAGAGAAGACTACCCGAGACTTCGTCCGGGTAGAAACTAACAAGGTACAGACTACCCGAAGGTAGAGGCGGAGGTATTTAGCCTTAGGGATATATTCCCAAGGCTCGGAGGATCGGACTAGGATAATAATCCCAAGAGCCGAGAGGACACGAGGATTGAACAGAGTCTAAGTTAATATTCGAACTGAGGAAATACTACGGGTTACAAAGGGTTTATATACTGTAGTGTATCCGACGGGTTTCCGGCCGAAGCGCAGTCTTCGGATCAGAGGGCTATGTAGAAAATGTACTAACGGATATGAACTGCTGCGGACGATCGAGAATGGAGCCGGAGATTAAATGAAACAGGAGGGACAAGTTAAATGAAAGGAAAATGAATAGACTAACGGACGGATCAGAATGAACCCGGATATTAACTGTCAGAAGGATCCGGGCGTATAGGGGCATCAAGAAGCATATACAAATGGGGACACGGGGAAATGAATTCTAGAATGGAACCGAGAGAACGGACGGACCGGACCGGACGAGAAGCTTCAGGTATGGAATATGACAGATATGAACCTTGCGGTTACCCTCACACTTTCCCTGACTCCACTCTTCCAGCCGCAGAAGACCGCATCAAACATCTTCAGAAGATCAGAGAAGAAGCCCTAGCTTGCCACAGCCTTGCCCAGCAGCGAATGGCTGAAAGATCTCATGGACAGAAGTACGAACCATGGAAACGTGGTGATAAAGTTTGGCTTTCTGCAGCACACCTCACCACATGACTTCCCTCAAAGAAGCTAGCCCCCAAGCGATATGGCCCCTTTGAAATCACAGAAGTCTTATCACCTATCACGTTCAAATTGAAATTGCCGAAAACATGGAGAGTTCACTCCACATTCCACGCTTCTGAGCTATCTTCCTATCAGGAAACAGAGATACATGGTCTGAACTTCACCAAACCACCTCCTGACCTTATCAATGGAGAAGAGCATTATGAAATTGAAGCCATTCTCTCACACAAAGGAGCAGGCACAAAATGTCGTTATCTGGTATCTTGGGTTGGATATCCTGAGTCTGAAAACTCTTGGATCCATGAATCGGAACTTGAAAGCGCAGCGGAGCTTCTGGATGCATATAAAAAGAGACTCAAGCTCATCTCTAGAGCATTAGGCCTCTAAACCTACCTTGATCCGAAACCATCATGTCTAGCTCCTCCACCTCCTCTTCTGGTTCTGACCGTAGCATCACCAACTTCTTCGAGAACAATCCCTTCACCCACCCTCAGACCACTGGCCAACATCAGGCCATGTGGGAAGCCGTAATCCTTGACATCCAGTATGCTATGAGGCTTGATGCCTACATAGACAGGATCAACGACAATACCCTCAAGGAACTCATTATCATCTTCCGAGCAGCAGATGCTCTCACCCCTGCAGCAATGCAATTCCCATCAGATACAACCAGAGCAAGATTAAGAATGCAGTCTTGAATGCCATTCAGCTAAGAATCGACTTTGACGATGCAATCAGAAGGATAGAAGATGAAAACGAGTTTAATCCTCCTCCTGAATCACTCATTGCGACATTAAGACACACCACTCCTAGCCCACCCCCATCCTCTCCTTTCGTCGAGAGTGATGAAGAAGCAGGGGAATTGAGCACTCCACTCTATGTACCATATACTCCTCCCCGCCGGCCCAGACTTACTACTCGTTCCTTGGTCTTTCCCCACCCAATACACCTCCTCCCAAGGTCAAAGAAGACCAGCAGCTTCCAATTGACATATCTCCGTCCATACCAAGAACCCCTACCCCTGAACTTCTGCATTACTCCCTGCTACAAGTAGCAGCTCCTATCCCTCTTGCACAACCTTCCGCTGCACTTATCCAGACTATGAACGATCCTGACAGCAGGATGGACATTCTTTGCAGAGCGCAAAGACTCACTAGGATGAAACCCAAGCTGCTCTTTTCCATGGGACTTCCACTGAGCCAACACCGTTACAAACACTATGATTTTGAATCTGAACCAGGCTGTACAACTGCAGTGGAGTACTCCCTCGAGATTGCGCAGTACGAGGCAGGAGAAACGACTCAGACCTATCCCTTCAACTGTGTTTGTTGCACTTGCAAGAACTGGGGACACAAACAGAAGCATTGCAAGTGTTATCAATGTCGCATCTGTGGCAAATTAGCCCCCAAACATCTTACCATATTCTGCCCTCTCCTTAAAGGCCAGAAACTTCTTTGTCATGGGAAGTCTTCCGACAGATTCCATGGGGAATTAATCAAGCTTGAAGCTGCCTTCGACCATGAATGTGCTCGTATTGCAGAGGAACGTGCAGAGAACGAACTCAATGCAATTGCAATGTTGGCAGACATGGACGTTGACCCCATCTACTACGCTAATCAAGACAATTGAAGTTGGTGACTTTGAATCCTAGAATGGGAGGTAATGTTACGATAACATACTTCGGACCGGACCCCCCTATCTTTTCCCTTATCTTGTACTGCCTTATGACGTTCTCATCATCTTCTTGTATAGCATCTTTGATCGCCGTCTTATCTTGTATCTCTTATCTTGTACCCTGTACCCTTACCATTGCCCTGGTAGTCTTGCCCTGAAGTTGTCTTTACCTATAAGTAGTTGATCAGCCCGTCCTGTATTCTCTAACTTGAATCTACTCAGACCTTCCTTGAGCAAGATCACTCTCGTATACGATTTCAAAGGAAGCATCTAGCTTCTGTCACAGAAGGTCAGGGTCAGCGGAGATCAAGAAGTGTGCATCAAGCATCGTGGTGAATCGTGAAGAGGTGATGGTTGTGACAGTGTGACGAGGTGAAAGGGTGAGAAAAAGATAGGGGGGCCATGTTACTGTAACAGAAACAGCCTCCTGCGAGAGATCAGTTTTGCATCCGCTATGTAGAAACCCTTGACGAACTAACCAAACGAAGGTATGTACTTTAAGTCATTTTTTATGTAAATATGTCTAACATTAATGATCTCAGAACTGATTGGCATGCAGCATGTGAAGCTGCTAACAATTCCCTTACAGGGATTGCAGCTAGCAGCTTGCAGAAGATTAACGAAGCACTTGCACAAGCTCGGATCTGTGTTGATGCTTTGTATGTGAAACTGCAACATGCCGAAGTGCTGGTGGTGCATGTTAAAATTCAGCTGGCTGTGGAGTCACAATGGGAGATAGGTGGCCCAGAATACACCCAATTCAAGACAGAGGCATGTCTGGGCAAGTATCGCGCTGCACTTGACAAGCTGGAGCACCTAGTGGTCATGCAGTTATTCGAGCTTTCCAAACTTTTGATGTCAGGGACAGGTGAGTTGTTCATCAGTACCTATCTGATTTCTCCACTGATTTAATTTTTAGGGTACAAACTATGTCAGCAGATCAGCAAGGCTTTGCAACAGTGTTCTGAGGCTATCCGAAACACAATAAATCAGTACAATATCCAGGCTCTCGCTCTCAATCCCCCATGCCCAAAAATTTCGTGGAAAGATATAGTTGATTATAGTTTTCTTGGCGAGTTTGATTTGTTACGACATTCACGTGCCGGCATTTGCATCAATGATTGGGCTAAACCAAACCATCAGGAAGCTACTAATAAATTTGTCAAGTTACGTCATGCTCATGAAGAAGTCGAGCAACTTAACATTGAAGTTTGCCGCTTACACACTGCAATTCACGCTGAAGAACTCCAAACCTCTGCCGTTATCGACAACCTGCTTCTTTCGGATCCGAGACTGGCTGCTGAGCTGCAGCGTCAATGCCGTCTGCGTGCTGGCGTCAATGCCGTCCATCGCTATCACTTAGATCGTATTGAGTCCCTTGCTGGATTCTCAGGCATCAGGGGCATCGGTGTCCGCATGGCTCCCGACATCCCCTCCACCTTGCAAGTTTCAACATCCCTCGATGTTCTTGCAGATTCAGGTAAGCTTATTTCTCCTTGCACGGTTTCTGTGCTAGTTTATGTCCATTGCTTTCACTTAGATCATATTGAGCACCTTGCTGGTGGGGGCATCAATGCCGCCCACATGCAGCATCCTTCATTGGCTCCCAACACCTCCTCCGCCTCACATGCTTCAAGATCTCTTGATGTTCATGCAGGTTCAGGTAAGGTTATTTTTCCTTGCATGATTTTGTGCCAATTTAATTTAATTTACAGCTGCACTACAGAATGTTGACGACATTCATGCAATTATCACAACTGACAATGCTGATATAGATGCAATCGAACATGAGGAGCACAGCACAGCGGTGGAGGATATGGCCTATTTTTTAAATTCTATCACTGACTAGTTTACTCGCGTTGTGCACCTTTTGCATGTGTTACGACTTGGATATTTCTTGCGTAACTGATCCAATAAAGGAGTTCAATTCAGACATCTGAGGTTCTTCCTCTAGACAAAGTTCGAGTATAGGCTAGCCTCTTTACAAGAGCTAGATCGGAGTCAAGTATCTTCCTCAGAAGATAGTCAAGTATCAGATAGAACCAAGTAGATTCAAGTTAGAGAAATACAAGTGTAGCTATCGCGGTATTTATAGTGAACAAGAAGGGCACGGACCAAGCCGACTATGGAAGTAAAGGAGTCAAGAAGAACATCAAAGAACTATCTTGAATGTTCATGTGATGCATGTTGATAAGCAGTCAGAGATAACAAGAATAGACGGAAGTATCTAGAACGTTCATGCAGAGCATGTTGATAAGCAGTCAGAGATAGCAAGAATAGATCAAAGAAGCGTGATGATGGGAAAATGATGGGGCCACTGTAACAGCATGTAGTGTAGTTATTACACACATTTGAATGCATCATATGTTTTGAGATCCCCATCCACCGCCCCCAGCAACTTGCATGATCCAATAGCCCCCACTCTATTTCGTGGCCGCAAGAACGTCCCACAAGTGATAGTCTTCTGCATCATTTTTAGCGCTACTAATGAACCAATCTTTCATACGGAGAACTCATTTCTTCACCCTCCACCCCATAATTCTAAATTCGAGCCAGCAGGGCCTGGCCCGTCTCAGCCCGCCACTCAATGTGCACAGTCTAAGTGTCATGATCAAGCAATGATAAAGTACCATGCACTGATATCATAAACCCCTTTCCCAAATCATAGTCCATTGAAGTACTTGGTTAACTTTCATTGTGAATCACTGCATGGGTCGCATTTCCAATCAGAAAGTCTCCTTTTAAATACCTGAAATCTTGCTGAACAGTTTGGAACTTCAAGTTTATTCGAGCCAACATCCTAAATTGGCAGCACTGCATCTTGCCGCTTGCGCACCAAACATCAAATACATTTAGTAGTAGTAGCCTCCTGCACTCTCAGATCACCCATTGTCAATGCTACAAGCATGTCCAGTGCTATCTTCCAACTTAGATGCATTGATCATGGTCAACACTCCTACATTATACTCGCAAACAAGGTAGAGTCCACAGAATTCAACTTTTGCACTCCATATTATATAATGCTTTCATTAGCCCATTTACGTTCAAGTACAAAGCATGCTTGTTACGTCTGCAACCGTTTTCATGTAGTCTTCAACATCCATGCAGTCTCAAACTCAACCACAGGGTTCATACACTTTCACAATGTCTGTACTCAACACACTACATTGCTCAACTTTTGGACAAGGCTTTAGCAACAATGAATGCCAGGCCACTGCCAGGGGATTACTTCGGCACAATGCTCACATTGACAGCACACATTATCATGCAAGGACACGTGGTGGTCTTCATCCCTCCTACATAGCCTTTCACTCCAATACTCAAGAGCCCGAGCTGGGAAGATCACAGACTCAGAAAGAACTTGTCAAGGCGACACTCCAAGATGTAGTTGATGCAGTAAGTGAACTTATTTTTCCCCTGCTAAATCTCACACTCTTTAGATTGCTATGCAGGACTGCCTCGATGGTGGTATATCCCTGTTGATTCGGTGTGCGGGCTCTGGAGTATCTCCAACTATGTCGCCGGAGAAAATTCCTCTTGAGCTGTACATCACACCATGAGAGCTGCAAGAAGTTCCTCTACAGATCGGAGGAGATGTTGCTGTGCTTGTGCAAGCATTCACTCAAGAATTTATGATGCTGCATCTCCAATGTTTCGCTAAGCGCTGTGCTATCGAAAATGTCAAACCACCTCAGTCTTGTAAGTCCAACTGTATTTTCTCTTTTTCCCCATCACTAACGAAGCTCTGAATTTCCTGCCACTCATATCAGTACAGATGGACCATGGTACCTTCCAGGGCCTCTCGTGGCTACTGGGGCTCACATTGCATGCTCTGTGCAGGCACCAAAAACCTTTGAGGAGAATCTGAAAACCTCAACAGCTGCAGGTCCAAAGAAGCCGGCATCTGCAGCAATTTCTGAGGCAATCCAACTGGCGGCAAGTACTGCAAAAGACGTGTTATCCCTATGTTCACACATTCGACAGCACCAACCTGCAGACATCTTTGTTGCCGATAGAGACCCTGGCCCTATTTTTTCAGTTCAGTCAGACTCATGATGGTGTAAATTTTAGTCCTCCGCTTATTAGCATCGGTCCCAATACCGATGCTGCTCTTGATCGGTTCAAATTGGGAGATGAACTTCTACCCAAACTTTGTGTGCTTGTTGGGACTGTGTGAAGTAGTTGTTGGGATCTGACTTACGAGCAGGCTTCTGTCTTGGCGACATCCCTTCTTGCAGACCTTCAAGGTGTGCCGTTCAACCCTGAAATTGTGAAGGTTTGTAATTTGATTGTGGCTGCACACCTGAGCTAATCATTCACTAGCGCAAATTTTCTCTGCTCTCCGCCATTTTGAAGTGCCTTACCATTCTAGTATTTTTATGCGCACTTTACCTCTTTTGTCTGTTTATTATTTTGTAGATCATGAATAATAAGCTGGCAGCTTTTCACTGTGGCATTGTATCTGTTGGATCCATGAACATATTTAGCACTTCTGAACTTTGTGTACTCAGATGCTAACCTGTTTTTCCATCTCTTCTCATAGACAATGGTCTCACAGTATCTCTACACCAACAAGAGCAGTGCCAGGCGTCGTGTTCAGGTGCAGCAGCCTTGCATCTGTCCAAAGGTTATCCTGAGCAAAGAGGCCCGTGCTCTTCTCACATCCACCCAACATGCCAAGTCTCGTCAATTTAAAACTGCCCTTGACGAGGCTTGGTGTCAGATTGATGAGGCTACAAAGACCATTGCCGCGTCCCATCATAAAAGTATTTGCAGTGTACAGAATGAACTGTACATCAGTCATGGGATCCTGCAGTCCAAGTGGTCCAAGCTGAACACATGGAACACGTTCTGTTGGGAAAAAAACCAGGCCAGCAAAAATCGTCAGTTTCGTTTCTCCCTCTCACTATATATTGTACCTGACATATTTCTACAGGCAACCAAGGCAGAGGTGCGCTACAACAGCTCATTTGCGAGCATAAGGAGTGTTCAAGCTCCTTCAGAGTCTATATCTTCCACGATGGGGGACCTTGATCTGGGGCATCAAGATGCCTGTGTTGGAGCTAAACATTTAGGTCCTGTGGAAGCTGATACTGCACGCCCCAAACCAAAACCAAAGCCCCAATGCAAAGCCAAGACAGCTGATAATTAGAGTTTAAAAGTCCGGTTGGGTCCGGTCTTTTGCCTTATTTGGAGGCAACCGGACCAGGACCGGTTGCCTGATTCCCACAATATCAGGCAACCTTGGACTGGACCTCAAAAGACCGATATTTTCAGTCTCTTGCAGTCTTACAACCGGTTTTAGACCGGTCCCTGTCGCAACCGGTTGTACTCCTTCCCACGATTCCAATGGTCTACTTTTTGTAGTAAACGGTTAAGATATGAGCAAGATATGAGCATTATAAAAAAGGGTTCCCAAACTCCGCCCTGCATGTGAGTCAAATATGAAATGTCATTACTATGCTTGAGTTTCTTGACGAAATATGTGCTGCTAGTTAAGGCAATTGTATAGCTAGTCTTAACTTTTCAATAGGGTAAGATATAACATTGATATAAGCTTGACAAAAAATCGTTATCAGGCTTGTCTTTGAAAAATAAAATTTGTTATAAGGCTTAGGTGTCTTGACGAAATATGTGCTGCTAGTCAAGGCGACACTATAGCTAGTCTTATCTTGTCAATAGAGTAAGATATAAGCAAGATATTAGCTTGACAAAAAATCGTTATCAGGCTTGTCTTTGAAAAAAAAAAGTAAGGCTTAGGTGTCTCAATGGTAATTGTAGTCCTAGTCTAGGCAAGTCTATAGCTACTCATATCTTGTCAAACACTCAAGTTTTGGGTACGTTATGAGCCAATCAGTGATTTTGACTGATTTTGACTTGCCATTCTAACACGTCTGATCTTTGTGCTAGTCTTGGAGCATGATAATCATCAAGAGTTATCTAAATTTGATGTTCCATACCATTTTTGAGGTCTATGAACACACTGGTAAAGGTTTTTAAGCTTGGAAATCAATCCCTGGTTCAGTGTCAACAAGCCTAAAAACACGCCCCACAGATTTATACGAGCCATTCTTAAAATGCTTGTAACTTTCCCAAATCTCAACCAATTTTGAAGATCAGACCACCGATAGAATCGCCTAAATGAGCACTACCCATATATAGGCAACCGGTTCCACAATGGACCGGTTGAGACTGGTCTTTTACCGGTCTTTCATTTTTTGCAAAGTTAGGCAACTGCAACTGGACTTTCCTGGATCTGAGGCAACTGGCAACTGAGGTCCGGTCTTTTTCGGTCCGGTTTCGGTCCGGTTGCAGTCTTTTTTTCGGTCCTGCAACTGGACTTTTAAACACTACTGATAATCTTGTCGTGGGTGAAGGCTTTCCTGTGGATTCTATTAGTTTGGTTGTTGGGAGCAATATTGCTCAGACTACACGGAGATCTGGCCAAAAGGCCAAATAGCTTATGCCCATCTGACGGACATTCCACCCACGATTTGTTTTCAATATGCAGTATTTCTTGATTAGCCTCCTTACTACCTTTTTTCAACATTTCTGTCACACTCACACCAGCGGCTGGGCCTTAAAGATTTGAGGCTTGGTTGCCAATGCTGACCACTTTCTACCTACATTCTTCCAATACATATTAGTATTTCCGTCACACTCATCCACCAGCAGCCACCTTAAATAACTTGGTTAGCGCATATAGAATTGCATGTTTTGCCCCTCTCAATGGACTTGAATTCAAATCGTAAGTTTTTTCCTATTATGGAAAGATGATGCAAGGCCAAACAAAGGTTGAACTTTGTCTTCCCTTAGAGTTTCAACCTCTCTCAACAGACGATTCCATCTTACTATTATTAATAGACAACATCTCTCCTCAACATCGACATCAACTGCAACTCAACCAGATGAAGTTCTGGGTAAGTCTTATTAACATTAGGCCGAGACTGTCACTAATAACTTCATTTTTATTGTTTTCAACAGTCATTGTTGTGTGAACATCGTCACCATCAGCCAGAACTCATCATATCAACATGTCAATGGCATTAATGGGCATGCAATGAACATGGTACGTGTTCTGAATCCTTTTTCTTTTAATATCAATACTGAAAAACTTGTTAATCATAGCCCTCATTGTCGGCTCGTTGAGGCAGGCAGTCGCTTACCGTCAAACGGTTATCTATTTCCCCCTTGACAATATCTAACACCATCACCATTACCACAACTTTCTCCTTGAGCATGTCACCAAGACGCCACAGCAGCCAGCACCAATTCAGGTGTTTGTGGATGGCGGACTCTCATTTCTGGACCACTGTACAGTGCCGGTGACCATCCTACTGTTAAGACCGTGCTCAAGGGGCGGATCCGAAGGGCTTGGCTTCAGCTCGTGCGCTGCGCCCCTTACCTGAGTACGTGCCCTTAATTTCCGAAGGCTAGAAACAAAGTCTGAGGGAGGATGATGAAATCCTGGTGGACCTCAAGGGGACAAGTCTGGTAGACTTTTCCAAGGAAGAGTCGGGCTGATATTCAGGGGGTTGGTCCGGCCAATATAAGGAGGGTTCATCGGCCGACGTAAGGAGGGTTAGTCCGGCTGATCATAGGGTTAGTCCGGTTGACATAAGAGGATTAGTCCGGCCGATGTAAGGAGGGTTAGTCCGGCCGACATAAGAGGATTAGTCCGGCCGACATAAAGGGATTAGTCCGCCGGACAATAGGGGTTTAGTACACCCGGAGAATAGGGGCTTTAGTCCGGCGGACGTGGGGGACAGAACAGACAGGTGTAAGGATGGAAAGACAGGAAGTCCGAGAGGACAGAAGGACAGGAAGTCTGAGAAGGTGGAAGCTAGAGGTAAGACTACACTAGACAATGTCCAGAGTAGAAACTGACAGAGGTAGACTACCCGAAGGTAGAGGTGGAGTATAGCCCGAGGAATCAATCCCAGGACACAGAGGTTGGACAGGGAAGTGGACCCGGGCCCATGGAAATGGATCCGGGTCCGAGGAGACAGGAATGAGGATAATCTAAGGTGATATTCAAACTGAGGAAACTACTACGAGTTTACAAGGTATTATATACTATGGACATGTGCGACAGGGACGGAGTCAGCGGAGATCCGGGTCAACAAGAGGAACATACGGAAAGGTTAAACTGACAGGCGCAAGGAAAATAATACAGGAACAATCGAGAACGGAGACGGAGATGAAGTATTGAATGGATCCGGGCATAGGAGGTATGATCAAGAATGAAGTCGGATATTAACTGTCAAGCAGATCCGGGCATATAGGGGTTAGGACAAGGGGACTATACAAATGGGGTAACGGAATAGGAGCAGGACCGGAAATGAACTGTCAAGCGGATCACAGGAAATGGGGATGGAGATGAACTGTGAAGTGGATCCGATGTTTTAGGGTTTAAGTGGACCTGGGTCCGAAGCTCAGGATCTGAGTAGGTCCGATGTTTAGGGTCCGATGCTTAGGGGTTAAGTGGACCCGAGTGGGTCTGACATATAGGACGTCCGACAAATACAGGAGGAGTGGACGAGTGGATGAGTGGATGAGTGGACGAGCAGACGAGTGGATGAGTAGATGACATGGGTGGGATCTGATGAATAGGACGTTCGATGTATAGGAGGTCCAATGTATACAGGAGGAGGACCGATGAATAGGAGGTCCGACGTATAGGACGTCCAATGTATATGGGAAACAGGGCAGATCCTGCTGAGGGGTATGTCCGGTGGAGACTGGGATGCGGAGTTATCCTGCCGAGGGGTAGGGATAGGGTTAAGGTTTTTACAATTAGTATACTTGTATGTGCGCTATCTGCAATCAGATAGTACTCTCAGCTCGCGCACACAGAGTGTCAACGCCTAGTATTCACCTGCAATCAGATAGTACTCTAAGGTAAGGCATGAGCTGAGAGAATGGGATAAAGTACTAAGGGGAATACTGACCTCAGCTCGCGCACACAGAGTGTCAACGCCTGAGGTCTGTAGTAAGTAGCTAGCGTGAATATATACTACGAGATGGACAGCGGGAAAATGATAAGGCGTGCCGCGCATCATATCGTCCGCCAGACGTCGCGCATCTGGCGCGATGGTAACGAGATACTGTCAAACGGTAAAACAAAGTGAGATGAAACATAAGTAAATGTTATCATGCTGCGTCATGGCTACTCGGGCCGTAACAACTTGCATACTCCAACACTCCCCCTCAAGTCGGACGCAGCCCGAGTTCTACGGCAAAGTGCTTGACCTTGGGAGAGGGCAACACCTTCGTCAGCGTATCAGCGACCATATCGGCAGTAGGGCAGTAGATTAGGCGTAGTTTGTCGTGTTCAATGACCCAGCGAATGAAATGGAAACAAATATCGATGTGCTTTGTGCGAGCGTGATACTGATGGTCTTTGGTGAGGGCAATGGCGGATTGGTTGTTGGAGAATAAGATGGTGGGATCGGTGAGGGGTGTGTAGAGCTCGCTGATGAAAGAGCGCAGCCATAAGGCCTCCTTGGCAGCGTGCGTGGCAGCCACGTCCTCGCTCTTGGTCGTCGAGAGCGAAACAATATCCTGGCATTTAGACAACCACGAAACGGCACCACCATCAATCAGGAATGCGTACCCTGATATCGCTTTCCATCCCTCTGCCATACTTCCATCTGCATCCGCGTAGCCCACCAGTGTCTTTTCCACTCCTCCATATGTCAACCTCAGGTCCTTCGTGCCGACGAGGTAGCGGTAGATACGCTTGACGGCTTCCCAGTGGGCCATGCCAGGGTTGCTGGAAAAACGGGAGACAGTGGTGATGGCGTAGGAGATGTCGGGGTGTGTACCCAACGAGGCGTACATGAGGGAGCCAATGGCCTCACGGTAAGGCACGTGGCGCATGGCTGCAAACTCAGATCCAGTGGAAGGAGACTGACCTGAATGGAGCTTCGTGCTCGGCTCCATGGGGTTAGAAACCGGCTTAAGTCCGTCGAAGTTGAACCGGCGGATGATCGAGTCGACGTAAGTACACTGGGATAATGAAATCAGCCGATCGTCGCATGATTGAAGAACTTCGATTCCCAGGAGCCAATGGAGTTCGCCGAGGTCGGTAATTTCCACATGTTTGCGTATCTCGTCCTTTAACTCCACTATTCCCTTCATTGTCCTCACTGCAATCGTGCAGTCGTCAACGTGCACCACGACTATCGTGTGCTCGTCCTCACGTCGCTTGGAGAATACCGCCTGGTCCACCGCACATTGGGTAAATCCCAGCCCGTCCACCAATATCTCCACCAGCCTCTGGTACCACCTCCTCCCGCTCTGCTTCAGCCCATACAGCGTCTTGCGAAGACGACAGACCTTGTGGGGGAATTCGACTGACTCGAAGCCCGGCGGCTGGCGCATGTAGATGACCTCGTCCTGGGTGAGTTTTCTGTTCAGATACGCACCCTTGATGTCAATCTGATGCAGCTCATAGTTTAGGCGCGCAGATAAGGCCAGGACCGTCCTGATGGATGCGAGGGTGGCTACCAGGGCGTAAGTGTCGAAGAAATCGATGCCAGGGACCTGGGAGAAGCCTTGGGCGACAAGCCGCGCCTTATGGCGCACAATGTTGCCAGCGGCGTCCTTCTTTGCCCTGAAGACCCACTTGGAGCCAACGAGATTAGCGCCAGCTGGTAAGTCCACCAGCTCCCAAGTTCCTGCCGCCTGGATAGTAGCTAACTCCTCCCTTATGCCCTCCTCCCACTGTGCCCAGTCTGGACGACGTCTAGCTTCTGCCAGAGTGCTAGGCTCCAGTGCCTCAGACTCTGCAGTCGCCTCGCCTATCGCCATCGCAAGATCGAGGCCTGCGAGTTCATCATCGGGGTTGTCGATGATCGACAAGAGCCTCTCCATGGCCTCCTCTTCCTCGACATTCGCTGGCGAGGCGCTTTCCTCGCTGGAGGGCAGTTGGACACCACGAGGTATGGTACCGTTTGCATTGACAATGTCGATGACGCGCTGACTGGGTTTGCGGATGCGTCTAGATGGGGGATCGTTCTCAGTGGGATGGATAGGGTCGTCTGGGGAGTTTGGTGGGATGTGTGGCGCTTTTAGTGGGATGTATGGGGCTGGGGATTTGAGTGGGAATGATGGGACTTGGGACGGGTTGTTGGTAGGTTTGGCCGCGTCTGTGCCTTGCCCTTGACCAGATCCTGCTGAACTTGTCAGTGCTGAGGGCGTTACCATCGCGCCAGGTGAGTTCTCTTCTTCCTCTCCCTCGCGAGCTAACACCTCAGTGCAGGTGGCATCCCAGTAGACGTTCCTCTCGACGGAGACAGATTGTTTGGACGGCCAGTACACACGGCACCCATTCCTGCTGGCGTCGTTAATGCCGACCCAGCGCCCCTCCTCAACACGACCACCCAGCTTACTCACAGCCTCTATTCGCACCCAAACTGGTGATCCCCATGCACGCACACGCCGCAGGTCAGGCTTCCTGCCTGTGGTTGCCTCAAGGGGGGTTCCTCCATCCAGCGCCTTAGTGGGGGTGCGGTTTTTCAACCACACCGTGTGATGAACGGCCTCACCCCACAAGAACTGTGGCAGACCGCTGTCGTGCAACATCGCACGCACCTTCTCCAGTAAGGTGCGATTGAGACGCTCAGCAACGCCGTTGTGCTGTGGGGTATCGTGCACTGTAAGTTTCTGCTCAGTGCCAGCGGCCTTGAGGTGGACGCTGAACTCTTTCCCCAGGTACTCCCCGCCTCTATCAGAGTGGAGGACTTTTACCTTCGCGTTGTGCTGAGTAAGGCACCACACCTCAAAGTCCTTGTAGGCAGTGAACGCCTCACTTTTCTGGCGCAGGAGGTGGAGGTAAGTGAGCCGTGTTTTGTCGTCAGTGAAACTAATGTAGTAATGGCGTCCTCCCAGTGTTGCGACAGGTGCAGGGCCCCAGAGGTCAGTGTGGACCTCACCTGCAAAGTCCTTTGCTCGCTCTCCCCCTCGTTCCTTGGCGATTGGCGAGTGGCTTGCGTGTCGCCTTGGCGTACACACACGATTCGCAGAACACTGGCTCGCCGGACAACAAGTCCACCTTTACCCCCGACACCATACCATTCTCGGCCAGTCGTCGTGCCACTGATGGTGCGATGTGGCCCATCCGTCTATGGAACTCCATGACGGTGATGGTTTCCACCGCGGAATTGGCGCCGTCTGGATCCTGCTCGTGGACCACACGATATAGGCCACGCGGGGACCTTGGGATGCGCCCAACGACAACATCGGTTGGGCTGCGGATGGTGCACACCCCATCTGCAAAGGTGACGGAAAATCCCAGCGCATCAAGATGTCCTACCAACACGAGCATGTATCTGACCTCTGGCGAGAACAACACCTCTGTCAGTCGTAGCTGCGACATGTCCATGCCGTTTGACACATCGACGACCATGCTGCCGATTCCCGTCGCATCAAAGTGTTGCTTGTTGGTGGCGGCGAAGGACTTGGGGGGGATGGGGGTAAGTGACTTGAATTGGTCGTGATAGGGCGATATATGCCTTGTTGAGCCCGAGTCGTAGAGCTCGACGACGGGCTTGTCATCTCGCTTGTCGCTGGCTTGGGCAGCCAGTTTGATGGCATCCTCCATTGCACCAGGTACCTCGTCGACCTCATTGTCATCTCCTCCTGCCTCTGAAAACCAGTCTGTGTCATGCGCAGCATAGGCTTCGCGTTCGTCGTCGTTGTCTGAGTCGGACAGGGAGAGAAGATCGGTGATGTCAGAGTCCAGCTCTGACGTGGAGTCGACGGCGAACACGCTGTCCTCCTCGGAGTCATAGTCGTCGACAACATGAGCAGATCCATGCACGACAACCGCCGTTGTGCCCGCTGACTTGTCTGGCTGTTTACAGTCAGCCTTGAAGTGCTCCCTGGAACCGCAGTTCCAGCAGGGCGGGCGCTGTCTGCCGCGCCCATTGAAGCCATCTCGTCTCCCTCCTCTCCTATTCCCTCGTCCTCAACTGGGGAAGTCACCTGGGGCCACAGATAGGGCCTCCTCACCATCCTTCCCCTTCGTCGTGCCGCGGCTGTTGCTGCCACGAACGTCCTTGCGACTATGTCGCTCGGACTCCTCAATGATCAACGAGATCAGGATGTCGGGGTCTATGGTCTGGGTTGGGCTGTAGAGTCGAGCAGCCGCGAGTTGGCTGGACGCGAAGCTCGCAAGGTGATTGGGGAGGGATTGAATGATGGTGGACCGGTAATCTTTTTCTTCAATGATCATGCCAACGGCAGCTAACTCGTCTCGTTTGGTGCACAGATCGTCGAGGAACTGGTGTATATCGCCACCAGTGGCACACTTCGACTCCAGGAACTTCGTTCGCAGGTCGGTCTGCGCGTATGCACCCTTCTCGGTGTATTCGCGCACGACCTCTGCCCACATGGTAGCTACGTTGGACAAGGTCCTCACACGCAGCACTGTGGAGTCAGGGATTCTCTGGGCTAGTAAGTGTTTCGCGGTGTTCTCACTTTTCAACCACTTCGCTAATTCAGCAGCATCGGGGGGGGAAATGGTAACTGTTCCGCCCTGGGCAGTGCTAGATGCCCCTACGGGACGTGACGTCGTTCCATCGAAACATTTCCACAGCTCCTTTGCCTCGACGGCAATCTGGAACCGGAGCGAGAAGATTGCCCAGTTCGTGCCTTTGACATTGAGCTTGGGCACGTTACTGGGGAGGGTGTCTGTGGTAATGGGGACTGTTGAGGACATAGCGGGCTAGGTTGCTTGAATCGTTGTGCAGGGAAGCGTGAGGCGGTAGGTTTCTTTAGTAGAGCTCAGGGCTCATAACCTTTTACAATTAGTATACTTGTATGTGCGCTATCTGCAATCAGATAGTACTCTCAGCTCGCGCACACAGAGTGTCAACGCCTAGTATTCACCTGCAATCAGATAGTACTCTAAGGTAAGGCATGAGCTGAGAGAATGGGATAAAGTACTAAGGGGAATACTGACCTCAGCTCGCGCACACAGAGTGTCAACGCCTGAGGTCTGTAGTAAGTAGCTAGCGTGAATATATACTACGAGATGGACAGCGGGAAAATGATAAGGCATGCCGCGCATCATATCGTCCGCCAGACGTCACACGTCTGGCGCGATGGTAACGAGATACTGTCAAACGGTAAAGCAAAGTGAGATGAAACATAAGTAAATGTTATCATGCTGCGTCATGGCTACTTGGGCCGTAACAACTTGCATACTCCAACAAAGGTATAGCTTGGCTACATTTCGGAGGTCCGGACATTGTGTTTTGGGAGAGATGGGATATGATTCAGGGGCTCAGTGTACGGTATATGACACCTACCATTATAATGTGCGTATCTGCACGTATTAGTTGAGCCCCATTGACATTTTCTGGCTGCAGGAGCTATTATTGTCTGATCCGGCCCAGGGCGCCCTCTGAGTATTTGCTGTCCCATCGACTCATACCCGCAATAGTCTTATTAGTGATACGTATCAAGAAATTCAACTTTTGTAATGGATGACTTTCTGTAGGCTCAAAAAATGTTTATTAGAATATCATATCATAAATTTGACTACATTGGGAAGGTGTGCCGCGATGCTGCTGTTCATTTGAGCACAATTTGCAAATGTATTTTCTTTGCCCCCCATCTTATAAAAAAAACCTTAATTTATTTTGATCTGTAGGAGGGGTACTCCCCCCTCTGCAGACTTGAATATCCGACTTTCTTCTGTTTTAGGCCACTCCACCAGTGATATTTGCTGACATAATCATTGAGCCTTACTCAACATGTGGTCAAAAGGTGTGTCGTCAACATTTGTTGACACCTCTTTCTCCCTCGTCTTTTTACATAAACTCTAGTATACTTGCAAGTCCTCCATACAAAATTAAGACCTGGCAACACCGCTGTAGGAGACGCCCAGGCTGCAGCCCCGTACGGCACCATTTCCCCTTACTGGACGAAGTCACGCCTACCTTCCACAGGCCGTTGCGGACCATCACACGAGGTTGCGGAATCCACGCATCGCATCGCATCGCAACGTACCATCCGTCCATATCCTGTCCGTATCTGTCAGTTCCCACTGGTGCGTTCTTATCTCTTATTACTGGATCCTGATCATTTGCAGAACTATGCGCATACCGTTCCCATGCATGAGGTCGCATAGCGCTACTTACATATTATCCCCTCCGACTTCGCGTACATATGCGCTCGCTTATACAGTTCCGGTTTCTTACGGACTATGATATATACTACGTTGCGGACTCGTATCCAGTACTTTCCTACATTCCCTCTCTCTGGTTGTGTGTTGCGGAGTCACTAGCTTAGTCTTACCTTGTCTTTCCTTGCTTGAGCAATCACTTGTTTGCCTTCTCGTCCCGCGCGAACGCTCGCATCGCCATTGACAGTTGACTATTGCTAGTCCTAGTTGAGTTCCCTTGCAAGGTGGTTTCTGCACGTCTTCGCATATACCTGGTACCTAGTTCGCTCTACCCGATTACCTGTTCCGATACCTGGTACCCTACCCGTTTCGCATACCTGGTACCCTCTAGACATTCACTTGTTTCTCCGCATCTGCATACCTCGCATCTCCACATACCTTGCATCTCCGCGCATTCTCGCATCTCCGCATCTCCTTGCATACACAGCCGTTCTGTCATCAGCGCATCACTTCCTTCTTCACTGTTCCCCTCGCTCATACTTGAGGAACTGCTCTCAGAGCTATCCCCTTGGGTCGACTACTATTCTCCCACCCAGCAGGATCGGTATGCTATCACTATAGCAGACTTCTACGATTTCTCCCACACCGCCTCCGCCAGTGCATCCAATCTCATTCAATCTGTCCCAGCGCCTACCTCCAACCAATCCTCATCCTCCGTCAAACAAAGAGTTACTTACCATCACTGTTTTAAGGCTGTCATCATCAAAAGGTTCTGCTTCGTCTTCATTGAGAAGCAGGTACTGCATTGCAAGTTTGTCCATCAAGGACTGGACTAAATCTAATGACTGAGCCTACGGGGGATTATTGTTGCTTAAACTAAATTTTCATCACTATTTCAAATGTATTTTAGACTCCAAAATATTCTATTCTGGATTATTTTGCCTATGGAAAGTCATCCAATCAGTAATTAGTATTTTATTTTAATGACATACCAATTCGATGCATTGCCTTACAATGGATCCAATGAATTCTGCACCCTTGAAATTGAGTCACATGGATTCCAATTGTCTTGCAATTGAGGGCCTATCTTTGGTGTCTCAAAATTTGACCCATGCATTGGAATGGTCTTGGAACGGTCTTGGAAGACCACCCCTGAGTCTTCCAATCAACTTCCATGATTTTTGGGTTGTCTTGCAACCGGACCGCAATGCCATCAGTAAATCGAGGCCTTCCATGCCCTTTTAAAATATTTCAACCAAAATTAGAATTTTCCGACAATACTATTCTACTAGCCTTGACTCCACGTGCACTCTCATCCTCTGATCACCAGAAATGTAAGACAAGAGGCTTTTGTTAAGATGAGGGTCTTTGCGACTTATTTTGACTTGGCCGGAAATTTAAGCTCATCAAGTTAATTTAAGAAATGTGGTATTTTACTGATGCACCCACTGACTCGGAGTGTATACACAGTGGCACTGCACACAAACTCCTCGACATTGTATGAGGAGGCTACTGTTGGACTAAGAGATTGACGAGCGTGACTCGGAAATAGCCGAGAAGTGGCTTAAACCTTAAATCATCGGTGTAGATACAGCAGTACTGTTGGAACTAACACAGAGGCACGCTCAGTGGTTGTGAACAACGACTAGAATTAATATAGTTACTAACACAGAGGCACGCTAGAGAACTATCGTAAGAGTGCGGTGTGATAACAAGAAGCTACGAAACATACCTCAGTGGTTGTGAACAACGACTGAGGTATAATGAAATGAGACGATGCGAGTGATATACGAAATGACACGTGATGAAACAGAATAAGGAAATGATAGCGAAGCGATGACGACAATGACGATTCTACACACCCCCACAACAAGACATTGTTGAACCTAACACGACAAAAGAGAGAGACCAGATTGATGACGAAGAAATAGCAGGCGGGGAAGACATTTCGTGAAAATGTCAGCAACATTCTTGTGCGTAGACAGCCACTCGGGTTTAAATGTTCCTTCTTTGATATGCGTGTGAATGAAATGATAGTGAAGGTCGATGTGCTTTGTGCGGGTGTGATTAGCTGCTTCCTCGGACAACGCGATGGCTCCAGCATTGTCGGCGAATAGACGGAGAGGTAGGGTGAGAGGGAGTTTGAGACACTCGAAGAATGATGTGAGCCAGAGACCGTCTTGGATCGCCGCAGTGAGGGCTATGTACTCAGCTTCGGTGGAGGATAGCGCATGTGTCACCTGTTTCTTGGATGAGTGAGAAACGGGCCCGCCGTTGAAGAACCAAACATATCCCGAGATCGAAATGTGATCCTCGGGGCAGCTAGCCCAGTCCGAGTTGCTGAAGCCGTGCAATTCTGGAGTTGCCATAGCACCCCCATAGTGCATGCGAAGGCCGATGGTACCCGCAAGAAAACGAAGCACGTGTTTTGCAGATGCGTAGTGGCGTGGTGCAGGGGATGAGTTGTGTTGGGCAAGCTTCATTACGGCGACTGCAATGTCAGGATGAGTATACATGGCGAGATAGAGGAGTTCTCCAACGAGCTTACGATACTCGGAAGGGCGGTCTTCGACGTGAGGATGCATGTCGGTATCGCGACCAAACGGGAAGTGAGGATCCATGGGTAGATCCGAGCATACCATGCTCTTCCAAGAGGTAGGTGATGTAGTCTGTCTGGTGCATCCATAGCTCACAGGTGATGTGATTCCTCTCGAACTGAATCCCCAAGTGTTTCGCGATGGGACCGAGATCAGTGATGCCAAAGTGTTGTGCGATCTGACTCTTGATCCAGATGAGAAACAGGCGGTTGCTAGCGGCCGCCAACCCATCATCTACGTGCCAAGCTATGATTTACACGATCCTCTCCCCCTCCGCGTTGGTGTGGTCATACACGAAAACGGCGTAGTCAGCAGCGACGCGAAGGAAACCCAGAGCGGTGAGAACCTCCTGTAGGAGCTCATACCAGTCATAGGCAGCCTGCTTCAGTCCGTAAAGGGAGGATAAGAGGTGACAGACCAGACACATGCCATCCCCAAACTGCTCGAAACCGGGTGGCTGGCGCATATAAACGTCTTCGGTGAGTTTCCCCCAGAGGAAAGCGCGTTTCGCGTCGAAGGCGTCGAGCTCCCAGTTGTTGAGGGCCGCGAGGGCAGAGATGATGCAGATGGATGCAGCCTTCGCAACAGGTGCAAAGGTCTTACTGAAGTCGATCCCCGGAACTTGCAAAAAGCCCTGTGCCACTAACCTCGCCTTGTAGACCGAACCCCCCTTCTGATCCTCCTTAAACTCAAGAACCCACCTGCAGCCAATGGCCTTGTGATCGGCCGGCAGCAGGACGAGCTCATACACCCCCATCTCCGACATAAGGTTCATCTCCCATTTCATGGCAGCAAGCCATGAGTCCCAATCCGAGCGACGCATAGCTTCATCATTAGTGTTCGGTGGAATCTTCATGTTATAACCAAGAGCCTGGGGATTGCGGCGAGTGTCGCTGTGCACAGAGAGACAGGCCTGCTCGACCACAATGAGATTGGCGAGAATGGTGGGAAAGCCGACGGTCTCCACGTCAGGGACGATCGCGTCAGGATCAGTGGGGACGTCGACCTGGAGAAGATGAGATGGAGTAGGAAGGAGGGAGGGAAGAGCTGCGATGGGAACGGTGGGAATGGAGGTACTTGTGTTGTCGACAGGTGGAACACCCAGAATGCGTGCCTGTCTGAGTTCACGCTGCCTCTGAAGATGGGCAGTGTCAGTGGCAATTTGTTCGCGGAAGAGACGTCCACGTTCCGTGGGAACACGAGGACGCCCAGAACAACGAGGCACGACAGCAGGAGCGATGACAGGTGGTGCAGGGATGGGAGCAGCTGGCTGGACGATGGATGGGACGGGAAGATCGACAACAGGACATGGTGCATCATCGTCATCATCATTGTCGCTGTCAGCAACGGGGAAGGGCTGATTGGAGAACGATTTGTCGAAGATGACGTCACGGGAGTTGAAGAATGCTCCCGTGGTAGTGTCACGACAGCGCCAAGCTTTCACTCCTGGTGGGTAGCCCATGAAGGCCGCCGTTTGTGAACGAGGCCCCAATTTCTCCTGAACCTCCGGTGGGATGCGTGCAAAACACCGCGCACCGAAGACCTGAAGGTGCAAGACGTCGGGTTTCGTGCCGTGCAGCATTTCATAGGGTGTGACACCAGGTGGCAGAGAACGGGATTCGGTGCGGTTGAAGAGGTAGGCAGCACAAAGTGCCGCCTCACCCCAGAGTGTGCGAGGAAGACGGGCATGATCGAGCATGGCATACATGCGGCCCTCAATGGTGCGAAGCACACGTTCTGCCTTGCTGTTCTGCTGATGAGCATATGGGGCCGACAGTTGATGCACAATGCCCGCGTTCTCGAGCTCAGAGGTGAAAGCACCATTGAGAAACTCACCACCGTTATCTGAACGGAACACCTTCACTCGCAAGCCAGACTGATTCTCCCAACGAGCGCGAACGAGACGCCAAGCCTCAAGCGACTGATCTTTAGAGGTGAGGAGTTGCAGGTTCAAGACGCCTGTGTGATCGTCAAGGAACACAATGAAGTATCGCTTGTTGTGAGGAGTGAGCACGGGAATCGGTCCGCAAACGTCAGAGTGAATGAGGTCGAGAAATCGTGCTGCACGAGGAGTGTCCGAGGGCGGATGAGGGCGACGTGGGTGTTTCCCCATGATGCAAGATTTGCACTTGGATAACGCAGAGCCTGGAGTGACGGTAGCACCCACGGAAAAGAGAGGTAAGCAACGAACGGCAGCGCCACCGACGTGGCCAAGACGGGCATGCCACAAATCCAGGGTGGGAGCGATGTGAGTGAATGCAGATAACTCGGGAGGAGACGGTGGGATGCTACTAGCTGGCTGAGGAGAAGGTGCGGGAAGAAACTCCAGGTTGATATAGCACAAGTTGTTGGCCATGGGAATCGCTCCCAATCCCATTCCTCTGTAGGCGAGTTCGCAACGAGGAGGCGAAGCCCGGAACATACAATCCCACCCCTTCCCAAGCATCCAGCCCACAGAAAGGAGATTCAACATGGCGGAGGGGGCGTGTAGGCAATTGGAGAGCCAAACACAATGTTTACGTCCCCCAATCGTAAGGATTGCCACACAATCGCCTCGACCAGATGTCGTCAGGCTGCCATGATTAGCAGTACGTACAGTGACAGCATCGGCGGTAGAATACGTCCAAAAATAGGAATGATCTTGGATGAGGGTCGTGGTAGTGCCCGAGTCAAGAATGGTGTTGAAGCCAGCTGCAACAACACAGGAAATGGCCGCCATCTCCGCAGCAGTGAGTGTCCCGCCAGGATCTGCCAGTTCGGTAATGGATGCGCAAGAAAGATCGGCTAGGAAAGTCTGTGCAGCAGCCTCAGTTCCTGCAAACGCGGCAATGGTAGAGGATGAAGAGGTTGCTGGGATTGCTGGTGTTGCAACTGGGAGAGGGGCAACTACAGCTGTGGCCATCTCTCGCCATTTATCCTTGTTTTTCATCCATGGGGCTTGGCCCTCCATCCCGCCGCCTTTCGCGTAGCAGTGTGCGTGATCATGGTCGCCTTGGTTGCAGCCCACAGTAGTGCAGAACACCCCCTCAGGATTGTGACGGTGTTTGCATAACCCCGTGATGGAATTCACGTTCCCCGTGGAGGTGGGAGCGGCAGTCGCAGCGTTCGCATATTCGGAACCTGGTGCACCACCTGCTAGAGCAAGCTCATCTAGCTGGCGTGCAGCTTCTGAGGAGATGCGGGTGACGCATATATCGAACACGGAAGGGGAGGGAGGAAGCGGGGAAGTTGTGGTCGCAGTAGGAATAGGTGAGGCTCCAGTAGGAAGGGTGATGGTGAGAAGTGCCTTGAACTGGGGCCAGGACCCGGTGCGAGGGAGACCACGTAGGAGTTGAAAAACTGCTTCCGCGTTGTAGTAGGGTACACGAGCCTTAGGGGCATTTCCTGTTTGGGAAGCGAGCGGGTTTGGCCGATTCGGAGCCATTAGTAGACACATAGAGTAGCGAGGCTAGCATAGTAGAGGTTTAGAGTTCCACCCACTGCAGAGCCAAGTGCTCAGGCTGCGCCTCTCCAGCGTCGGTGTAGACGGCCCCCATTCATAGTAGCCTTTCCCGATAGGTCGCGTGCTTCCCAACATAGTTGGGAGCATCAGCGGCATCCTTCATCTGGAGCGCATATAGGCTCTGACGAACAACATGCTGTGAGCCCATGTCCGTGCGTCCGAAATGATCCTCAAGAATCTTCCATGCGTCGCGGGCTGACACCTTGTGGCTGGTAGATACCAGCTGCTGGACGGAGACTGACAGACGGCGCGTGATGAGTGATTCAGCTTTGAGATCGTCAATGAGCCATTTGCGAATGGCTTTCGTCTCTTCCTCAGTAGGGAGTTTGGGGTCAGCGGGCACGGGCTTAAATGAAGCGTTCCCCAGGATGTCATCAGGATCCACAGTATCCGTGATGTGACACCACTGGTCCTCAACGCCAAGTGCATAGCGGACCTCCCGCTGCCAGGTAAAGTAAGTGTCCGGGCCCGTCAGCTCCGGAATATGATCTAGCTTCCCCATGTCGAAGGAAGATAGGATGACGAGGAAAGGCGCAGCGATTAAGACGCGTGTTGAGTCTGGTTTTCCCTAAGTTGGTTTCGTTTTAGAAACCGGGGCTCATAACCTGTTGGAACTAACACAGAGGCACACTCAGTGGTTGTGAACAACGACTAGAATTAATATAGTACCTAACACAGAGGCACGCTAGAGAACTATCGTAAGAGTGCGGCGTGATAACAAGAAGCTACGAAACATACCTCAGTGGTTGTGAACAACGACTGAGGTATAATGAAATGAGACGATGCGAGTGATATATGAAATGACACATGATGAAACAGAATAAGGAAATGATAGCGAAGCGATGACGACAATGACGATTCTACAAGTACGATTTTCTGTAGTACGCTACGAGTGGAACAGATTATGAAGAAGACGGGGAAGGAATTCGATGCGAAGGGACGCCGCATCCGGTACATAGTTCATCAAGTAATCTAGGGTGTATTAGTTTGACGCTTTGCTCAGGTGTCTTGCCCACATTATCAATCTCGCAACGCAGGCACTCATCAAGACTCACACCAAATCAAAATACTATAACCCTGCAAGCCTTGAAGAGCATGTGCCGAGTACTATGGGGCGTGATCGAGACGAAGTTGGGCTCATTCGAGCAATTTCCCTGAAGGTATATATAATTTGGTTGATTCAAAACTACTAACTTAACTGGATGAACAGGAACAATCATCAGCGCAGCGGAAGCAACTTTTCAAGGACATTCAGACCCGAAAGGGTGTTAAACACCCCCTTCAGCTGCTGCTCGACATGCCAGTTCGATGGTCATCGACATTTACAATGCTAGACCGCGCAGAAACACAGCGAGAGGTAAGTAATTTTAGTGGTGCTATATTTAATCTTACAATGTGCGGCATACAGTATATCAATACCTTTATCTATGAAATGGGCCTGAAGGAGCCAAACCTGGACAAGCGGAAGAAGATTGGCGAGTTAGAGCTACGCAATGATGAATGGTATCGCGTCAAACTGTTTCTCGATCTCCTCGCTGTACGTATTCTCATTTATCATGTCTGGCTTTCTTATTCTCATCCTATTTAAAAGCATGCAGATCACGCGCAACAAGCCTTTTCGTCCGACCGACACCCAAGTCTACACCTCGCCATTCCAGCACTAGAAGCACTACATAAGGCATGGAGCTCGAGACTTGCAAGACCGAAGTATGCCCACTTCAAAAAACCCCTTCAAGCTGCAATAGACAAGATCGTGGTTTACTACGAGAAGACCGGTGGCTCTGACGCTTATATCATGGTAATGTGTGAGTTATTGTTTTTAGTCCTACTTAATGTCTAATTGAATCAACGAACAGTACTTGATCCGAACGAGAAGATGAACCACTTCAAGAAGTATTGGGACGAGGGTCTGCAACACGAGGCTCGCGAGAATGCAGGACATCTTGTAAGTTTTTAAATGATCATTGTGACGATTGTTTGACACCATATGATCAGTTTCAGGAGTATTATGTGCGCATTCATGGTGATGCTGAGCACCATGCTCCCATAAGGAAAGGTCGCGGATCTGGCACCAAAATTACTCGGCTTCTGCGGGAACTTAGCAACAACAACAACAACGACATTTCAGCATCATCTGCACCAGCATCGTCAATCGACCCACGGAAACCTTGGCTACAAGACTTCAACTACTACGTGAATACATTTGACCAGCTTGCCGAAAACCAGTCCATTGTCCAGTGGTGGGGGGTATGTATTCCTTCATTCATTCACTCAACGAAGATACTAAATCTACTATCAACAGTTAAATGCAACGAGGTATGGGCCAGTGTGGACAGCTATTGCTCGTGACTTCTTAGGAATCATGGCCTCGTCGGTATCCAGCGAGCGGGCATTTTCTTCAGCTGCGCTAACGATTACAAAGCGCCGCAACCGTCTCAAAGGTGATGTCATTGAGGCACTACAGGTAATGAAATGCCTTCTTCATCATGACCTGGTTTTCCGCGAGTCAGGACCTTCGTCATTGACTGAAGATCCTGCAGATGAGGATGATGAGCTACTTGATGGGTGTACAGAGAACTCTGGTGAAGATAGTATTGTACTGTAGGACTAGTGCTGCCGTGGTCCGGTTCAGTCCGGTTCAGAGGGTCGAGGACGAGAACCAAGAACCGAACCATGGTCCGGTTCTGCAAAATCGTCGAACCCAGAACCGGACCCTTGCGAACGGTTCGGAACGGTCAGGTTCGGTTTTTTTGGGGTTCGAACTCGAACCGAATCCAAAAAAATTCCAGCTATGGAATTGTTGGTAAGAGCCTGTGGTCAGGTACTGAGAGGGCGGAGGTGGTAGGAGGTCATATACGAGATAGACCGGTTGATCGGGTAGCTTCGCCTCTTGGAGGTTAGTCTTGATGCTACGGGTGGTTTCTGCCACATATTGGTCGCGCGCCCGCGCGAAGTCACTAGCCTTGTTTCCGCCTTCATCGTCACTGTTATAGCCAATATCTTTCATAAGGTTTCTGATGTGTTGATCCGCTTTAGAACGGACGATGAAAGCTGTAATACCAAAGCGCCTAGCATTGGAAAGGAGAGCGACGTCAGTGGCAGTGAAACGATTGTTGACCACGACGATGATGCAGTCGAAGACGAAGAGCTATTGAACAAAGGACAGATTAATACAGCGTGAAATCGTAAAATATCATTAGTTTCGTGTTGGGATTTGCAGCGCATGTCGGAGAGGCTGGATGAGACTATTTGGGGAGATGCGTATGCCGTGCCAGCTAGTGAACGATGACAGTGGAACCATCGATGCAGGTGTTGATGCAAGCAGATCGGCAACTCATAAATGCTCGTCCGTGGGGAAATGAACTTCCTATACAGTGTCCGCAGTGTGGGTGCTGAGTGCTCAGCGTCGTGGAATCGAATCAAGTCCAGCGCCTCGGAGAAGTGTATGGGATGACTAGTGCATGGGAATTGCAGCACCAGGATTCACAGCCAGAACGTGTTTCTAGCGATGGCGGGGAAGAAGTGAGGACAGTCGAGCGAGGAGCACATGTGGATCTAACCGCGAAGGCGTAGATGGTCGCTGAAGTTCGTTTGCTGAATCATTTTCAGGTGGAGAACGGTGAATGAGTGAGGACAGGCGAGCGAAGAGCACCTGTAGGTGTAACCTCGAAGATGTTGAGGGTTGCGGACGTTCGGTCGCTTCAACATTGTCGCGTCGAAAGTGGAGGAGCGAGGAAAGGCGAGCGAGGAGTGTACTTGCAGAGGAATGAGGGTGGGCACCACCATTTGGTAGGACAGCACAAGATCAGGACAAGAACTAAGTGATAGAAATACAACCACTCCACGTACTTCCAAAAACGACTTGACACTGAGCGCTGAGCGAAGAGCGTTGTCAGTGAGAGAGAGGGTGGGTGAGGTGTTGACACTCACAATATTGGTACCATTGGACAGTAGATCTTCAAGGCCAGCTTCTTTGATGATGGCATGAATGTCCCGTGTATGCATTTCCATTTTCGGAACCTGAAAAACCATAGTCAACTGTAAATATCTGAAGTTCGAAAATACAATCGGTTCGAGGTTCGGGACAGTTCGGGACGCGTCCAAACCAACATAGAACCGTTCGGCCAATGCAGAACCGAGAACCGTACTGTGGTCCGGTTCTGGCTGACACCTGGACCGTGGACCGAACCACACAAGAACCGAACCAAAGTTCGGTTCGAACCGTGGTTCGGGACCGGACCACGGCAGCACTATGTAGGACATGTTCATTGTTCAATTATTTTACAATTTCAGGCCCGGGCTTCAGCCCAAGCCCAGCCCAGCCCAAGCCCAAGCCCGCTGTCAGGGCTGGGCCAAAATTTTAGCAAGCCCATACCCGCTCAAGCCCATCCCAAGCCCGGCCCGCACAACACTATAAAATCAATGTTCACGCAATTCACCATACTTAATATTTTTCACGCTACCTACAATTCTATATCTACACCCGAATCTCCCATAGCAACTGGTTTGAGTTTCTTCTCGAACGTGACGACACTTGAAACCAGTGACTTTGGCCAGCGACTGGTCGCGCAAGATGCATTAGAGAGAGGGGTGATTGTTTGCGTAGCTTAGTCAGCAGCGGCTTCGTCGGGCGTTGCCGCACTCATCGATACCGACGACTTTATCAGCAAAATCATTTAGCCCAAGCATCATCGTTGCACCGCTCCAGTATCGTTCTGCACCACGGGCGACAGGCTGGTGGCTGGGCTCAAGTTAATTTCAATTAGGCCAGCCGGCCACCGCAGATCATTCAAAAGTTTCCCAGAACGATGTGCTGGCACGCCACCCACTCCCCCAAAGTACTTTACATTTACCCAGAAATCTCAAATTGCCGTCGACATCGTTATAGGCAATATGCAGCCTTAGAGGTCGCTAGGCCTCTCCCAGGGAACTCTGTAGGGGCGGGTAGCAGCCGGAATGAACTGTGTCAGCTTCAAGTTGTATCAATTTTGTGTATTGACAATGCATGCCGCTTGACTCGGGCCCTCGAGGCTTACTAGCGCTCTGCTCTCGTCTTAATATGGCTCGTTTAATTCCCGTTGAGTATGAGATAGAATCCTTATAAGAGGTGCGCAAGAGCCACGTTCCGCCAGGTTACGCCGAATCGCAACGTTCATGTCTATCTCAAAGGGTATTGCATTGATCACTGGGTCTGCTCAGGGAATAGGTCGCAGCATCGCTCTGCGTCTTGCACGGGATGGCTTCGACATTGCTCTCAATGATTTACCCAACAAGGATGCCAAGCTGGAACTGGTAGCGACTGAAATTGAAAGTCTTGGGAGACAAGTCTGCGTCGTTCCCGCCGACGTTACCGTCGACAAACAAGTCAAAGAGATGGTTGATCACGCTGTTTCAGAACTTGGTGGATTGGACGTCGTTAGTCGCTCTTCTTATCTTACCAGACGTGTTCCCTGAATGTTTTACGTGTACAGATGGTTGCTAATGCTGGAATAGTGCCAACGCTTGCCTCGCTTGTATCATGTACGATCTCAGCTTAGTCGACAATTGCCGTTTTCTCATGTCTTCCACTAGCAACTGCAGAGTCATGGGACCATACGTTATCAGTAAACGCCCGTGGACCTTTCCTGTGTTACAAGTATGCTGCTATGCAAATGATTGAACAGGGGCGCGGTGGCCGAATCATTGGTGCGAGCTCAGTCCTGGGTAAAATTGGTGCGTCATTCGTATATGAATTTGCATGAGTATTCTTATCCAGACGACCGGATAGCCTTTCCCTATAACTGCTCTTATGCGGCGAGCAAATTTGCAGTTCGAGGGTTAACTCAAGTTGCAGGTAATGATTGACATCCTCGCATGGGTTGCCTATGATAAAGACTGCTTGACAGCTCTTGAGCTTGGCCAATATGGCATTACCGTAAACGCATATGCTCCTGGCTCAATACAAACTCCTATGAGTAAGGTTGAACCAATTTTTGATTTCCAAGCTAACTCCTAGTTAGCCAAAGACATGATGGATGAGTCTGGGAATGCGGATGTTACAGGGCTTGTCGATGATCCTTACTCGAGGAAGTGGATTATGTCGGTGAGTATAGCGCGGTAAACTCGATCCAGATAATGCTGATTTTTTCACAACCTCGATAAGTTACTTCATAATGTTCCTATCAAGCACATTGGACAGCCTGAAGATATAGCTAGCATTGTAAGCTATCTCGCATCGAAGGAAGCGCACTTCATTACCGGTAAATAGCTTCATGAATCATTGAACCCGTCTCTTACTCACGTGGCATGTGTTATCTCCAGGCCAATGTGTAGGTCAAGTTGGTTTGCTGCATACAGCTGATCTGATTTTGTTCCCAGATTTCTGTCGATGGGGGAATCAGCATGAACTGAGAAGACGATGTAAATGATTATGTTCTTACTCCTCGCAGATGCTATGGTATGATTACAACAATAACTTGAGGATTTCCCTCCTGAACTGGAAAGTGGTGTTTAATTGTTTGCCCATGTTCCCCATGGCGCGCGCTAGCCAAATTGAACCAAGTCTAAGAAACTTCGAGCGGGAGTCTGTATGAATATAAATCTATTTAGACGAGCCTATGTAACATGGTCATTATGTGAGCTGTAAGCTGGCAGACTGTGGGGCCCTGCTAGTGGCAAAAATACACTTGAAGCCTGCAAATTGATATGATCACGAGGACCCGGAAGAACCCGAAGGGTTGTGCAGCTCGGGTGCAATTCCTCTCAAGCTACCGCAAATTCCGAAGACTCGTTTTGGGTGTACAATTGGAACAATATTCAAGTTGCATGACAGGCCTTAGCTTACTCAAATTATCATTTTGTGTAGGTCCCTATTGTATTGCTGTTATCACAGGTGTGTGATTCGCGAAGGTGACTCTTTCTCTTGATTTCACGGTGCCAATTTGAATTATTTGAATTATTCACTCCAGACCACTTGCTTTCGAATCACCTCTATCAACGCCTATTTTGTTACGATATGTAGCGCGCACGAGAAGGTTGGAACAAGTGCTTGGGGACGTCACCCCCTCCCCCCCAGCAGATGAAACATGAAACGAAGAACACCAATAAGTAACGCTCACAGCGCCACTCCCTATGCCCACAGTCGGCATACAAGTCCTCGCTAACGCTCGGAACCCGCCACATACAACACTGTAGACTACTATAAAGCCTCAAAGCTTTGCGCTTCCTGTGGTCTCCATCACTTTCTCATTCACCCCTAGTCTACCACATCCAATGGCCTCCAATCTCACAACCAACGCTGTGTATGACCTAACAAGAAGGGTTGTGAGGACCAATGAGGCAATCAACACCACAGACTCCCTACACGACCCTAAGGTACGGAAGGGTACGTACACATTCATAGGAGGCCGACAAGAAGTTGTACGCAATCAACAGTAAGGATGGTAGTCAATTAATGGTTACTCACGCACGCTCTCCGCAGGTGGCTGTGAAAGTCATGAGACCAATATCGTTTTTCGACAATGAAGAGGCGGAGGAAGCAACTCAGGTAAATTAACTCACTTCACAAATCAATTTTGTTTTTCAGTTGAATCTTTTCAGCTTCTCCTACAGGAAGTAAGAATATACTACACATGTAGTCATGTCAACTTGGCCTCATTTGATGGTATATGTTACGAGAACATGCGAGAGAAGCGCATCCCCTGTCTGATAATGTCGTTCTATAAGAACGGGTCTATCATGGAGTACATGAGAAACAATCTGGGTGCTGTGCGGATGGACTTGGTATATATTTTCCATCATTTCACTGATTTCTGAGGCATGTTAAGAGTCCCATACAGCTTCGCCAAGTTTTTGCTGGATTGACTTATCTGCATAGCCGAAATGTCGTTCATGGCAACCTCAAACCTGTAAGGCATAGATTTTTTATGTGTTTTGCAGTACCGGAACTCATGCGACTTTGTTTGTAGACAAATATTCTCATCGACGATGGAGACAATGCATTGTTAGTGAACTTTGGGCTCACTCCGATGCCTTGTGTGATGGAAACATTGGAAAGGACAGCGGAGACGGCTCTGTCGTGGGTTCGGTGCCGCTACTTCAAGTTGGCGCCCGAGTTGCTGTTAACACCACCAACACGAACATTACCATCAGACGTCTGGCCAGCAGGGATGGTGGGTCTACAGGTGCGTTCGAGGAACATTTTATGCAAACGCTGGATTGTGATTGCGTCCTTAGATTCTTTCTGGAAATATCCCGTATATGGAACACAACATAAAGGACGGACTCACCGGCGCTTTGATGGCTAAAGAAATACTACCCTCTCGTTTGGAATGGTGCATGGTCTGCATTTTGGCATTGTTGGCAGATCCCAACCAGACGACCGACTATGAAAAAATTGCTGGATTACTTGGACTATCATTATGCACCTGACTCGGGAAGGTGCCGTTAGAGTTACCAGAATTCGCGGTTGTAGGCTATGTACATAGGTTTGTTTAGTTGTTTAGCCTGGTTGAATTCCGAAGCTTGTGCCCATTTCCAGTTGCTTGGTTGATTCCCAAATTGAAAGAGTGGCCCATGCACTAATGCTTTATATTTTTATTCAAGCGCGTCATCAGTCCCCTGTAGGACTAGCAACCTGAGCTACGGGATGGGGAATGCGTTGGCACTGGGTTTGTTCTGCAGTAGCATCTCCTGAAGATTATGGAGGTTCTTCATATTCAGATCGTCGAGAGCCCAGTCATCACCTCCTTCCTTCGGGATTCAAGCAATGGATCACGCACGATATAATGAGCTTATCTCATTGGATGTGTAGCCAGCAACATATTGATCCCATACAATGCAGCAAAGCGAATCAACGTGAGAAAGGAACTCGGAATAAACACACTGTACACACAAATTATTCATTTCCATACCCAGGAGTCCATGCCACAAAGCGTGCGCAGAATTCGAAAGGACTATACTTACGACTGGGAATTCTGAAAGTTGGCGCTGGTAAGCCTCACGCAGTCGGTTGTATGAACTGAAACTGTAAAAATATTGAGTGTTGCGCTTGTCACCTTGTGGCCGACATGTCTAGATGGGAACCGTATTGAAGGTCTGCGTGACGAACTTTTGCGGTCACAGCCGGAGAGAGGAAGACCCTAACCAATACTCCTGTTGCTTCATCACTGATTTATGTGAGGGTATAGATATTACACGAATTATCCTGTATATATGAGAGCGTAATCTGTCTCCATGCTTGTTCGATTTAGCGCCATGAAGGTCGTCAATCACGAACAAGCACTCACGAGCACAACCACAACAGCCTATGCGCTTTCGCTGGGCCACCAGATACCCGTCGTTTTCCAAACTAGCCAGAGTGCCAGAAAACAGCCAACGATATACATTATTATCCGCGTCTGCCTGATGCCGCCTGCGCCAGAGAGACCGAATGCTTGCGCAGCTCGTCGAGAAGACTGAGCCAAGGACGTTGAAAAGCTAGAGAAAGCGTTTCCCTACGTGCAAAAATTAATATTTCAAAGCAAAAAAGGGGATCACTGAGGTACCGTGTCATCGAGGGTCAGATGTTGTCTTTCGGCATCGTCGTAGATGTCTGTGGTTACCTGGAAGACTATTCAGAGGTTTGCATAATGAGGCGATATGAATCGTACTCCGCGAAGTGTGCGTATCTTCGAATGTAACTCATCTAGTCGCTGGTCATTCTGTGCTTCGTAGGTGTCTTCTGCAGTTCGTGACGAAGACATGGAAGGAAGGAGAGGTAGCGTGGGAACCGCACAACAGTGTGTTTCTCCCAACTTGAAGTTTCTCCTTGGTTTCTTATTCTTTTCCTGGCAGGTCTACACTTACCCAAGTTACTGGTCAGCTTGCGAAACAATATATTGTTACATTCCTGCATGAACTCGGAGACCTCTACCTGAACGCTTACAGGGTTCTGCCTTGGTTTGTGTCTCAGTTTCAGCTGCACTTTGGCCCAGTCGGTGCTCATTGGATTTCATGGAAGGATACAAGCAACCTCACCTCGTAAGTGCCGACATATCACTGCCCCTTGCCACAAGATTGAATGACCAATCCTTTTTGCTGTTAGTTGATGAGAAACATGCAGATTTTTTGGTTAGACTGCATTGTGCAAGTGATCTGTGGGCTCATCTGGTTAAGTTTTTTGTTTGTTATGTGGATCTTATGATTATGTGGGTATAAACTCGCGTGTTTGTAACAAGCTACAGCAATTCACTATCGACATGTCCATTCAAAGGGGTGCTGCTCTCGTTTCTCGTTCTGCTCAGCCTTGGTCGGGGAATTGCGCGTCGTCCGACTGGCTTCCATGTCGCTCTCAGTGATGTTGCCACCAACCATGAGCAATTTATCGCAATAGAAATTGAAAGCCTTGGGACAAAGTCATGCATCGTTTCTGCTGACGTTTTCAAGGAAGACCAAGTCAAGCAAATGGTTGTTGTAAAACGCACTCAAGTGGGTTAGATGTTGTATGTCCACAGGCTCCACGAGCACCACTGGATTAATTCTGTGCTGATCGCTACCTAACAGATAGCTGCAGTCCGTTCTTATCAAGTGTGTGTGTTTCTACCAAACCGGTCAACCCATTCCACCTATCATAACTTTATGACCCGCCAAGGGTCTTTCAGGTACACCTGCCGCCGCGTATTGCGCTAGTAAATCCGCCATTCGCAACTTGACGCAGTCCGCTGTTAGGTGTTCGGTTCTCCCAACCAGGTTGCCGTGACCAAAAGATCTCCAACTCTCGAGCTTGGTGAATACGACATTGCTGTAAATTCATATGCACCAGGTCCGATCCGTGGACATTTGTTGACACCAATACATTGCGAATGGACATAAACCCAGTGTTGGGATATCGCCGGTGTCGTAAGCTACCTTGCATCGAAGGAAGCACACCTTATCACTGGTGAATGCTTTGTGGTGGTAGATCGGGACGTAGCTGACTCGATCCGACTCCACAGGACAATGCGTCATATCAATGTGTAATAACAAAACTGGATGCTGATCTAGCCTCTATATCTCAATGAATGGAGATGTCGTTATGTCGTGATTTCCCGTGCCGTGGAATGATAAATCCCTTGTAAAACGCCCACCCGTTGATTTCGGGTTCACAACAGCAAATGGCCTGTTTTCGAAGCAGGAATAACGAAAACTACCGTCTTACAGGGTTTGGTCGTAATGTCATGGGCGATATCCATCAGATGTTACGCCGGTATCACAGCCAGTTGTGGTCAAATTTTGCTTCAGACAAGGCTCCATTCGTTACCATTGGAGTTTTCGATCAGCAATATTCTGATCATAACTTACACCCCGGACACAGCTTGAAATCCCCGATAGCTTACTTTGAACAGCACCAATTAAATCACCACACGAGCTGAGGCCGTAATCACTGTCGTCGTCATTAGCTTCTACGGCGAGGAATATTCCAAGAGTGGTTAGTGTCTTCCACCCACAAATGTCACAATTACAACACCTCTAAGCGATTTAGGATTCCTCTATATAATCCGATTGCACCACGTTTGTCGGTCTGGCAAGCCCATCATCTTCTACCATAACCATGTCGCCTCCAAGTCAAAAAGGGATCGCACTCATCACAGGATCTGCTCAGGGCATTGGTCGAGGTATCGCTCTACGACTTGCGAGGGACGGCTTCGACATTGCCTTAAACGACCTCCCAACGAAAAGTGGGCAGCTGGCCGCTGTAGCTAGTGAAGTCGAAGCATTAGGACGCAAAGCGTGTATCGTGATCGCGGATGTAACGATCGAAGAGGAAGTCAAGAACATGGTCAACGACACTGTAAAAGAGCTGAGCGGATTGGATGTGGTAGGACCCTGAGCTTTCCTTTTGTAGAATCTTGCTTATGTTTCCACAGATGGTCGCCAACGCTGGCATTCCAGGAGCCAACACAGTCTTGGCAAGTAAGCTCGGAGTTCTTTGTTGTTCAAGTATGCAATCTCACGACATGGTGCAGCCACTGTTGAAGATTGGGAGCGTGCATTCACCGTTAACGCCCGCGGAGTCTTCTTGTGTTATAAACATGCCGCAGTACAGATGATATCCCAGGGCCGTGGTGGTAGGATCATTGGCGCAAGCTCCATTGCCGGAAAGATAGGTAATTGATATTAATTTCCGCTTGGAGTCGGGCTCGACGGGTTGATATGTGCACTGTCTGCAGGATTTCCATCAGCTGCTGCATATTGCGCTAGCAAGTTCGCTGTCCGCGGATTGACGCAGACGGCTGGTGAGCAGAAACATTCTCAACTGTGAATGAACGCTGAATCTGATCCAGCTCTTGAGCTCGGAAAATACAATATCACAGTCAACTCCTATGCACCGGGTGTCATACAAACCGAGATACGTACGTTCTATGTGATAGTATGTAGATCGAAGCTGATCGATTCCGTAAACTCAGTGGATAGCATCTCTGACCAATCAGGAAATGTCAGCCTGGCAGACGAAGATTCGACAAATTATCTCGTTCAGGTCTGTTCCCTGCATATTCATGTGTCTCTGTACTATCGGCTCACGCCGCGCAGCTCATTGGGAACCGACCGATCAAACACAATGGCCAACCAGAAGATATTGCAAGCATTGTCAGTTATTTGGCATCAAAAGAAGCGCATTTCATCACAGGTGAGTATTTATTTGCCGTTCATCCCCTGCAGTTTGTTTGACGCTGGAACAGGGCAATGTGTAAGTGCACAGTGCTGCCCACATAAGTTTCAAGGTATTCACTACAGTGCAGATTTCGGTCGACGGAGGCATCGTTTTATCTTAGTAAGCTAGACGTCTTCCCAATGCATCTTCAAGAGGTACCCGCTCAAGAAACGCTGAACATGATAGGGGGTGGGGGGTGGGGTTAGAATGGCTCCTGTTGGGTTCTAGCACATTAGTCCGAGTATCACGTATCAATATTTTTCTTCTGTTCTCAAGTCCTCCTGCTGACGTGCCGCGGTCAAAGGTTAGTATTTGGCAAGTTCGCACGTCAAAGACACCCACAGTGTTCTAGAATGATATCTGGAAGATAGCACACTCCGACTTTTAAAGTTTGACTCGACATCTAAATGCTGCGGGAAGTCAGCGCTACAGCCAGTAATCGACTGAAGTAATTGTAATTAGTACATACTTATGCATCAGGGGTTTGAACTGATCAAGAACTTCCCTCCAACGGGAGTTCGAACGTTGGAACGTTCAATGTTCAACTGTGACATGATTCATCATGCATTTATGCAAGTATTTGGGATTAACTATCTTTTGTTTTTGTAAGGGCGTAACATCAAAGCTGAAACGGTAGGTTGGCTGGAATAATAAGAACTACTAAGGGAAAACAAAAGCGGACCACAAATGGATGGCGGTTCCAGGGATGCTCCGTCCAGGGAATACCCTGTCAAGGGCTGTTGGGAAGAGCTGCCCGAAAGCAGTCTTGTCGAACCAGGACAACTAGGGGGAAGGGCCCGAATGATTGTCGTTGGTACAGGGGAAATTACCAAATTCAGCATACTTCTTAAAGCCTATGATGGGCGGCGATTGCCTGTATTATGTAAGGTGGCGTTCACGTCGACTTGAACATCCATGTCGCTTTCTCCGGGTATCCCTGGACCAAGATGATATTTATATCGCTATGCAGATTACAATTATGCTTTATGTGCGTATGACTCAATCTAAAATGCAGCTTCAAAAATGACACAGGCCTTTCTCTTGCCTTCAACTGCACACTCTCGACCCTCCAGAGACCACATCACCACCAGCGCTGGCATATCGTTAAATATGATGCTGGAAAAAAAAGAAGACACACGGACACTTGCAAAAAAACACACGAACGAGGACAAACAACGGCTATGATATCGGGCCGGGAAGATCGTGATGTCAACGAATAAATTTTGAGACCTGTACCCTTTTCGGGTTCAGGAATTTCCCTGAGCGGGTACCTGTCTGTCCCTGTCAATGGGACTCCGGGAGATCACAACCCTGACTTACTTATGATCTGCAATATGACAACGCTGCTGCAAGCTGTTCATCTGGCTTTCATTTACTTCACAGGGCTCAGCACGTTCAACTGAGAAGACCGTATTCGGTATGGTATGGCTTCAAACTTAGGAACTTTGGGATCTCCTCCCTGAAGGTAGTCAGGGGTGGATCGTTCCTAGCAAGCCTCGCATCCTCTGCAATTAGGTGAGCATTACGGCGTATTATTACTTATGGGGAAGACAACGATGACCGAGGGGGTACATCGAAGCGCTCTGTCAAGCAAACTGACTGTGACAGTGAAGGCTTGCAAGTACGTTCTATCCCCTTTGGAATTTAATCTTGTGCTACTGTTTCCGGACACCATGATAAGTGACTTCAAGTATTTCAAAAGGTATTTAAAACCCCATAGACTACACCAGGGACTGCTCAAACATTACCCGTGATGTCTCACTCCAAAGGTGTCGCCCTCGTAACCGGCTCAGCACAAGGAATTGGCCGTGCAATAGCCATCAGATTAGCTCAAGACGGCTTCGATTTAGTGCTTAATGATCTGCCGGGAAAGAAAGAGGCACTGGAAGACTTCGCAGCCGAACTTCAGCGGGGCGGAGAACCAGAGGGTTCCTACCATCCCAGGACATGCATTGTGACTTGCGATGTCAGTGAAGAAGACGAGGTGAAGAGTATGATCGATACCGCAGTCAACGTCCTAGGCAGCTTGGATGTTGTGAGTAGCGACGCGGAATGTATGATCGTTGGACTCATAACATACTACCCCAGATGATTGCGAATGCTGGAATTAGTGCCATGGTAGATCTCTTAAGTGGTGTGTGGATCGATCGTGAACCAAACCTGGCATACTCACTTTTCATGCAGAAACTATAGAAGGGTGGGACCGTATGATGCGAATCAACGCCACCTCCGCATTCCTGTGCTATAAATACGCCGCCATCCAGATGGTGAAACAGGGGCGTGGCGGTCGCATCATCGGTGCCAGCTCTATGGTAGGAATTCAAGGTAAGAGGTTCTGCCTGATTCAAGTCTGGTGCCTGAAATGACTACGTTTACTATGAAGCCACATCCCCCTTGCTGTCGTACAGTGCAAGTAAATTTGCTGTTAGAGGTATAACGCAAGCGGCTGGTAAGGTTATTGCCTCATGCATGTGCATTAGTAGTACTAAATGTCTCACAAAGCACTGCAACTCGGTCAATATGGAATCACAGTCAACTCCTATGCTCCAGGCATCATAGCGACACCCATGGGTAAGTGCTACAAGCATTTTTGTTGCGTTATGTCCCTGTAGAATCATGGACAGTTGTCGCATCTAAGGCTCAAGTTGTGAAGCGAGGCGACAAGGTTGACTACTTCCAAAAGGTGCGACCAAGGGATTGATGTCCACCATACCATGTTTTGGCTAAACTACGACACAGACGATTGACGCCTCTGCAGTTGGATACGTCGGACAACCGGAAGATGTTGCCAGCGCTGTTGCATACCTAGCTTCCAAGGAGGCCCATTTCATCACAGGCAAGTTTCCCATCCGGCAAGGGCTGTATGTGAACTAACTCGTAATTCTCTGGGTTAGGACAATGTGTAAGTTCAATTGAACCACTGGTATGTCGAGCCACTGAGACGAGGAGCTGATTTGCACGCAGATTTCCGTCGACGGTGGTTTGATGCTGTCTTAACTGAACTGTCAATCGTGAAATTTCATTTGGAACCCACAAGTTATATGTCGAGGACGTTTTTAGTCGATTTGTAGGTTTAAGTTCAGAAGAAGTTCTGTGTAATCTAGCGGAATCGGGCCGTCGTCGATTGTGATCAAATACATAGTATATATTTCATATTTTTCTCTACGCACTATCGTCGAGAGAACAGTCCAACGGTATTGATTGAATTTGACAATGTGCGGGCCTTGTACAAGCCCTCAACAGCGAACAACGATACCTCGATATGGCAGACCTATGGCTAAAGAAAACGGAATCCGGATTCGTACATGCATGTGAGGAGTGCGAAAACTTCAAAACTTCAATAAAGCGAAACGTGTATTTGCGCACAACGGAGAAACAGGGCAAAAAACTACAAGGATACCTCCACACGGCTAATTGTGCGGGCGGCCACGGACGCGACGTTATTTGTTTTTGCCTGCCACCAGAAGACAGCCAATAGTGTGGCCCGGATGCGTAATATCCTGACAGTGGCGCAACATTATGGCCTTGATGAGTTTAGAGCAATCTTCGTGATGTGATTCAGTTAGACGCCAAACGTCAACTTAAAGATCCAGCACACTGGTATGGCGTGCTCCACATGTGGCGACCTATCGGAAGCGGAGAGCTTAGTGATCGTTCTAGGCCTTCATTTCCGTGGCGAAGGAGGATGCCTTACAAAGGATGACGAGGGGTACCGAGGCATAAGTAGAACGGAGATCTAGTTGCAAAATTGATTGTGATTGACTGTAGTGCATGAGAGAACCATGAACATGCTCATTGCGGCGCGTACATTGTGCAGAGAACGAACTTCAAAGGTTGCTCACTGGCGTTATGCTCCATGACAGGCCTTTATGAAGAGAGGCAGTGATAATGGAAGAAGCGATATGAAATCTATGTATGTAGCAGCGTGGGGCAGAATCAAACTAACCCTAGATAGGCGCTTATACTACTCACCGCACACAACACCCACGGCGTTATCGTGTCCCAAAAGTACGCTCCTCGTCAACTTCAAATGCTGCTGATCGTGAATCTCTGTCTAGGTCAATGTGAAATGACATGGGATGCCTGATTCAGATGCCGCACGAGGTGTTTATCCCAATACTTTGAGGGAGCAGACAGCGGCACATGGGCACAGTGTGGGCATCCGCGTTCTTCAAAGACGATTAACGGGTTGTCACTGATTCATCAGACTATACCTTGCGAATTTGGGACGTGCTGGAAGAAGGTTTGGTAGGCAGCTCTTTAACGGGCCGCGTATTCAACGGCTGTTGTACATGATTCGGAGACTGGCGCTGTCCTCGCAACACTTGAGGGTCATCGTGAATGGGTACAGTGTTGCATTCAAATTTCAGCTTGGGCTTAAATTAGCTCCAGATCATCTGACCGTAAGTACTATCCGGGTTTGGTGCACCGATAACGCCGAATATTTGCTCAAGGTCAACTTGAACGCTCACCAAAAATCAGGTTCGAAGCATCGTGTAGTCGCCTGACAGCCACCCATCTTGTTTCCGCATCATATGATCAAACAACCAAATTCTGGAACTCGTCTAACGGAGACAGATCGGTCAACCTTGCACTGGTCACACTGGCTGGATCCGCTCGCTTGCCATTTCGCCTAATGGGTCTTTCATTGCTACTGCCTCGGAGGACAAGATTGTGCGGATGTGGAGCAGTTCTCCATGGGGAGAAATTGCAATACAGAAAGTCCAAGCAGTGTGTTTGACTGTATGCCCTATCTGCTTCTTCGTGTTCGTGAGTGCCACTGAGTTGAGACAGTGGTGGGATGGATTGCCTCCGATCTATCAAGGACATACTTCAGCAAAGCAAGGCGGAGGAAAGGAAATCTGAGAATGAAGAAGGACAGAAACTACTTCCTCACAATAGCATGCAGGTATGCTCTCACCCATGATCATTTACCCGTCTATCCATCGTGATACTGGTCTTCACTCAGCGGCGTGTCGGACTTACATAATCCTATTACTCGACTCAAAAATCGTTCTTGGGTAAGCCCAAATTTTATTCCCGTACACCGACTACCAACTTAAGTTGACGCTTGAGAGCATCGTCCAGGTCTCTTTGGTGTACCTGCAGGCATGGGAACTAACGGGCTCTACGTGATCCGCTATCGGAACATGTATTTCAAATCGCACCACGGTTCTGATGGTTATCCAGAAGGCCTTGGCTTACAGGTCCTTCAGTTAATACGACAGCCCAATGGCATCGTGATCTATCGGCAGGAGTTTGGAGAGATGCTGGACGGGTTGAAGAGCCCTTCGGATTGTCTATTATGGATAGAAAATGGCGACGAATTCGAGTCCCCCTCCCTGAAGCGGCCGTCAAGCGCTTGTCTCTACAGTTACGAGATCGATCTTGATCGCAATATCTTCCACATAGACGGGTTTCCGTTTTTCTCCTTGGAATGCCTTCCAGACGATGAAGTTTTTATCCAATCTGTTACCGGACGCCTTCCAGACGAGAATTATGACGAATCCTTTTCCGCAGATCATTACGGTCACACAGCTTGCGCATTACAGTGCCCCCCCGAGCACAAGTACAAGAAGCCGGCACCACAGACCGTCGACGATTCTGAGCTCGCGACGTACCAGTCTTTGAGGTGCACTGGGTCTCAGGTGGCTTTGAGCGACCTGCTCGCCATCAGTGACATCCTATGTCAAAACGAGCATGTTCGGGTCTCATTGTTAGAGGTCATGGTCGGGCAGTGCATGCGTAACTCAGACTTTGGAAGAGAACTATACGAGATTGAGCTTGTCAATGACCACAAGCAACTCACGGACAAACAATGGTCGATTGCATTCTTCATGGCCAGCATTACGTTTGTTCCCCAGATGTTTGACGATATGATGTTCGTTTACCACCGCATGCCGGAAAGAAAGGAGTTCACATGGGTTCGCGAAGACACTGTTGTTTTCATCGCAACATATTTGAACGACAAGAGTTGCCTACAGGCCTCTGTGTCACGCCTGATCAACACGATCTCGGAGCAGAAGGATAATCCTGGTTCTTACTTTGGAATCGCGTTTTCCGTTTATCATTGTGTAGTCGTCAAAGTCGTCAAAGACGCACACACGATGTCATTCAGCCATACGGACGCCCTCCAATTTACACCATCATTCTACGCAGAAACGCCTTCTACGCCGGGCATCACTGCTCTCGCCCGTCTTGGCCACCGCATTGAACCCGCACTCTTCAAGCGTATCCTAGAAGTTAGCAAGCACTTGTGGCACTTGAGCATTGAAAAGACATTGCCCGCTCAGGGAGCTGATAGCAGCCATGATGTGCCACACAACATCATCTATCCACCGCTTCCTCTTGAGCTTTGGCTAGAGATCGCCCGTTATCTCCCCCGCTTTGATCTCATCACCTTCGGATTGGTCTCAAAAATATGCCGGGAAGCAGCTTTGGTGCTACTCCGCTATCCCCACATCTATGGCTATCGCCTGGTCGCTATTCCAAAGATACCCAAGTATTTGCGGGAGCGACACCGCTCTCTGCATACTGCACGTTTTTCCGCTGTACGAGGCGACATTTTTTATGATGTGGATATTGGAATGGAGTGGAAAAATATAACATCAAAGATGATCGACTTCAAAGTTGGTGGTCACTGGCTTACTGTGCACTTTTCAATCTGCGGATGAAAAGCCTTTCGAATAGAAAGTCCTCTTGTTAGTTGTCATCTACTGTTGTTACACAACGACAACACGAGTGTATGTAGATGATTGTTCATAGACATAGCCTATGATCATGATGTCTGGACAAAACAACAAGAACAGGAACGAGAATGCAAGCGCAAAGGTAGCAGACTAAGTACGCCCGCGCGACAATAAGCCACGTTGCCTTGACGCGGCCGTTGTGAATGTCGGTGAAAAGAGGATAGGACATGCCGACAAAACTCTTGGAAAGAAAAGAAAATTTATCTACTAGGCGCGAGGCCGTTACAAAAATCATGATCGTCATAAATGCGCGACGTGATGGGAGTCACCCGCGCCTTCGTAAGGTGGAGGAGGATGCATGTGAGAAATGATACCCGATGCGAAAGATGTGGTGGGGAGCGATTACAATGCATACGAGCTCAGCCCAGGGGTTGTGAGCTCGGCAGCCATTGGCCCGCCGAGCCCAAGCCTCCGTCAAACTATTTGTTCGGCGGGTACCCTGGAGAAGATACACAGGTTGATACGGAATCTCAATTACGAGAATTGAGGTTTGGTCGCGCGCCTCGGACGGTCTTCTGGCACACTTTTGGCGGCGCAGCAGCGTGGTGGGGAGTACAAGAGAATTGTGTCGGATCACTATGTCATCCATCGCACATGTTAGGGACTTGGCTGTTGTTTAAACTTTATAACATGATGGATGTCACGATCCAGTGGCGAGGCATGGTACCTGATAATGAAAGACGAGTTGAGTAGTAAAGAGATCTCATCACACTGATACACAGAACTAGGGTGTCAGACGCAAGTTCTTTGGTGAGTGGTTTCGCTGCACACAAATGAAGAAGGTACTGCATATGGCGTGCATTTAGCTATGAACAGGTGGCAGTGGCGATGGAACGAAATGAGATCCACGCTGCAGCAGCGTGGTGGAGAGCCACTGATAAGAACGCTAGATAAGGACCTACCTGAGATGGGTTATGGGCACAAAATCGAGGCTACTCACTGCACATCAGATTCACGACATAAACACACTCACAAAGGACACTCGTCTACCGCTACCGACTCTTTTTATCTCTCTAGGCCAGCAAGCACAACATGTCAGTGGAGCTTGATGTGGCAAGAAACACAGATCTTACGGTTGAAGGGCGCTCGGCGCAGCCGCGGATAATGTTAGGACACACATCGTCAGTGTTGTCAGCGGCGTTCTTCAAAGATGGTCGAAGAATTGTCACTGGTTCATCAGACCATACCCTGCGAATATGGGATGTGCAGACAGGAGCATTGGTAGGAGCACCATTCAAGGGACACAAAGGCTGGGTGCGATCAGTCGCTGTATCCCCAGACGACAGGAAAATTGCGAGTGGTGGAGAGGACAAAGCCATCATCATGTGGAGTGTCGACAGCAAGCAGAAAATTTTCGATCCCCTGGTGAAGCATACACGCGATGTGAACTCGTTGTGCTTCTCCCCCGATGGAAAGAGACTCGCAAGCGGGTCATCTGATTGCACCGTTGTTGTATGGGATACAAATAATGGCGCTATCCTCGTGACACTTCGTCATAATGTTTTGGTCTTGACTGTGGTATTCAGCCCCGATGGGTTGAAGCTGGCCTCGGGATCAAAGGATAATCTTATTCGTGTTTGGCGCACCAATGACGCCGAACTTCTTCTCGAGTTCAACGCTCACCAAGATCGGGTTCGAGGCCTTGTGTGGTCGCATGACAGCCAGCAACTTGTCTCCGCATCATACGACAAAACGGTCAAGTTTTGGAACTCGTCAAATGCAGACCAGATCGGCCAACCTTGCACTGGTCATACTGACTGGATCTACTCACTCGCCATCTCGTTTGACGACTCTTTCATTGTCACTGCCTCTTGTGATGAGACTGTGCGGTTGTGGAGCACAAAGACGCACCAGCAAATAGGGCAGGCGCTTGAACACACCTCTTGGATTGGTTGTGTTGTGGTTTCTCCCAACGGAGAATTGCTCATGAGTGGGGATGGGGATGGGAAGGTTCAGCTCTGGCCCATCAAGAACATACTCGAGCAACACAACGCGGAGGAGAGGCTGAAGGAGGAGGTGCTGATACTTGAGGCGGAGAAACAGCGAGTCCTTATCGATCCTGTTGTAAGCACCAAGGTACGTTCTTGCCCCATTATTTCTCACTCGCTAAAAATTAATGTTCGGCACAGCTGCACAGCCACGCCAGCGACCACGACGAGTCCTCTGACAATTACGATATTACAAGCAACCATTCCTCGAAAACTCACGCAGCCTCTAGCACTCACTCGTTCAAGTTGCACTCATTATTCGATGTGAGTTGATTTCCTTCGGTGCATCTACTACTTACCGTACCCATTACGGAATCTGAGCATGCTTTACTATGCAGGTCTTCCCTATAATCAGCACGGCGGTTCGCAATGCATGCATCGCTGGGGACTTGCATACTGCTGAAGAGATCTTGACCCAGGAGATTCATGCTGATGGCGACAACTGCGATTCATATGCCAGTCGCTCACTTGTAATGGCGCGAAATTCAGATTGGGATCGTGCACTTCAGGATGCAGTCAGCGTAAGACACTCTGCCTATTATGACTCTCGACCTGACTCCTCGGTGGCATAGTCAATTTCTATCCAGCCCTCATTAATTGGGTACACATCTAAGGGCATTGCCCTCTGCGGCAAGGGGAAACTTTTGGATGCCATGGAAGCTTTTGATCTGGCTTTCATATTTGCTACTCATGACCCGATGATCGTCAATCTTTTACTGTTGATTAAGGTACTCTCCTTACCATTGTGGTTAGTCAGTCTCGTACTAAGACTTCAAATTTCAGGCTGTTGCGCTTTTCAATGCAACTCATCACGACGAGGCAATCCGGCGAGTTCAAGCCCTAACCACTGCTTGCCAGCACTTAGATACACTTCCGTGCAGCATCGTACACATGAGTTCCATGCCAGAACTTACGAGTATCTTCCTCCTGAAACGCACTCGCCAGTTATATCTACGTGTACAACATGCAATATTTGCTTGCGAAAATGGGCGATACGAGGAAGCCGCTGAACAATTCACAGCCAGTATCACGACTATAACCGGCTCGTCATTATCCACGACACTCCGCGAACCTAGGTTAAAGATATTCACCGTGGTGCGTCATTATGAAGTCACAACACTTCCAGTAATTGATGGCATGCACTTTACAGCTCTTCGGTTGGGACTTGGATTCGTTATGGCAAACTGTCCACCAACGACAGTGTGACGCGTTCCTCCGTGCGGGTCGAGTGATCGAGGCGGTAGAATCACATCAATACATTATGCGCGTGCTTGACGGGGCTGCGCAAATCAACTGTCTCGAATGGTCTACCAGTGAGTACCTTATGATCTTGGACAAGCGAACATCGATATTGACCCCGGGGTTGATTAGCCTTCAAGCAAGACTGCACTGCACGCTGTGTCGTACAGGGAGACGAAGCTATCCTTGCGCACAATCAAGCAAGAGGAATCGAACTTTATTCCGCAGGGATCAGGTTGGATCCCTCGTACGACCCTCTCTTTGTGCACCGCAGTAAGGCAAATTTGGGACGGAACCTTTACGCGGAAGCTCTTTCCGACGCGGAACAGGTGCGGATGATGTACATAATTTTTAGCATTGTGGTGACATGGTCAGTGTGTAGGTGATCAAACTCAAACCTTCGTCGTATATTGGGTACGAACTGAAGCATGAAGCGCTTTACGGGCTACAGCGCTATGAAGCAGTCGAGACCTTCAACATTATGCTGTCCAAGTTGGAAGATGCTTCTGATGCACATATACGACGTAAGTGCTGATCTTTCATGAGTCAATGTGAATATCATTACATCTTTCTCCAGAGCTGCGTCAGCAATATCATTATGTCACTCCATCTGAAGCAAAACACGCTATTCGAGGAGCTATCCATGCTCACATGGACACCGCTCCACTTCGTTTACTCAACACCTCCACTGGTTGTTTATGCGATCGAGAGGCACAGACAGATGCCTTCATGGAGAGCACAGACTACAAGGAGCTAGTGTCTTCATCGACGACGCATGGGCACCTCCAAATGGAGTGCATCAAAAAAGCGGTGGTGATGTACTTCCGTTGGGTAATGTTATCACATAGGTGGGAAAGGAAGGAGCCGCTGCTGCCCGACATACAGAACAAGGTCGTGTACGACTTGGATCCAGTCGGGACCATGTTGAAGCTGCAGACGTTCTGTAGGATCTCCCGTGATGCAGGATATCGCTGGGCGTGGAGCGATACATGCTGTATCGACCAAAATAATAATGCTGAGCTCCAGAGATCGATTAATTCTATGTTTATCTGGTACCGCCATTCGTACCTTACGATCGTCTACCTATCGGACGTTCCTCCCTCGTCGAAGTCAGGCGCACTGGCAAAGAGTGCTTGGAATACGCGAGGATGGACTGTCCAAGAGTTCCTCGCTCCTAAAGTCATTCTCTTCTACCAAACAGATTGGACCCTATATCTCAACGACCACTCTCCCAACCACAAGGAGTCGGTTGCTATCATACATGAGTTGGAGGATTCGACAGGCATAGATGCGCAGGCCCTTGTCGCCTTCCGTCCGGGGATGAAAGGTGTACGAGAGAAACTCCAATGGGCGTCGACACGTGTCACTACGTTACAGGAAGATATTGCATACTCATTGTTTGGCATCTTCGGTGTTCACCTATCTATAATCTACGGCGAGAAGATACATCACGCTCTGGGGCGGCTTTTTCAGGCAATCGTGGCTCAGTCAGGCGACATAACTGCTCTTGACTGGGTCGGAAAATCATCCGAGTTCAATAGTTGTCTGCCAGCCGACATTTCTTTATACGAAGCGCCGCCATTCACACCGCCACTGCTATCTGAAGATAATATGCAGGCGTCGGTCTCCAGCCTTCGAAGTGACGCGGATGTGGAGTTGGCTTCGAAATTGTATAGCCAGCTTGACAACCTGTGCGCTCCTCGTTTCGCGAACCGTCGACTGCATCTTCATTGCATCACCTTTCCTGTCACCGGAGTCAGAAGGAAGCAGAGGCCTGGTCAACACCAGGAGACATATTTCACCTATGATGTCAAGGCAGATGGGCTTCAAGACTTGTTAATCACCACCGAAGACAAGCTCATTCAGTTCTCGCACGCAAGACCCACTCAGAGTCGGCAGTCATTCTTGCTCGTCCGTCCCTGGAATCGTCATGACCTCGGACTTCCTGACTTCTCGGACGAAATGCAGGCCGCGCCCGGGTCTCCACTTGACGATTCAGTTTGGGGGTTCCCTGAAGAAGTTGGGCTAGTTGATCTGGAGTCTCAGTCACGAGCGTTGAGGTTGATTGTTCGCCTTGGACAGCCTTTTGGCGCACTTTTATTAGCGCAGCAGCGTGGTGGAGAATACAAGAGAGTCGCATCAGACTACGATATTATCGCACGGGTCAGGGATATGGCTGTTTTTTTTATTTTTTATTTATTTATTTTATATCCAATTTCTGTCCCATTGAGAGATGTACTCTATGCGGGACAATACATTCTAGTCTACGGGACCCCCAGTGTCCCTGTCGCATCTCTGAGTGCACGAATGCCCTGATGTGAGTGTGAACCCCACCAGTCCGCCGTTCCCGCCGGCCGTTTTAGACGTGCCCCTCACTAAGACGAGATGACTTTGTATATGTGTGTACGTGTGGTTTTTAATCAGTTTCATGTATGAACACGTACTCGGTCGCACGATGCAAGCTGGTACAGGAATCTTTTAAGTAGCTGCAGAGGTTTTTCATAAGTGGATTGGTAGATGACCACGTGTGAGTGTCGTTGGTCTGGCCCAATCTGTCTGACTGATGCTGCTCGGTGTTTGGCGAGATCCCGTGTATTCGAGTGGGGTATAGGGTGGGTGTTGTTACAGTGGGTATGTGCTGGCGTTGTACATATCAATTATGTCATTACAATTTCTATACGAACGAAGCTGATTCAGTCTGGAGGTTTGTGATCCACGGCGTCCTCCTTGCACCCCAGGTCAGAGTCGACATAGGCTGATGAGTATGAGCGTTCGAACTCCTCACATACAAGTTGCTCCGCAGTTTTGATCCAGCTGTCTTCCCAATGTGCCACCTTAAAGTATGATAACTTGTGTTGGGGATGTAACACTAGTATAACGAATTAGAAAAAAAACCCGTGAATAGCATCAGGAAAACAACAACTTACTTATTTCACTTTTTTTGTCACTTAATTTAATGAAAAGTGAATGATAAGTCATTTGAGAGAAAAGCGTGAACCACTTAAAAAAGCCCACTCAATTTCTGGAGTTTCGCTTTTTCAACACTTATTTCACTTAAAAAAGCAGACAAAGCGGCACAATTGTTATTGAAAGGGGGGCATACAAGTAGAAATAAGCGTAGATTAAGCAGACTCCCTAAAATAAAAAGTTGGGAGCCATTCGAACATAAGGAGAAAAAGGTGGGCATGTGGGCAAAAGCGATGATGGCGACATATATCTACTGTAGGGCGGCGGCAGCGGTACAATGGCTTGAAGACAAATCCTGCAGCAATGTAGTATATGATGTTAGCGGCAAGACGAAGTCTAATAAATAAAACTTACAGATCATAGCACGCTCGTCCTCGTCCTCCTCGTAGTCGTTGAGCGAGCCTGGTATTTCAGCGACGTCCTGTAAAATAGCGCGCGCCATTTTTACCGTAGCCTCCACGTAGCCGGTGGGTTTGCTAGAAATAGACTTGAGGTACAAATTTGTAGCTTTGGACCAGCGAGCTGCCGAAAATAAGAATGGCGCATTGGTTTTTTTTCCTGTAGCCTTGTTAAGGACCTTGGGAAGCTTAATCGTAAACTTTCCTCTCAATGCAGACAACAGAATCTCTTGAAGGTTGAGTTCCTTGCGCGAGAACATACAAAGGGCACACTCGAGCTGGAAAAAATTGAGTGTGATTAAAGCATTTAAGATTGAACTCACCGCCACAGCAGAAAGGGCAAGAACACGTGATGTCCCGGTCGTTGCAAGCGCTCCTAAGTCGAGGGAAGGAACCTCCACATAACCATTGATGGCGCTGAGGTGCGCTCTACCATACAGCTGCAGTATAAATGGTGAACGATATGCTGTAAGGGGGTTGATATTGTCGGGGTCCTCGTATAAAAATGCCCAGCTGGCGAGAAGGGAAGATGCGAGTTCACTGGAATTGCAGTCAGTATTGCGTGCCAAGAAGTTGACGATTATGACAATGGCCGTTGAACCAAAATTACTGCGCCATTCGGAAATACGCTGTGCAGTCTAATCGAAGATATAACATCAGTTAAAGCTGGACATAAATCGGCAAACTTACAAGTAAATGTACCACACCGCCGTGAACAACAGCAATCTTGAGTTCGTGATATACCACGTTGAAAACGAGCTGGACGTGATGGAGCAGGACGTCATCTGGAATGCTCCAGATGTCTTCATAAGTTCCTGCCCACATCATTTTGGTAGGGAGGAATGTCTTGGCCCAGCGCTGGTCTGCTTGCATCGCCGGAGGCAAGTCAGCCGTACGATACACGCCGTGTGACTTCATATGCTCTGGTGCAGTATCCATGTTCTGCTGGCGTTTTCGGGCAGGAGCCTGGGCTTGGGCATGTGGGGTGCCGGAAGATTCAACTTTCACCTTTTTTGGAGCAGGCGGCTTGATGTCAGCATTAGAGGTGGTCGCAGATGTCTATACAAGTGTCAGAATAAACACTATTGAATTCCAAGGGTACTTACCGAAGTCATCATGCGCAAAACCTTCTCCTTTTCACTACGATAGGGTTAGCCTGTGGCGGTTCACTATCGGAGTCCTCAATCAAATCTTCAACATTGTCACGATCGATGTCCATGGACCACTGGGACTGCTCGTCATTGTCTGAGATAGAATCAACACTTGCTTTCCGCTTGAGGGCCGCCGTGGCTATGTGATCGTCCATCTGTGTGAATGGAGCCTCAGGCTCCTGCAAGTCTTCATCCTCTTGCGTGAATGAATCCATGAGTTCATCGTCCGAGTCGAATTCTATTGGTGGTATTTGTGTGAAGGGAGCCTTGGGCCCGCCGCAGTCTGAGTCCTCGTCAAAAATTGAGGCTACCTGTGAAGAAAATCGTTAGTGGACTGCACCAATTATTTATGGTCAATTACCTTAGATTTCCCCTTCTTTTGCTTGCTATCCAGGCAAGCAGCCTCACGCTCCAATGAATCGTCTATCTCATCCGCAAAGCCACCAGTAAGGTCATCATCTGGGATACAATCAGCAACTTGAGTTGGGGGCAGGGGAATCTTAGTCTGAATCCGAGGCTGATCAGCCGAGGTTGCTGCTGAGGAAGCAGTGTCATGCGAGAAAATTGTCGTTGGAGGTGCTCGGGTTGAAGTGCTGGATTGGCAGGATGATTGGCGGGACACTGACTCCAACTGTCCAGGCCTGACCCCCGAGACCCAGTTGGTCACTCGGCCACCTAGTGCGAATTTCTGAGTAGCCGTGTTGATGCTATAGGTAAGATTGAGAAAATAGAGTGTCGATTCAGTTAGGAGCAACATTGTGGTGGTGAGAACTAAATCTTACGATGATGGCGTGGAGCCTTTCCCATCAGCACGTGCCTCAAGCTTATCGCCATCACCTTCTGCAATCAACGATGACTCGCTGATTTTCTTTTGCACATTGCTGATAGCGTCTCTGATCAATTTCTTTCCACTTCTCTTAGCAGCCTTCTTCCCTTTCCCCGAGGTTCCATGATCCACGGGCTCAGCAGCATCCTCTGCCACATCAGCGTCCAGGCTATACTGTCCAAATTATGCATAACCATGTCTGGTTAGAAACTACACCATTATGCATGGTTGTCTCTAGTCCTCGAGGCTCGAGCCATTATGCATCATGTATGCATGATGGATTCCCACAATGCATAATGCCGCCGGTAGGTTTCTCTTAGCTCAGTCACCCTCTTTTGTGATTTTCGTACCTAATACAGCTAATGCTTCCTGCTTCCTGCTTCCTGCTTCCTTGCTTTGTGCTTTGTGCTTCGTGCCCGCTTCTCCTGCTCTCCCGCCCTCCATTTCCCTTACCAGCTCCACACTGGACCTACCACTGCCCTTGTACCGCACTGGACCTACCGCTGCCCTTCTACCGCACTGGACTTACTGTTTCCCTTGTGCCCTTGCTACAATTACATTTTGCTGCCCTCCTCGAACGTTAGACACTTGCAGAACACCTGCCACTTGTACCCCTGCACCCACCACAGTCATCTGACCGACCTAGAAAGTTGTAGCGCTCAGCTTTCACCACGTAGCTAAATCAACCTTTGGAGTGCTTTTGAGCACTCTCAGAATGTCCTGGCGCATCTTGAGGTAAGTGTGTTGCTACCGTCGTTTGACCCATCCCATCATCCTTTCGCGTCTTCATCATTGTTGCAGCCGCAAATCACAACAACCAAGCTAACCTTATATTTCGCATAAACCTTCTGAAACTTCTGCATTTCTGTCCTGTGCATATCGACGGACTCATCCCCGTCCACGTAAAAAATCAACAAGCAAGGTTCGAAACCAACCCCTCCTTTGGACCGTTTCACGGGGGGATTGGGTGCAGTCACGCGCTGGAACACTGGCATGTAGTGATGCCTACGCATGACTACCGTTGATCTGACCCATGCGCCGTTAATGATGCCTGCAATGTTGCAAACATTCATGGGCGCTGGGATAGCAGAGTCGCAGACAATCACATTTTGCGGGTGGTTGCTTGTCTCTTTCATGGTCATCACATGCCCATTCGACATCACAGACACCGTTCTCATTGGGTAAGCGACACTGCTTGGTAAGTTCGCAGAGGGTGATGATCCTACCCTTTCGCAGATGATCCCGGAGGTTCGAACAGGTTCAGAACTTGGACCGGAACTCTGAGTACGAGGACTAGATTGATGTCACATACATGTATATAGCTAGTTTTCAACAATTTTTAAATATGTTAACGACACACGCGTGAAATATATTGTAGTTGGATTCATCAGAGGCTTTATGTATTAATGTAGCGGTTAAATTTGTTTAAAATCATGAACATCGAAAGTGTCCCGAAGTGGTAGCTGTGACTGGGAGTTTCGTCTATGTATAGTAACTACTAACTTGCCATCTCGTTCAACTCAATGATCAATGTTCAACCAGCTTTATAATGTTCCAAGTCTTTTTCTGTTACATCGACTTCCCAACTTCACATGGATAGACCAAACTTGATCCTTCAAGGTCAACACAGGTGTCAAAATCAATTCCTTTGCTGCCGCTGCATGCTGTCTCGGTCTGGAAGCCATGAGTCCCATGACCAGTATCTCCGAGTCTGCTAGCAAGTACTATTCGAAGCACCGTCGGTGAGGTCTTATCATCTGCTGTGGCCTAACATTGATAGTGATTTCGATGGATGTCAAACTACTGGCAGCTGGTTGAGTTTGCCTGCCGAACGGAAGGGTGAGCAATTCACCTGATTCAATGTGCGTGCGTTTGGCAACCCCTCTATTCATGTACTTCCTAATCCCTGTGCATTGCGCAGCATTTCGTTTCAACCATAGTCCAGGCCCTATGCAATTGTGTGTGCTGTAGAGCAGCTCAGCGATTAGCGCTCATTCTGACATACCCTGTCTTGGAACGACATTCGCAAGGATGGAAAAGACACAGGCAGCGATGGAAGGGTTGACGTCTAGACTGAGATGCTCGAGGATGGTGCCAATTTTCCGTATTTCTTTCCCACTGTCATGCCTGCTACTGACAACACATGAAAACTGATAACTAGAGGCCAACAGATTACTTCGTGTCTCTCCTTTGATCTCCTGCTCGTCTTCTTCCCTTGTCCTGCACTCGTCCATCCTCTGCACTCTCGTCCATCCTCTGCACTCTCGTCCATCCTCTGCACTCTCGTCCATCCTCTGCACTCTCGTCCATCCTCTGCACTCTCGTCCATCCTCTGCACTCTCGTCCATCCTCTGCACTCTCGTCCATCCTCTGCACTCTCGTCCATCCTCTGCACTCTCGTCCATCCTCCGCACTCTCGTCCATCCTCCGCACTCTCGTCCATCCTCCGCACTCGTCCATCTTCCGCACTCGTCTGAGCCACGTCAGCAGTTGCTGATGTGCACTGGGCGTTTGCGCATGGTGTTCGTGGTGTTGGGAATGGCATGGTGTACGTGGTGTATGTGGTGGCCATTGTCGATGCAACACCTCGAGATTGCAGTCGAACCCGGTTTGAACACGAACTGGACCTCCCAAACACATTCAGATGTGTTTGGTCCAGAGTTCGACTAACAGCTAACCCTGAACCTATCCTACCTGGTAGTAAGAAAACAGTGTGCAGTTCCCACAAGGAGCTCACCCCCAGCAGTGGTGGTGCCCTAAATAGGATTATCAACATTGTTCACAAGGCTTCTTTTTTCATCCGTGTTGGTAGCTATATATAATCATTGAATCGGGCACCGAGATCGCGATTTTAGAAGGATGTAGCCAGGAACACAGTAAGAGAAGATCCGACATGTCATATATGACAGCCGAGGGCATTATGCATTGTGAGAACAACTACTATACATTCATGTACAGTCGAGGGGATTATGCATAATGTCAAAGACTACAGGTAGCCATGCATAACGGCCTGTGTCTAATCAGCCATAATTATGCATAACCTGGTCAAGTACAGGTGCAGCGTCTGGTACGTCATCTAATACACTATTAGTGCAATTGTCACCTTCCTTTACAGTACCCTTTGTCGCCTTTCGAGCCTTTGGCTTGGGCCGAACAGGAGTCGCCTTGTTGGTGAGTAACTCCTTCTGTACCTTCTCCATCTCAACCTGCATACCAGCAAGGCGCTCAACTCCTTTTTGGACCGCCGCTTCTTTGGCTTCTTTGGCTTCTTTAACGGCAAGATCGTCAGCAGCCTTCTGTGCCTTGGTGCGCCTCTTGGTCTGTGCGTCGAGCACTATTTTTCCAGGTCTGGCGGTTGCATTCGATGCACGGGTACGGTGGGAAGCTTCTGTGGAAGACATTGTGACTGGGCAGATGGGCGACTTGGGGGTGGAGGGATGGTACATTTGCTGGAGCAAGAAGGAAGTAACGGGAGTTGGTTGAAAAAATTCATAAGTCTCACCCCAATGGGTGCCACCTGGGATGTCTCAGAGCATGCGCAAGGACCACAACACACTTCAAATTCCATGCGGCTACTTACACTGCACTCGCTACTTCAAGACTCAAGGAGGGTGCAAAAAGCACTGGAATGTTTCCCACCCAACATTTAGACAAGCCACCGTCTCGCATACTGTCACGGTCGAAGACGAGCCCGAACTACCGGTCAACAACCATCCTGCAGGCAACAACGACTGCCCTGCGGACAATAATGACCTTCCAGCAGATTTATCTGACCCGGGACAGGCATTTGATGAGTCCAACAATCCGGTCGACGCAGACACCGTTTTTTTCGGGCCAGGTGATAGATTATACCGTAACTATTACCCTAAACTAAACGGTACATTCTTTGAAGCTTTCTGGTGTGTTGCAACTAACCAAAGTTGATATAAGTGCGTCCATGTGATGCAATGGGACACTTCCTTGAAGATGGAGCACCTCCAGCGCCACCTCCAGACAAGTCGCCCGACGACTGGACTCCGTACCGAGATCGGGTTGAGTTTGAGACTGCGGAGTTTCTGTATGTCCACAACCAAATGTCCGCTGGGGATATCAACATACTACTGGATCTTTGGGCCGCAACCCTCCTGAAATACGATGACAAGCCGCCATTTGCAGACTGCCATGACTTACACAGAACGATCGACAACACACCATTGGGCGATGTCAAATGGCAATCGTTCAAGGTACGGTACACTGGGGAGAAGCCAACAAGCGATGTACCACCCTGGATGGACCAGTCTCATGATGTGTGGTACCGTGATCCCCATGAGGTGATTCAGGGTATGTTGGGAAATCCCGACTACGAAAAAGAGATGGATTACCGCCCTTTCCGTGAGTTCTCAGCTGACGGCGACAAACGACAATGGCAGGACTTCATGTCCGGTGATTGGGCTTGGAATCAAGCCGTACATTTTATTTTTTGTTTTCTCTAGCGACCCAAACTAACAATCTTTCATAGGACATAATCTCTGAAGATCCGGATATGCTCGGCTCAACTTTCGTGCCGGTTATACTCGGATCTGATAAGACCACAGTTTCGGTGGCGACTGGTGCGAACGACTACTACCCCTTATATGTATCGATTGGCAATGTTCACAACAACGTCCGGCGTGCACATCGTGACGCCGTTGCCATTGTTGGTTTCCTTGCTATGCCCAAAAGTAAGTCTCATATGCCTTCCGTTGTTCTGCACTAATTACAGTCGAGCAGCTACGAAGGAGCACACTGCCGATGCAATATATCGGAAATATCGCCGACAATTGTTCCACTCATCCATCGCCAAGATCCTTGAGAACTTGAGACCTAGCATGACCAAACCAGAGGTGGTTCGCTTTGGCGATGGCCACTATCGGCGTGTGATTTACGGGCTTGGTCCGTATATCGCAGATTACGAAGAGCAGGTCCTTCTAGCATGTATAGTGTGCGGCTGGTGCCCCAGGTGTGTTTTTATCCTCTGCCTCAGTTCTAACTACTAATGTAGTACTACAGGTGTATGTCCAACCGCAAAAATTTAGATGAGAAGTTGTTGTGTCGGTGTTGTGACCACACAGAGGCGCTGATCGAGGAGGTTGCAACATCCCTTGCTCTGTGGGATGAGTACGGGATTGTTGGCGACCTTGTTGTAAGTCTCATATGCGTCTCTAATGCAGCCGAGATTCACCCTTTCTAGCCGTTTACCAACGACTTCCCTCGCGCCGATATACATGAGTTGATTGCACCGGATCTCCTGCATCAACTCATAAAAGGAACCTTCAAGGACCATTTGGTCGAGTGGGTTGGGAAGTATTTGGTACACGTACATGGTAAGAAAGAGGCAGAGAAAATTCAAGATGATATAGACCGAAGGTAGGTCAATTTGTCCTGATTAAATATTTCAAAGCTCACATCATAATAGAATTTCTGCAGTCGCCTCCTTCATGGGCCTTCGACGTTTTCCAGAAGGTCGAGGATTCAAACAATGGACAGGTGATGATTCAAAAGCGCTTATGAAGGTAAGTTTTTTTTTTGCACGCTATCACAATGTTGCTACCATTAGACTAACAACTATCTAGGTTTATTTACCCGCCATTGAAGGCCACGTCCCAACTGATGTGGTGCGCACGTTTCGTGCATTCCTTGAATTCTGCTGCCTTGTACGGCGTAGTATCATCACAGAGTCCACATTAGGCCAAATCCAGGACGCTCTCGACCGATTCCATCATTACAGGGCTATTTTTGAGTCCACCGGCGTCGTTTCCACGTTCTCCCTCCCCCGACAACACTCGTGCACCCATTACATCCTCCTTATCCGACTTTATGGTGCGCCGAATGGCCTTTGCTCGTCAATCACTGAGACAAAGCACATCAAGGCAGTCAAGGAACCATGGAGACGATCGAGTCGCTACAAAGCACTCGGTCAAATGCTGGTGACAAACCAGCGCTTAGACAAACTTGCAGCAGCGCACATGGATTTCAAGAGCCGTGGAATGTTGAACGGCACCTGTCTGTCTGCAATGCTTCAAAGATTAAGTAAGTTTTATTGCTCTCTACATTGTTGCCGTGTGCTAAATATCTGTGCTAGAGCATTTGCGCTTGAATAAGGATCCTGCTGCCACCAACGAGTCCAACCACGCCAACGACAATCTTTTGGTGCTGCCCTCCAACCCCGACATTACAATACTCGGCGATAACGAAGAGGGTGAAATCGACGACAGCCCAACGCTGGTACAAGCCCATGTTCAGTTGGCAAAAACGATTCGTAAGTTAGCTAATATTTTCAATTGAATAGTTTTCTAATATAATCCTTCCCATTGTGCAGAACGCAAACGTGCACGCACTATCGCTAATCTATCAACAGAACTCGGTATCCCCCATCTCTACACCCTCCTCCGCCGATTCTTATTTGAGCAAGCGAACCCAGACGACCAGCGTGCTCCCTCTGACATCCCGCTTGCAAGATGTCCTCAATTCGATGGAAAAATTCAAGTGTTCAATTCTGCATCGTCAATGTTTTATGCACCCAGCGACCGCAGCGGGATTGGCGGCATGCGCCGGGAACACATCCGCGCCTGCCCCGTTTGGAGAAACAAAGCACCCCGGTATGACTGCGTGTTCGTTAACATGGATGCAGATGTTGAAGGGATGGGGGGCATGGAGGTAGCCCGTATAATGTGTTTTTTTCATACACATTCGAAGGTATTTTGTACCCATGCGCTGTGGTACGCTGGTTCGACAAAGCCAGTGACGGGCCCGACGAAGACACAGGGATGTGGATCGTTAAGCCTTCTTTCGATACAGATAATTCGCTGTTCGTTGGAATCATCCACATCGACTCGATCTATCGCGCCGCGCACCTTGTTCCAATCTATGGAACTGTTAAGACCGTGTTCAACGGGTCGGACCGGAGGGGCTTAGCTTCAGCTCGTGCGCTGCGCTCTTTACCCGAGTACGTGCCCCTAATTTACAGGGGGTTGGGTATCGTCGGCCGAAGGGTATAGACGGGCTGGACGAGAGAGAGAAGACTACCCGAGACTTCGTCCGGGTAGAAACTAACAAGGTACAGACTACCCGAAGGTAGAGGCGGAGGTATTTAGCCTTAGGGATATAATCCCGAGGCTCGGAGGATCGGACTAGGATAATAATCCCAAGAGCCGAGAGGACACGAGGATTGAACAGAGTCTAAGTTAATATTCGAACTGAGGAAATACTACGGGTTACAAAGGGTTTATATACTGTAGTGTATCCGACGGGTTTCCGGCCGGAGCGCAGTCTTCGGATCAGAGGGCTATGTAGAAAATGTACTAACGGATATGAACTGCTGCGGACGATCGAGAATGGAGCCGGAGATTAAATGAAACAGGGGGGACAAGTTAAATGAAAGGGAAATGAATAGACTAACGGACAGATCAGAATGAACCCGGATATTAACTGTCAGAAGGATCCGGGCGTATAGGGGCATCAAGAAGCATATACAAATGGGGACACGGGGAAATGAATTCTAGAATGGAACCGAGAGAACGGACGGACCGGACCGGACGAGAAGCTTCAGGTACGGAATATGACAGGAACACAGTTCATCTCACGCGACCTCAAGCACTATGATTCATATGATGCTTTTCAAGCGTTCTACATGAACAAATTCGCAGACCATCACGCATTTGAGATTGCGTCTTAGGAACTCAGTGAGCACAACTAGACCATGTTGCCTACTATCACTCACAAGCAAGCGATCGAAGAGTTCGACGAGCATAATGCCCCGCACCTACTACCGAGCGATCGAGGAATATGGCGAGCGCAATTCCCCCCCTCTACCTCTCCATGAACCCCTCCCCTCACTTTCAACAACACCCACAGCAGCAGCAGCAGCCTCCTCTGAATCACGTCTCGCTCATGCCTGCCAACCCAATGAATTTACTCGCTATCACTCACAAACGAGTGATCGAAGAGTTCGACGAGCGTAATGCCCCACACCTACCGAGCGATCGAGGAATTTGGCGAGCGCAATTCCCCCCCCTCTACCTCTCCATGAACCCCTCCCCTCACTTTCAACAACACCCACAGCAGCAGCAGCAGCCTCCTCTGAATCACGTCTCGCTCATGCCTGCCAACCCAATGAATTTACTCGCTATCACTCACAAGCGAGCGATCGAGGAATTTGACGAGCATAATTGACCCCCACCTACTACCACATCACTCATCAGAACTTGTCACCAAATCCCCCCCCCCCCCCCCCCCCTTAATCTAGATGGGCCGTGTAATACTTATTTGACTTAATACAACTTTTCCCACTTTTTTGAATCATCCTGACTTGTGAGCTTGAGCGCACGCTGAATTGACTTTTGAGAAAGTCTATTAAGTGAAAAAGTGATGTTTCGGTTTCATTTCTCAGAAATTAAGTCGCATTAAGTAAAAAAAGAGACCGGTGGTTTTCCTGATGTATTGAACAGGACTTACCCATCGAGATTTGATAAAAGGCAGGCAAGGGAAAATGAAGTCAATTACACAATCTCAAATGCATGGTGATCATACTTGTTGATGAAATAAGATTGGAAGACATCGTAAGAGTCGTCTGAAGTGATTGTGCGAGGCAAAAAGTTTGAGCCATATACTGGAATAAGATGCACTGCACAGAAAATACAATCAATATGAATGATAGAGATGTCTGGTGTGTCGTCCTCAAGTGTTGCGGGAGCAACAACATACATTCCAGTGTCTGGATCATGAGCATCAAGAACATGTGAGAACCACCGAACAACAGCACATTGAAAAAAATGATGTGCAATTGTTAAAAGAAAAAAAGCAGAGCAGTCGTGCAACCGCAAGACCACCCATAAGATCAGTATCAGTGTTCATGTTGACAAAGACACAATTGTGCCGCAGTGCATGGATATGTTCGCGTTGCATACCTCCAGTGCCACTAAGATCACTCGGTGCATAGAATGAGGCAGCTGCAGAATTGAAAACGGAGACTACCCAAGAATAATGGTGCTGATATGGGGTCAAATACAGGAGGGTCAGGGTCAGCGGCATGAGCTTGGGCATGAAGAAATTCCTGGATCATTTGAAGAAAATTGGGGAGCTCAAGCTCATTGCCAAGTGCATGCACTTCACATCTACAGCCTGAGACAAGTAGTGTCAATAAGTGTTACAAAGAGCACAGATAAACTTACAAGGTGTTGCCGCAAGCTCAAGATGTGCTACCACTGTAGGTCCATCAAGATTCAATCACCGACTTCACCCTCAATTGACCTATGCTCGGGTTTGTTGACATTCAGAAACCCAGACTGCTGAGCAACCATGGCCCGTGCATTGGTACACAGTGCCTGGTGGGGGGTGGGCGGGTGAGGCGTGATGTGACTGGCGGGAGAGGCATGTAATGGTCAGCCATTGCTCGAGGGGCGCTGGCATCTTCAAACTCCGTCAGAGCATCGCCACCTGTGCCCAAGACCACAGACCTAAAGTCTATGCAGACTTGTGCCCAGAGTCCCCAGACCGGCCATTTCAGAGATGCCTTCACCAAAACAGGAAGTCACAATAATCCCAAAGCATCCTGATACATCTCGGCAACGGTACACGACTCTGTGGGTGTAAATCCTTTGTGTGTGTGTGTGTGCATAGCATCAGGAAAACAACCGGTCACTTTTCTCACTTTATTAATCACTTAATTACATGAAAAGGACAATTAAGTCATTTGAGTGAAAAAGTGCAAGCCACTTACTTAAGCCCACTCCATCTCTGAATTTTCGCTTTTTTTCACACTTATTTCACTTAAAAAAGCAGAAAAAGCAGCACAAGCATGTCATTGAAAAGGGCCCCGGCATACAAGAAAGTAAAATAAGCATAAATTAAGGAGACTCCTGGAAATAAAAAGTCAGGGGCTAGCCAAACATACTAGGGGGGAAGGGGTGGATATGTGGGCAGAAAACGGCGGGGCGGATGATGATGATGGAAATCTACTGTACTAGGGTAGCAGCGATGGTATAGTAATGACTTGTATCCTGCAGCAGCGCTAGATGTCAGCGAGATTTTGAGCAAACGGGATGGAGTTTGTTACCTTGGAGTTCTCGAGGGAGGTGTCTTTGTTAGCATCTAAGATGACGCCAGAGGTGTAGGTCATGCATGGGCTGAGGAACCTGTGATGTGTGAGGAGGAGACAATATGGGTTGAAGGGGCGAGGAAGACGGCTCATTGGATGTATTCATTCTACAAACAAACAAAGTTAGTCCTACATGTCACTCACTGTAAGCATCAGAAATGCTTACCCAATGCAAAGTGTCCATGTGACGGTACATGGTTGCCGTCGGCAGCAGCACGAGCATGAGGATGAGGATCGGAGGGAGGGAGTCAATGTGGACTTGTTGTGTTGCGTCAAGGGTTGCCCCTGGGTGTGTTACGGAGGTGACTTGCACAGGACGGTGCGGTTATGCTTGCCCACCTCAAGCCAGCCCTCTTCTTGCATATTGTTTGCTGGGGCATTGTTGTTCTGCTGAGTTGGAGCCTGGTTGGGGTTGGTGAGTGATGAGGAGAGCGTTAGAAGCTCTTCTTCAAGCGTGTCGAGGTAGAATCCTAGGAATTCTTCTGCATCTTCTTGATGCCCGCCCTGCCAATACAAGTCAATATCGAAATTGTCAGGAAAGTCCACTCACGCACAGTACTGGGCGGTGGTACCGATAATTGAAGGAATGAAGTCACAGCCAAACGAACAACACCATGGTGGAGGACCTGAGCAGTCTGCTTGGTCTGCTTGTAATTTGCTAAGGTAAAATTTAATCAGACACATCAACACATCACATGTGCGACGAACATGTCACATTCACCTCAAGCAGATGTGTCAACAACAACACCGCATGCGACGAGTTCCTGCCCGACCACTACGCATTCTTGATTGACACTTCACTTTTTGATCCACGGTATCAACTGTCCTCACCAACGACGCCATGACGCGTAGGCCTGCCATCGACTTCCCTTCCATCGTCATGGCTGCAGAAGCTAAGCTACGGATCGACTTGGAAGAAGGCTTTGAGATCATCCGTGAGGCATTCAATTCGACGTCGTGTTTCGCCAAGCTTCAATGCCTCAAGACTGCCATGGCTGGTTGTACCCTCTTCGTTCGGTTCGCGACACACACTGGTGATGCCATGGGTATGAACATGATTTCCAAGGGCACGGAAAAGGCGCTTGAGGTTATTCAGAAGCATTACCCAGAGATGATCATGCTTGCGCTATCAGGGAACTACTGCACGGACAAGAAGCCTGCTGCCATCAACTGGATTGAGGGACGCGGGAAGAGTGTGGTGGCTGAGGCTGTCATTCCTGGGAGGGTTGTCAAGAGTGTGTGTTACCTGGAAGCTATCCGCGCCAAGGTCCCAGAGCTGGTCACACAGGAGAAGGTGCATCCTGGGTCTACTTGCGAAAAGGAATTGGTTGAACGCATCGTTCAAGGTGAGGTCAGTGCTTTTAGCGCTTAGTGCTGCCGAAGTCCAGTTCGGTCCAGTTCTTGGGGGTGTTTTGTCAAACCCAGAACTGAACCTTCGGTCCAGTTCAGGGCAGGAGGCAAACCCTGGACCAGACCATTTATAAGGTCCGGTTCAGGTTCAGAACCGGTTCGAACCATCAAATTTCTCATTTTAATTAGCATAAAATACAAAAAAAATTATATGCTATGCCATGCTCATTTTCAGAGCTCAAGTGCCTCGAACCTCTTCAGCAGCAAGCAATTGTAGTGGTGAACAACAAGACTAAGACCAGGAGGTGGGAATGAGTCTGTCAGGATGATGTAAGTAGCTTGAATAACGAAATGACGCACTCTCTGAGAGTGGGAGGTGGGAGACGTTAGTACGAAAAGACGTCCCAATGCAGGTGACGTGTTGGAGAGAGCCACGCACATGCCTATCAACCTTCAACCTGCCTGTATTAAGGATGAGCATGCAGCATGTAGAACAAGCGTGGTGGTGATGACAGTTCTGGCTTGTGAGCAGTATCAGAAGCAGCCAGTCAGACAACTGAGTAACGCCGCAGAGCAGTCATTTGTTGGAAAACTCACATATTCCAGCTTCTCAGGGCGCCCGTTAAGCCCTCCATTCAGTAGTTGCCACTCTGATAACCACCAACAATAGGGCCAGCTGATCGACCTCATCCAATCTGTCCAGAATAGCGAGTGCGGCAAGAATACTGTGATGCTCCAGCATTCCGAAGTATGTGTGTTAGAATGCTCACCTTATATGCAACCATTTTCTCGATGTCAATTCATCAAGCCTTCTGAGAAGCGAGAGAGCATTGATGGCACAGTCATGTGTATCAGTCTCGCCAAAAGTGTCGCCTGCAAATATTCCAGAAGGCTGCTGCAAAGATAAGATGACTACATCATGTCAGTGATGTCAAACCATTCAGCAAGAGAACAATCACGGTACATTTCACAACACAGTCGACATCGACTCTATCAAGCGCATTCTGTGTCAACAAAATTTGTATTGCGCTGAGAGTAGAAAGCAGGTGCACGTCAAGAAGAAAATGTACTGACCTGGCAAACGCTCATTGGCAACATGTCAAGTGCATGGTCAAAGAAGGATTATCCCATGGCAATAGATAGCCAATCGAGGTTGGATGTAGGAGTGACAACAGACGGAGTTTGGAGGGTACACTTCCCAAATGTAGCCTGAGGGACTCGCCAGGCAGGAACTCTCGGGCAAGGTGTCGAGGGAGATAAACTGCGCTGTCTATACAGGAGGGATTTTGTGTTGTTGGGAACGGCAAGATTGGGAGATTGATTGCCGTATGAGGTGGCAGAGACGAGAGTGGGAGTCATGGAAGGAGGAGACAATGATTATATTGGGGTCGAGGATGATGAGGGACAACTGGAGGATGAATAGGTCTTGGTCTTAGCAGAGCTCACAGAGCATGAAATCGCAATAGTGCAGGAGCTGCCCATGGATAGGGAAGGTGTTGCGGACCCATGAGCACTGCGAAGCCATGGCGTAACGCCAGTCGCTGCCAAGCAACGTCAAGAAGGTAAGCCTGTGAATAAGCTAAAATGAGACTTTGTAGTCAAAGTGACTTAGTCTACCTTTGAGTGCAGGCAATTGTTGACGCGGCAGGACGACAAAAGATGAGTTCGAAGAGGTTCAGACGTGTTCGAACCAGTTCTGGGTAACCCCGAACCTGTTTGGAGGTTCGGTCCAGGGGCCATGCCAGACCTGTGACCGGACCTTGAGTCCGGTTCGGAAAAGTTCGGGTTCGAACCAAGGTTCAGAACTGGACTGCGGCAGCACTATTAGCGCTGGCCTTGATGGACCTACCTCTTCCACGGAAACATCGACATGCAATGGCCGACATTCAAACCGCAACTCGGATTAACGGCGAGGAGCACGGGTGACTTAGTACTACTACCTTTTATTACTTATTGGTTAAATACAACTTTTCTCGCTTTTTTTGGTGGTCTGACTTGTGAGCTTAAGGGTGTCTTAATGCGCTTTTGCAAAAGTCAATTAAGTGGGAAAAGCAGTGTTTTCAGTTGGATTTATTAATGAAAAGTAACATAAGCGGGAAAAAGGGACTGGTGGTTTTCCTGATGTATTTTGTGTGGAATAGTTGAACGAATCCAGCGCCATATGTATCTCATGATGAGGTATACGCGCACAACGTCCAAGTATTTCATACCGTACTAATATGTATGATGATAGAGCTTGGCGGCTGAAAGCGGTACAGGACGCAGTGCGAATATTCACTGTTCAAAGCACCAGTCGAATGATAGCTCATGCATAACGAGCACTTCCCACAAATAGCTACAACATTCCCGTTCCAATCAGCCAGAAATCATCACGGAGAATTCCAATAATGCGCGAGCGCTTTTTATGACGATGGCATGCGTAATACATCTTCCGTCCGCTGTCTCAGAAGTCAGAAGTCATGCGCTTTCGAACGACAGGATCTGAGCGCTATCAGCGTGCCATACAATGTAGCGCAAATCATAGCACAGGATGCCGGGGGCCGCTAACTGTGTGAGATTACGAGCTGTAAGCCAGACATCGCTTCCCAACAATCTCCTTGTGAGGCTGACCACTCAGGCTCAAACCGAGTTGCCTTGGAAATCATCGCTGGTTGTTCATTTGAGAGATTATTTCCTTCTGCATAAGCGGCCAACTATAATAACCCGGCCAAAAAGTATTGAACTGACCTTTTCGATATCGCAACTGGACCACAACCAAGCTACCGACAATATCTGAGAAGGCGAGTCTAGGAGATGCAGTGTCATTCCTAGGGGGTGCACTGATTCGGTGCATAGCTATTGCGTTACACGCGACCATGTCTTTCGTTTGCTGTGCTTTGCGCCGGAAGGATGAGATTGATGGCTACAAGTCACGAATTAGCAAGGGTAAGGGTGGAAGAGGAGGAGGAAGTGTGGATGTACCTCAAACACCCACAACTACCTGATGAAGACAATGTAACCTACTGAGCAGCGTATGAAGGTTCGTTATAACGTGCCCCTAGTGCTGCCTGAGAATGCGAGGGATGAATTTGTGTTCTGCATGTCGGATAGTCTTGGTGGTGGAGCGAATGTCGTGGGAGAAGTAGAAGGAGTGATTTCGGAGAGGAAGTATTTGGATGTGAGGGAGATGGCTCAGATGAGCTCGAGGTAGTTTCAAGTTGCGGGGTCTAGAGAGAACTTAGATCTTCGCGGAGTTCGCGGAAAACCCATGAGGCGTTGAAATTGTACTTCGTAGAAGGATAGACTTGCATATCGAAAGAGTGCCTTGTGCATTTTCGGTGAGTGGTCGTTTTAGCTTTGCTTAGACCTGGACGGAGTCAGAGCCTGCGGCACAAAAGGAGATTTGGTACGGATCACTATCCGTGAGCCTGCTTTCGATTTCTCTCCGTGGCGAATTTGCTCCATTTTTTACTACACAGCTATCAAATTTGTGTACATGTTGAAACATTGAAACATTGAATTCGGCAAGGGCGCAGTACAAAGTGATGGGTGGGTGGCTGTGCTTCAAGTTTTTATTCTCATCCACTGCCTCGCTTTCACTGTCCATGCCAAAGTGGACGAACCGACAACTGACGCTTTTGCTGGTATCACTGCTCACTGGCAGGAAAAGACGCCGGGTCGTTCAATGTATGGTAGACATGCTGCCCAGGTCACCCATCGTAAGGACTCACTACTAATTGTCATTTTTTGTACTCTTGCTCCAGCTGGTCGCAGGTACGCTGTCACTCTGTCCCCTGTATTCAGCTATCTCATTTGAATCAAGACCTGTCACGCTCTCACAAACCATCCCTGATGTTTCATAATGCTCTCGATCATCCTGTTCCTATGACACTAGGTCAGCTCAACCGTTCGGTTTTTCTGTGCCCGTCGTTTTCACCGGTCTGCATCGTTTGCAACATCACCTTAAAAATTGCTATATCTTAGTACGACTCAGTCCAGGAGTGCTAGCAGACATCACAGGACGCTCCGAGTCTCGCATAACTTTGACGTGCTGATGTGATGTTAACCCTGGTCGGTCATCAATCATCTTTTACAACGCTTAGTGCAATCATATCGCGCTGAACAGTCCTTCCAGCCATGGCATGTAAATACAGCCATTACCTGAGGCCTGAATCTCCAACGTTGCCACCCTCAACCTCTTCTCCTCTTCCTCTCAGCCGAACTTCATCGATGCGTCCACGATCCCCTTATTCCCACCCCCGTCTCCTTCCACCACTCATTCTACCCATCACTAAGCCCATCCTCGATCCTCATTGTTTTGCTTCATCGTACCATCATGCCCGGTAGCGTAGCAAGCCGGTCTATCAGACTTGAAGGTAGGTCACTCCATACCACCTTCTTTTCGTATCGGTTTTGTGACCCTCGCGCTGTCTTCGGTCATCAGCGGCAAAATCTCAATGTTCCCCTCCTGGCGCATCCCCGCTGGCATTTACGTCACCATTAATATCGACTCGAAGAGACGTTGGAAATCAGCCATCGAGGTCCTATCATCCGATATAGAAATTCTCTCTCTTACTCGTAACATAGGGCGATCCTGTGATCATGTCAGCGTAAATTCCATATACTTTCGGACGCAATTAAAGAACTGATCTTTGGTTTATAGATCCCCACCCGTTTGTGGTGTTCGCCCTTCCCTCGCGCTGAAGGCCTCTCTTGTACATGCTTGTGATAATCAGGATGATGCACTGTTTGGTGTAAGTCACGTTGGCTGGCCTCTGTTGTTGGCTTTTGCTGACCGAACACCGGGGTAGTCCATCGTCGACTGCAAAATTGCTCGAGATACAGATGCAGGCCACGCACGACTTGCCAAATACGTGTCACGCAAATTGAAGAGGGTCTCTCGCATTAACAATATTCTGCTGCATTTTCAGTCGGTTCTGGATTAGTATCCGGTGGCCATCCTGGCCACACAGTGGCTCTCACCAACTTCGCGCGGGCCTGCCTTCAAAGCTATATTCAAAAGGATACTAGCACTTCCCTCCGCCCGCCATACTGAGTTACATATTCGCAACGAGTTCACTGATCAGTGACTCATCACTTCAGGTTCTGCCCGCTCCATAGGGAACTCAGACCTGGCATTTGAGAGATTTTACACTTCGCCTGAACCGGGAGGTATACATTACCCCCAGCGACGCCACGCCAGAGTCGATAATGCGGTGCACTACTCTTCGATTTCTATCGTTCAGCTCGTCATCCTCTGTGCCCGGCGAGCACCTGAAACAATCAACAAGGCCTGTACTAAGTCTGTACAGTCGGCTGTCAAGAACACGTCTGATTTCTTGGCAATAGCCGACAAGCGCGAGAAAGAGAAGTTTTTACAAAGGCCTTTAAGTATGCTACCAGACACTCTGCGAGAATATTTGGGATGCTTGATCGCAGCTCAACGTGTGAGCAGAACTGGTTTCGCCTCTATTTTGCGGTCAGTACGTGTTCTGATAAAGAGTTTCATCACTGACTTACCCAAACCCAGGCTATACTGTGATATTAATACATTACCTGGCTTACAGTGGTAGCAAAAATGTAATACATTAATTGTTGTACTTACAGGCAGTAGCAGGCTGATGTATCACTGTTGTATCACTGGTGAATCCGAAAAAGATGCTTTCATCCAGCCTGTTCCTGGTTCTCTGGGTTCTTTTTGATTGTTCCTCCATTATTTCGGTTGTTCCTTGATTCTTTATATTTGTCAGCTGACAATATTTTCTGCGGTTGGTTATTCCTTGCTTCTTTCTGTGTCAGCCGACCTTATTTAGCCAATATATTTTTATGCATGGTTTTATTTAGCACATTTACCCACGCAGAGGTATGTACAGTTCTTCGGCAGCTCCCTTGCATTACAAATACTAGGGGCCGGCGCTGCCAACTTTTAACCTTGCTCCGGTTGTCAACGCAGTGTAACGGCTTCTCCCGTATTTGGTCTTGTTGAAGTTTCGTACTGTTCCGACGTTTTAATCAGTTTATCAAACATGATCAAAAGCTATTTGGACCAAGCTGAAAACAAGATCAAACGAGCCAAAGCCCAACCTACTAAATTGCTTCAAAAAAATGCTTATCGCATTGAAATCTCATTTTTTATGTTGTGCCTGCTGTACTGATATTTTCAGTGGTTGGTTATTCCTTGTTCTTTCTGTGTCAGCTGACTTAATGTACAGTTCTTCGGCAGTTTGCGGGTGGCTTGGAGAGTTCCCTTGCATTACAATCGTACCCAAAACACGGTGCAGTCGACACTCAATGAATCTTCCAAATTTTTACCTGCTCTAACCGTCCAGCTCTCAGATCAATATCTTCATTCGGACTCTTGGCTCTTTCTGTTCGGTGAGTAAATATATTGACTTTCGAGTGTTCTGACCAGGTATTATTTGCTTTTCAGTGTTACTTACTGGCAGGACTCTGACAGCCTGGACCCTGCCGTTTTGCATCTTCTAGTACTGCCACCCTCCAGTAATGTCGCCAAGCCACCCACGGCCTCCACTCTCTCACTCACCACCAGCCTAGGCTATTGCGCCATCCACCGCCCTCTCACACCTTCCAAATGCCTCTGCACCTCTGTCGCACAGTGAATTGCAGGCTCACTACTGTACCATTGCGTACATTTCAATTTTCAGTGAATATATCAAACTAACTCAACGCCCACACAGCATTTTTACTTTGTCCAACCGGTGAGGTTTGCAGTCTGAGCTGAGACTGCAAACCTAAGCCGCTCTATGCCAAACACGCTGATCAAGTCCGGTTTAGAGGAGGACCTTTCTGTACTCTTAGTTTTAGTGTCTGTCTGAGCCTACTGGCCATGTCGTATGAGACCTCTCTAAATGATTATTTTACATATTTTCAATCCTCGGTCGCCATTTACACTCAGTGACACTTGTCTCATGCGCAGATCAGAATTTGCCTTGTTTATGTAAGTGCCCGGAGGGCTGTTCTATCAAAATTTCTTTTGATGTGAGTCAGAGACTGGTGCTCGCGCCACCATGATACTGTTAAGCTCAAGACAATGAAATTTCAAGTACATTATTTATAGATGTGTTCAACTAATAATTAACCAATCGCATTGGCGGCAGCAGCTCGAGTGGACTGGAATCTTTGTTGTTTCCCTCGGCTGGAGGAGACAGCCTGTAGCGGATCTGTCTCTCCTGCACGTGTGCATTGAGCCCGTTTCTGGCGCTTTGCCGGACGTTCATCTACAACGTTGCTGGGGTTTTGAGCATCAAGTCCCACCCCAGAAATAAGCTGCGAAGGCCTTGTTCCCAGTGTCACAGGAGTCGTGGGTGCAGCTACTGAGGATGTGGTGATGGGTATGGTAGTTGTGGGTGCAGCTGGAGAGGGTGTGATGGTGGGTGTGGTGGAAGACCTGACCACAGGTGAATGGGTGATGGTAGGCATGTCAACCACTGTGGTGCGAGGTGTGATGACCGACGTGGTGCTAGGCGACGAGAATCTAATGAAATTGTCGAACTGATAACGAAGGTGGGGAGGAGAACAGACCAATCCCGTGGTGGTGTTCTGGAACTGCATGGATTTGAGGGCATCGTCAAAACTCTCGAGATTTGAATCCAGATTAAGAAATGCGGTGGGGGAAGACATAGGGTCCAAAGTGAGTGGCGCTAGCGGTGGTGGACAGAAGGGTACATAGCCCTCTGGCATGGGGATGATGGGCCTATCCAGCTCTTGGTTGATCTCATTGTCTTGAGGAGCGGGGGGCAGGTGTTGGAAGAAATTCTCGTAGAAGTGCTCTTCAGGTGGCGCAGGAACTACCTCTTCTTGCGCTAAGTGCGTGGGAGGGAAGATAGGTGCCAAGATAGGTGCCAAGTCTGCCTCTTGGGATGTGGGGTTTGAACCATGTAATGTATCAGGCGCTACAGGCATAGGCATTGGAGGATCATCGTTTGTAAGCATATCGTCTGGAGCGGGTGTTTTATTTGAAGTCCCAGCTTCAGCTATATATTATCAGTGAAATGTTTGAAAAAAAAAATAGTTGGATACATACGGAAAACATGAGACACAAACTCGTAGTAGGGCAGCATAACATTATCGTTAGAAAACGCGTGGTTAAATCGATTACCGAGTTTCGTTGACCCTACATGTAAGCTGCTGACATCAATCGCACCCCCATTTGATGGGTCAGGGCCACCGAGGAGGACGCTGAATGTCCATCCTGTGGCCTCATGAAGCTCTCCGAAGAAAGTTGAGAGAATTTCTGTAAGTCTCGGTATAATTCTGTCTTCAATCAGCAAAGGAACAGGCATGAAGATAACACTTACAGATCATTGGTCACCTCAGATGATTTCCTCCCCTTCGCCGCCTCGCGCGCTGCTTCCCTCATCTCTCTCGTAAGTTGAGAGATTTCCTCTTTCACCTCAACGGACTCATTCTCCCAGCAGCGGTCAACATGCTTTCGGATCACCCGAAGGTTCGTCTTCTTGGGATCGGGGACGTCAGGTTGTTCTTTGATGGCTTTTAGCTCATCTTTAACGCTGGCCTGGACTCGAGTAGTATAATACTTTTTAGCGTAGACTTCGCTTTCCTTGAGAGGACGTTTCCGACCAGCTGTGGGTCCCTTAACGATATTGCTGAGAAGTTTGTGGACAGCCGAATTGCCCGCTGCAGCCGCTTTGCGGCCAGGCTTTGAATTACCATAATCATTACGGAATTTGACCGTCAGGCACTGGATGCAATGTAAGTCCCCAATACCATGCATGAAAAATAAGAAATAGACCTTCTGAAGTGCGGCTTTGAATTTTTCGTTCTCCTCTAATTGAGCCGCGGTGAGAACTTGATCCATAGGAATACCTGGAAACAAGGAAGCCCTCGCGGGCCATTGTTCCTCCCATTGTTCGAAGAAGGGTTGCCAAAAAGTGGTATAGTTCCCCTTCTTTTGGCATTCGAGGTAATCATCCTCAAAAGTTGCGATGAAGGCCAGTTCCTCCTGCGTCAGCCATGTACGCGGCGCCATCTATTTGTGTTACATTTAGCATGCCATCACATATGACTATAATTAATTAAATCCATTTCGTCATAACATACCTTTTTTTTTTGGTTCTGTACGCGTTGTCACTGTTTGATGCCAAGGTTAATGCGTAATGCCAATACAGTTTTCCAAGCTCGGAATTTTCCGATTGTCACCGAGCGCTCTGATTTCAAAAGGTGTTGAATCAAGTTCTATACTACCTAGTTGTATTTTGGGCTACTAAGGAATAACATTGTGTTGGGTAAGTTGATGATGTAGTCTATGCTGTTCATGCACTTCAACTAAGGAGTCTACACCTAACATGGCATGACTAAACACGTCTTCTAAGTCAGCCAGAACCCTGCGCACATGAGACACAGAACTATGTGCCCGACTGAGGTCCTGCCCTGTCCCACATTCCTCAAGAACATCGTTTTCTACAGTTTGCGCACGCATAAGGAGGTCTTCCAACCCATTGTGAGCAGACCGCAGGACGTCCAACGAATCTGGCTTATCCGGGTTTGCTATGAAGAGCTCACAAAGGCCCTCAACCAATGCTGTGCTTGACGATGACCCAATAAGGACCTGCAGGCTGGCATCGATGTCATCGCATTGCCTTGCCCTTGATCGAGATCATTTAGCCTTATGAACTACTGCTGAAATGAAATAACATACCATTTGTTTTTGCGTTTGTTGTGTGCATCTCGTACTGAGCGCGCCGGTTTGAGGCTACTGGTATTGTCCAAGCTGGGCGATCAGGTAAGTGACAATATTATAGTTGTGCGAGAAACGTACGCCTTTGAATTTGATTTGTTTTGATATTTGATACGGATCTCCTCACGGTTACTAGGTATAGAATGTTCAATGGTTTGAGACATTGATATTTCAATGACATACCGAGCATAATAGGCTTTCCGGGATCGGCGTGCAGCTTCAATTTTCTCCTCAGCTGTATGGTGTGAGCGTGGCCTTCCTACAGTGACAGGCCTATCACACAGCCTAGAACTTAGGTGACCTCGAGTCAGATGTTCAGATATTCAAGTGGCTGGTATGTATCTTACCTATCTTCCTTCCCCTTGTATATCTCCTTTTTTTGCGCACATAGCTTATCGCGGTGACTGTAGTATCAGTGGGTCCACCATCATTAAGAGAAATAACAATAAAGTGAGTGAAGTACCGTGCATAGTAAGCTCGTGTATAAGCGCGTGCAGCTTCTGCCTTTTCTTCTTTAGTGTTGTGTAGACGTGGTCGTGCCATGTGCATAAAAGTGGGTTGAAAGTAAGCCAGTTGAGGCACTCAATATATGTGTAGGAGTTTTGAATGGCTTCACGTAGGAGATTAATTTGGATTTTTATGCGAATTTATCCTACCATTCTCTTACCATCCTTCAAAATTGAACTCTACGAATATCATGCCTACAGTGTAGGGTTTATATCTTAAGTTTAATGTTCTTGATAGGCATGGCGCTTGTATGCTCTCATTAATGTAGTACTTGTTTGCAATATGTTTTGATCAGACGAAGCACACCGACATTCAAGAAAAACCGTTCATTTTGCGACAGCTATGGACATACACAAAATTCACTAAATAATCATGTGCTACAAGGCCTGCGAAGCATCACCGCGATCAATTGCACCCTTCACGATGTTTATCCCTTGCTCGATGGAATCCACCTTGTGGTAGATGGCTCGAGAGACACCGAGCACTTTGGGACCGGTTGCATCCCTACAATGAAGAAATGAGCTACTAGACATCAGAAATTCGGAAAATCCAGCTCACCAGCCTGAAAAGATGCCGATGTAGCGACCTCGAGTCACATAATAGAGCGGCGGGGTGGCATCAACTGGGACATTGAAGTAGGTATCGCGGTAATGAATCAATGTGGAATCATTCGCAAGTGCAGCAGCTGCAGCAGCCGCATCTTCGTCATCAGAGGAGTCGTTTTCCTCGTAATCGACATAGACAGTGACATGCCCTGCAGGAACAACCACAGTGGGAGCAGCAGCATGTGCAGTTGCGGGGGCAGAAGTAGGAGTGGTGCCAGCACTATGGGCAGCAGCTGCGCCAGGAGAAGCAACTGGTGCAGCTTCCCTGGGACTGTCAATGGTTGTAGCAGGGGGGTCATCAGAGACAGCGGGAAGAGCAGCCAATGCCATTTCGGTGCTGCCAGCGGCAGGGCCCAGGCCCATTCTGACGGTGATGTTATCTGTAACATTGCCGAAGCTACATGAGTAATGAAAATATAAAAGAATCAACAGATTCACCATTGGATGTATCACCATCGGTGCCCGTGTCCGTGCCAATGTCTAAGGCCTGAGATAGTGTCTTTTGATCGTCGAGGGAAAGACACTGGAGAAGATTGATGAGACTGTCCAGTCGGACAGATACCATGGTATCTGTCCGACTGGAGGAAGGCAGTTTCTGAGTCATGGGAGTGAGTTAAGTGAGTACCTTGAATAGATAGATAATGTATCACTCACCACGTTCTGAATTTATACTCCATAGGCCGGCGGGGTCGGACGTCCAAGAAATGGAGGATGGGATGACTTCCTTGGATTTGGGAAATGGCGGATCACTGCAAAGTGCCAGATATTAGTAATAATCCACGTGGCACCAGCTGACTAAATCTTGGCAAATCCATCACAGCTTCCATCAACATCGGAATCGGGGATCATCAATCACTGATCGATCGCGCTCAAGCTCTCATGTATGGTCTAGCAGGTAAGTGGATTCTCTAGTACTATCCACCAATCTTCTAAGCTTGCCCGACACCCCAGTACCAGAACCATTTCCGCGGCTCAATTCATGTTCGATTCTTCTCGCGACGCAGATTACATCGCGTTGTCCACAGCATGTGGCCCTTGATATTCTGCATCAAGGTCAGTCATAGTGCATATTACGTGCACAGCTGACTTACCCCTCGAAGAATCAGCATCTCCGCCGTCAATTTGGCATGCATGCTGTCGGTTAGCAAAATGTGAACATTCGACCCGGGCCACAACTTCTGGTGAAGAGGCCACATGTGGTCGAAATCAATAAGCATGGTCTGTACGAATGTGATCGTCTCATCTGAGGTAGTAGGCCACTGCATATACTGTGGTATATGATCTTTCAACCAGTCCTTCTGCACAGGCGTGAAAATCGGCCCTCTGGTTGGGGTTCGATTATATCGCATTATGTATGAACGAATTTCCGAAGACACATGTGCTGGGGGCGGATTGTGGTCTGTTTTTGAATGTCAGGTATGTGGCAAGATATCACTATCAATGGGCTCACTTCGATGGGGGCGCAACAAGTATTCAACGGTTGCCGGTGGGATGGCATTATCATTCAATGGTGTTACCATGATTCACGAGGTGGGTGAGGAGGGACAAATTTGTCCATTATTATATACTGGCGGGATCCTCCAATTACAAATGGAGGATCCTCTGACTACCCGACTGAGCTGACAGATTAACCACAGTGCACAATGCCCCGTGGTCGCCCCCCCAAGAGGCCTGCACTTGAACGGGAGGTTTTTGTCCCCGTCTCTATCAACCCCGAACCTCATCTTTTACGACTTCGTGCAGCAGAGATTACCGCTGAAGGAGCACACGGCTGCAAACACACTATGTTGCTGGAATTCCCCCCGAAAATTCATCAAACGACAACATATTTGGATAGATGACCGCGTTGAGCATCCCAGCGACTGTCAATTTGAGGACGAAACACTTACAGACGACATTGTTGATATTTGTTCCACGGAGAAGCGCAAAGAGACCGCGGCAGTGGGTGTTCTCATTTGATATTCGTTTGGGCATGCTAACTTATTGGACTTAGGACAGACCTTTGCTCGCCTGGATTGGACAACGTCAAATCTTCCTGGACGAAATGCTGCGCCTCAATGGACGCGGGACTGAAGGTGTCACTTGCTCATGTGGTGCAGTATCGCCTCAATTCCGATGCTGTGACTGCCATGGCATTCAAATATTCTGCCGTGAATGTACACTTCAAAACCACGTTCTTCATCCTTTGCATAGGATTGAGGTGTGTTTCATACTTATTTTGGCATCAACGTATGACTGATCCTTGTCAGATATGGAATGGGACTTTTTTTCAGCGTATCACACTCAAACAGCTCGGGGTTCGGGTACAACTAGGCCATAACCCAGGAGAAAGGTGCTACAAACCTTCTCCCGCTGCCGGTGATGATTTTGTGGTCATCGCGCTCGATGGTATTCATGAAATCGCCCTGGACTTTGTGGCTGCGCTTCGGCTCAGATTCGGTATAAACAATTGTTACGTATGCGGTGGTATCCAGCCACAGTCTCAGAGCCTCGAACTGCAGCAACCTTTACGGTTCTGCAGCATTTTCATATTCTATCCTTTGAAAGCAAGGTATCTGCTTACGAGTTCTACCAGTCGCTCGCAAGGTGCACCGACAATTCAGGGTTAGTAGCGAATCAGGGTGAGTATTTTAATTTATTCCGTGCAACTGTCTGATGATGATATATTCTAGGATCGTTATTCCGCTTTCATGCGGATGGTACGCCAATGGCTGTAACCTCAAGCAACTTTCCCGCGGAGGAAGGGGACACGACCCCGCTGGTGTCAATGCTACTGCCGAAGGAGAGTTAGCTGTTCTCTGCCCCGCGTGCCCACAGCCCGGGAAGAATCTTCCACTAGACTGGGAGAAGGAACCTCTATTTACCAGGTAAGATGTTGGTTGTCTTTCCCTGATTTTGCTGAGCTCACACATTATCTGAGCAGATGGAAATATGCGCTGTTTGTTGCAATCGATGCGAACTTTAGATTGAAGCGCAAGGCGGTGTCTTCTGACACTGCTGACCCTAGCCTTAATGCTGGATGGGCGTATTTTGTGCACGAAGACTCATACAAATCTTACCTTGCAGATCGTGCTTCCGACAAGCAAGAGGTAAGTAACATGTTTTCAATGATAATTCTCAACTTAGACTTTTTCTGTAGCGAAGCACGTGTGTAAGCCACAATGCAGTTAACATGGCGGATACCAAGTCCTCCCGTGGCTTGCTGCAACAGGAGTTGGGACGATCGACTGCGCAAGGCACGATATGAAGCTCCCAAACGGAGTTGGAGACCTGCAGAAGGGTGAACAGTATGTATTATATTGCATTTGGAATGTTTTAAGGCTGATGTTACTCAGGTACATTAATATGGACTATATCATGTGTTCTGCGCTCTTCATCCTCGCGATGTCCATGATCAACATAATCCTACGACATCGCCTGCCAGTGGCACAAGAGACTCTGGACTCGAATGGAAACGAATGCCGGAACGACTTTCTCCCCCCCGCGAATCTTCCCTCATACATTTTTTTTGTGCCGAAGTTCCACATCCAGGCCCACATCGATGAGTGTCGCACCAATTTCTCTTTCAACTGGTCGAGGTACGTGGGCCGAACAGACGGCGAAGCCCCTGAACGGGGCTGGTCCAATATAAACCGAGTGGCATCAAGTACCAAGGAAATGGGACCGGGAGCACGCCGGGACACTCTTGACGATCACTTCGGTGATTGGAACTGGAAAAAAATTACAGCATTAGGTGAGCGGTTTCTTTCTTTCAGTCTCAAATTCTGACATAGACTTAGGGCGGACATTGCATAAGAAGATGATTGAAGCTGTAAAGTGGACGAAGGAGCACTCCGAAGCCCTCTGGAACTGGAGAAGACTATTCAGCCGGCTCTTATCGCGCAGTGGAAGGCAGAGGTGGAATCCTGGGAGGAGGATAACTCCTCTCCGAACCCCTTTGAAAGCCGGTTTAACCGTAAGTGATCCTGGTGTTTTTGCAGTGGTTGTTCTAATAAATGGTAGCGGTTACACAGGCATCCGTACGACTACAACTCACTGAGCTTGAAGCTCAAGACCTTCAAGCTGGAATCAATGTCTCACTTCACACCGATGTCTCTCCAAGCGGATTGATTACATCGGGCATGGATCTCGAGGATCAACAGTAAGTTTTGTATTCATTGTTACACTACGCCATACTGACAGTTCTACAGGGCACGCTTAAGATCCAGTCTTGCCAATGTGTCCCTCCACGACACCGACAATCAGAAGGCCATAACACAAACTCAAATCGCCTCCCTCCAACGACGGCTTGATGCCTGGGCCCGCATCCAGGAGCTATACATGCCGGTTGTCTGTCAACTCCGGCATCGATCATCAGAGGCTAGTGGGAGGCCACAGGAACTCAAACCTGAAGACTTCAACCTGTGGCTCCCTTCGCAACTTCCAGCTGGCACCCCCGTAGACCTGACGCTCGCTGGCCACGAGTGGGAGCTACGCTACGCGCAGGCCCTCGATGCCCTGAACGAAGTTCGTTCCCACCTCCGGCTTCGATCCCACATGTACAAGTACAAGGATAAAAATGTCCGTGGTCAAGCGGGTTCCACTCGCGCCAAGAAAATCATTGATGCCGTGGAATCGAGGAAGCACGCCAGTGTATTGAAGTACAGACGTGCGCGCAGTGCCCTGCTGTCTCTTGGCCACCGTCTGGAGAAGTGCGGTTGGGAGCTCACCATGCGCCCACTTCTTGACTCCGATGTTAAGCCTATGGGTGACATGGAGCAGCAAGGGAGAGGAACCATCTCCTGGATTTGGTTAGACTCCCGTGCTGATAACAGCTGTACAGAAAATGAACGCATACAGGATTGTAAGTGTATGGTATGTTTTACTCACATTTATCTGACATTTTGATAGGTGTCCGCTTGGAATGGTGCAAGGCTCGTGCCCGCGACACCGGTGGTCGGAGGAGGTGGAGTTATTGCTAGAAGAGATGAGACG